CCTGAAACAACCTCTGGGCTGACTCTAAGTCAGGGCCGGCTAACTCACAGATCGAACCCTGAAACRACCTCTGGGCTGATCTAAGTCAGGACGACACGGCTAACTCACAGATCGAACCCTGAAACAATTGAACCTCTGGGTTGACTCTACTCTAAGTGAGGGCACGGCTAACTCAAAAGATATCGAATTGCAATCAGTTTAGCGTGTTAGCTTTCGTGAAGGGAAAGTCCAGAGAAAAAGGTACAGGCAACGAAAATGAAAAAAAAAACTACCTCGTGTTTCCGTTACGCCCCTAGCTTTTTTCATCAAATACGAGCAGCCTTTTCCTTCCTTTCTTTGACCGTGTTGACCGAGTTCCTAGGCAACAGGACTAACATTGCATCGAAATACTCTTTATATTCATTTTCCATCCCTTCCTGAAAGTTGATTTTCTCAGTTATAGTAATGTTTTCAGTGTCTAAGAATGGAAACGAACCGCTCGGCTATTTCCAAGCCGCTGCCTATTTCTTTATTCATGCTCTTATTGGTTCGTAAGTACATGAAGAGCGCTAGCGGTTTTTCCAAAGTCGGTTGGATTTTTTTTTTTGCTCGAATCTGGCGCGTTTCCATGCGAACCCAACTTCAAAGTTCACTAGTTGTTCTTACCCTAAAAGCTCCCTTTAACTTGCGAAAACTAGAAGTTAAAGAAAACGAATGCAAACGTTAAAATAAATGAGAAATGACTGAATGAGAGGAAAAAAGAAACATTTGAGATGAAAAATTGAATAAAGTGCATAATGACAATGATAGAGCTGGAAATATTTATTTATTTATTTATTTATGTCATGATTCGCCCAAGGGCAGGTGATAATACAATAGGACTCTAGGTCCCCTATATAATATTAACACCCAAACCCAACCCCGATGGGAAAAAAATAGAAAAACTAGTCCCATCCCAACATACACATTAAAAGAAATTTAGATATAGGAAAAGAACCTAGATGTTCAAAGACCTTTGCACTTCATTTCGATATTTAGATAGAGTTTATCAGGTCTAAGTTAACTGACAATTTCGGTTTTTTTTAGTCGTAAAGAAATAAAAAAATCAATATACATAAAAACTGCATAATATCACTTAGTGCGAATATAAAAATTAAAGTATACAGATAGATAATTATATGGCTATGTTAAAAAGAATGTTTGAATATTATGATAGTCTTTTACTTACCTTAGTAACAAAAAGATAATAGCCAAAGTAGTTCTGGCCTCTGGTCATTAGTGTCGTGTTGTCTGTGTGCCGAATGAATTACGCCCGCGCGACAAAGAGTTTTGAAAGAGCCGGATTGTGAATAACAAAACAAAATTAGGTAACGGTCTTATCGGCTTTATTTGTCGGCTGTTTATCAGTAGAGGCCGACGGACAAAAAATCCGCCTTGGTGGTTCTAGGTTTAAAAAACTCTGGGAAAAAAATCAAAAAGAAGAAAGAAGAAAGGAAGAGAGAAAGGAGAAAAAAGAAAGAAGAGGGGAAAAAAAGAAAGAAAAAAAAAGGGCCTGTCCAAGATGCAAGGAAGTTGTCCCCACCCCCCCCCCCATCCCTCCTTCGCTCCACCCCTCTTCGCTAGACTATCTAAGACATCTGAACATAGTAGTTCGAAAAATGTTATGCATTCCATCAGTAATAGAATAAGGCAGAGCGAGGAATAGGACGTATCACGAATTATTATAAAAAATACAATTGCAGTAGCAATATGGGTTYGTATTTTGGGACGCGAGAGGACGGCTTCAACTTTTGATCTCTGCCTTAAATTCCTCATCCCCCAATACCACTATTATTGTCCGTTCTTATTCATTTTTTTCTTTTCATCACCATCCTCATTATCATTTTCAATATCATTTTATTATCTATTTATTTATTATTATGAATATTATGATTATTTATTACCATTTCATTATTATTAATATTATGTTATCATTTTATTATTTTTTCATTATTATTGTTATCTTCGCTTATTTAAATTTTCAGTATGCGTAATTCTTTAAAAGAATAAAGCGGAACTTTTATAGTTACTATTATTATTATTATCATTATTATTATTAGCATTTCATTATCATTATTAGTGTGATTTTATTATCCTTGTTATCATTATCATGTCCCGAATTTCTTACGCAACTGACGTCAAATTGACGAAAAACAAAAAAAAACAAAAAAACAACACATTCCTTTTGATATTTCCGATATCATGATCTACAAAAACCTTTCAAAAACAATTTGTTTGATATGTAGCCTATTCATTTGACTCCCGAACGATAAAATAATCCTAATAAGTCAACGCGCTGAATGAATAGATCAGTTTTGATGAAAAGAAGCGGGAAAAAAAAACACAGCTTTTGCCAAAATTCTAAATTTCATGCATCATTTTTCAGCAATTTTTTTCCCAAAATAATTAAATAAATTACTGAATAAAACAACATTTCAAAGTCATAGATTAATTTCAATTTCTTTTTGCTTATAAATTTTCTTATTTCAATTTCTTATTTCACATAAAAATCTTCAAATGCCTTTCCCCAAATAACTACTTAAAAATAGACGTTATTTTACCCGTTGCTTAGCTACACAAATCCCCATTCCCTCTTTTTGGTTTTCATGCTTACTCCTTTTTCGTCAGCTTTTACGTCACGACCATAGATACCAAACTTTGGTCCGCTTGGATTACTAAAGTTGCCCACAAACCTTGGGTCAGCGGGTTCACTAGCAGGAAGCCATCTATATGGCAGAAACAAATCAAGAATTAGAAGCCAGTGAGGTAGATGCAAGTAACTGGGCCTTGCCACGTGAAAGCCTAATTTTTTCAAGCAATATACGTTATTTTTTTGGATTATGCTATTAGGAATCCAATCACTATGAATAAAAAAACGATCTTTTTGGCTTTGCCTGTTTTTAGTTTATATCGTTAATTATTTATGGGAAGAATAAATGAGCGAAAAAATGGTTAAATTATAATATTTTCCTCAGTTCTTATTTCCATAGCTGAAACTTTTAAACCCCCTCCCCGCTCRACGCACACGAAATTTTGAAGAAAAAAAAGGTCATAATTTTCCRAAAATAACCTATTTTTGTTATTCAAGGTTCCTAAATCTGAATGGTTAAAATTACAGGTCTCCCATTTTCTCCTCCTACCCCCTACCAATAAAATCCAGTCGGCGTCTTCTTCCTTCCCAAACCGTCGCCACCGGCAGCTTTCTTTTTTTTCAAATTTAAAATACTCCACCAGTACAATACCTTTATCTTATTAAACATTAATAACTTTTGTAAGGTGATTACATCAAAAGGGCGGATACCTCGTGTCACAGCTGATACGAGCCAAGCAGGTTGTATTGACACTCGACATGTGCACTGTTCTGTTCAAAGAAAGTCTTCTTTTAATCGTCGTTAATAATTGAGATGGTTCAGGGTGGATTAGCAAAGACAAAGCTAGCGTTGTATTCCCTATAAATAGCACAAACGTTTTTGGAGTATATACAAGCTTGTCTACGCGGCGACTCTTCGAGAAACCAAGTTCCATATTTATTATTCTGACATATTAAAAACTAAAGCTTTATAGAAAGAGCTCAGTTTGATTTTTAAAACGATAATTAGTTTTTTTTCTTTAGTCTTTTTTTATGATTTAATTATTTTAGTTATAATTTACTGTATGTATACGAGACGACATTGAAATATGGTATCGAATGAGTTACACGGCACGTAACATTGAAATGGCTTCCAATAGGAATGGTTATCACATGAGTGGGAAGCATACGGTACTGGCGTATAGTACGTACATGATACGACATGCCGTAACATCGAAATGGGTTACCATGGTTACGGTTATCGTGTAAGTGGGAAACATACGGTACTGGCTTGCAGTACGTACACAGTACGACATGTCGTTACATTGAAATTGCTTGTCATAAAAATAGTCCCCATGCTACAAAGTACGACATGGTGTAACATTGACATGGCTTCCGATAAGAATAGTTTTCATGTGAGTGGAAATCATACGGTACTGGCTTACGTACGTACACGGTACGACATGCCGTAACACTATAATGGCTTCCTCTGAGAATGGTTATATCGTATGAGTGGTAAACATACTGTACTGGCTTACAGCATGCACGTACACGGTACGGTATTACGTAACATTAAAATGGCTTCCCAGTATATCAGAATTAGATCAGTAGAGCGCTTTTTGTAACTGTGAGCGGAAACGACACGGCAAATTCATTGTCGTACTGTAACCGTGCTGTATTTTGAAGTAACAGTAACTTCACGCTGTGATTGGTTGATTTGCATTAAAAAACGTGGGAAGCCATTTGTGATGATGTAAGTATACTGAAAGACAAGGCACTCTTAATGTCACAGCACGACACAGCGGCATGGAGGAATTTGAGAAGAAATAAACTCAAAGTTTCTTTAGTTCTTACCTCTGTGTAAAGACGAGTACGTCACCAGCACGAAAATTTGCCGTTTTCCATTTCCCGCCAAATCGTTTGGTTATCTCATTTGCATCTTCGGTGAACCAGCCCGATCCTTCGACACCTTCTTTTTCTAAATCTAGACTCCCGTAAGTTTCTTGAAAGTACGAAAATCTGCAAATTAATTCAAGTTATTAATGTCGGTAAAGTATTCTATGCACACAACTTTCAACTCACATGTTGATTTTTACGGAGATAGCAAACCGGAGAACCCGGAGAAAACCCTCGTAGCATAGGAGAGAAAGGGCTCGAACCAGCGACCCGACGCGTTGGACTCACAGTTGTGAAAGACGACTCTTTAGCCGCGAACGTCACCCATGCTACCCATGCATATTCCCAATGCAGTTCAATTTCGTTCAATCGAGCGTAACATTAGCGCACTCAGCTGTCTCTGTTCGATTCCTGGACTTGGCATCACACGTGAATAGAGTTTTTTTTAAATCTCCCTTGATTCGAGGGTTTTTCTCTCGGTTCTCCGGTATCCGTATAAATCAACTTCTAATTTCTAATTCAATCTAGAAAGGGTCTGGATGAAAATTACTATGTGTAAATCTAGTTACCCTATCAAATTGAATAGTTGGTTTAAACTCCCTTTTCTCTTATATACTAATAAAAAAAGGATTATTGCTGTTACCACTTACCCGGGGAGAATATGTGAGCCTTCGCACATGGCCAGCTAACCCATATCCATGGTAACGTCGCCTATCGGCGTCCAGCAAGTAAGCAGTTTATTTGTACCACGTGACATATAAACATTGTCCACGTGAGCACCCGTGAATCCTCCCTTGTGAATCGCTCTGTTGACGAGATGAATAAGAAGTCGGTTATTTTTTATTTATTTTCTATTTTTGACCGAATGAATTTGCCAATCAGCGAACTTTTTGTTCACAACACAATATTTTTTAATCCTAGGTTTTCGGCTCGACAGAAGGACTTTTACTCAAGTAGCTTTTACTCAAATAAATAAAATAAAACTATTTCGTGACGTTGCTGTTGCATTTCGTTTTGAGAAGAGATAGAAAATACTGGGAAACTTTCGCTGGCTAACAATGCATTGCGCGCCTAGATTCCAAATCACCTGGTTACCTAAGCCATTTAAAGTCAAACGTCCTTGGTTCTTCGTTAAACAGCATCCGAAAAAACTTCTTTACTATAAGACGTAAACAATGAATGAATTAGCATTTGGTGGGTGGTCAGTGGATTGTTGAATGACTGTTTGAGATGGAAGAGTGGGATGGATGGATGGGTGGATACATGGGAGTGAATGTAGGAGCGGGGGACGTACGGACAGAAGGATGGTTGGGTGCCACTCTTAACTTTAGAGCCTTGCGCATGCTCCATGAAATACCGCTCATTTCTGGGATTTGGAGAGCATGCGCAGTAAGAAAGGGTCAGTCGAAAGTGGGTTGGTGAGTGAGTGCGAAGGTTGTGGATAGGTGGGTTAAATTGATAAATGATAATGGTATCGTAACGTTTACTATAGCAAATCTTACCTCTTTCCCCTTCAAAGACCTTAAGAAGAGGTTCGCTATGCGTTATGCTATTCCTTCCCTTCAAAGAAAGATCGTTATTCTTAAATTTATCGACACACCAAACTATACCCTTCAGAACCGACAAACATTTTAGACAACACCCACATGGGTGGCGTAGCAGCAGTGCACTCTTATCTTATCTTTGGGGTCTCGGGCTTCGATTCCCAGATTTGGAGATTCTACCGCTAAAAACTCAAGACGTAATGACTCTTGGGGTACGTTTTTTGTTTTTCATTTCTACGATTACTGCTTATGACTGTAGCTGTATGGAGCAGCTTTCGTATGTCTGTGAAAAGCTCACGGCAAGAACACGGACGTGCCACGGAAGGGATACGCCAGATCAATCACATTGCTCGAGAATTTACTCTCCATCCAATGAAATACCCAGGACACGGCATAAATGCGGCGCGGATACGGTCACGCCAAGGTCGCGGCACTGACCATCACATTGAGCGAGGAAAAAATTAGCCAATTAGAATTCTAGAAAATATCGCGGTCACGGCACGGCATGCTTACAGCACTGAGCTTTAGTCACGCGAAATCATGCGAAAACTGCTCTACTAGCGTATTAGTGTTACCTCCATGTTTGTCAGTGGCGTGGTAGCTTCAGTATCTTTAAGTACGCCTTCTTCTAAAGGCTTTGTTGGTTCAAATGAACTTGGCTTTACTTCGTACAAGTGTTCTAACACCTTCGTTCTTGCTTGCAGGACTTCGTTTCGGTCGTGAAGTTGGCGAATGAACAAATACCTTGATTTGAAATGAAAAAGAAAAGCGAAGAAGAACCTTATATTAAATCAAGAGTAGAGTTTGTTATCGTCTGGGTCTCTCCCGGAATACCAATACGATCTGTGAGACTTTGAGGCGTTCTCTGAGCCGTTCCCGGAATTTGATCAACCCCGAGGCTGTTTGAAGGCTAGATATTTTTAAAAGTTGGTTATCTCTTGTGTTCGTTTATTTACTCTTTTTTCGTCAGTTATTATTAATGGGAAATAAGATGAACACATGAAATTATGAAGGAAAAGGAAAGAACGTGTTGATAATATAAGAGGTCAATATCAAATGGGTAACTCAAACCTACCCTTTGTCATGTAGCCGTTCCATTAGTAGATCTCTGTTATCCATGATGTCATTGCAATCTTCTAACTCTTCGAGCTCAGAGGACCTGAATGTCAGCAAYGATGTGCCGAGAAGGACTTGTGTAGTTGACATGACGCGAGTCACTGGGATTGACAGGGATAAAGTTTTCAAGGAAAGCCACGAGGCAAACACAGCGAACGACGCACATTCGCACGGTACACGTCAAAGGTACATGGGGGAGTAGCAGGGGCACGTTGACACCCCAGACACACACAAACGATAATATACAACATATGACTATTAGGCTACCTCCACCCTAGGACCCCTGGATATGTCCAGGACCCTGGTACTAGGGTTCCCCTCCAAGCTGGGTCAATACATAGGTCCAGTTTACAAGGGAGGAGCCATTTATTTGTTTATCAGGGAGGGTAGGATGCCAGGTGGGGATTTGCTTGGTAACCCGTAGGAGAATTGTGACCTCCCTTGCTGTTGTTGCACAAACAAATTAACCCCTCCATTGTTTTCCAAACTGTTCATTGTGAATGTGCTGAGCGAATTCCTTCTTGACCCCCACCTCTATATATAATATAATATAATTTTCACTATGGTTTTTCATATTCTGCGAAATTAGACATTCCAACAGCTTTGGCGCCAGTCAAGAACATAAAAAAAAWATTTTTTTCGGTGTGCAGCTCGCAACACTGTACCAAGTTTACAGAATATGACAAAACCGCAGTAAATAAACCCTTCCCCTAAAATAACAAATAGTTAATGAATTCTAACGAAGACACGGGATATAAAACTGGAATGAAAATTGATAGAGCTCTTAAGCCTAAGACACAAAGAAAGGCAGAATAAATCCAGCATCACTGGAATTACTCTCACCACCAACATAAACATTCAAAGTGCGCATGCTTATTCGGATAACAATATGATATAATCCTATAAAACAGTAAAATCTTCCTTTTCTTAGCTAACTAGCTATTGCTAAATTATGCAAGAGATATCGCCATGGCATCGTTGTCAGTCTTCTCTCAAGTCACACACTCGTCAAACTAGCTTGCATCGATTAATACTTACATTTCAATATGTTTTATGACTGGGAAGAGTTTAAAATGCTTTCAGTATAAAGAGAAGATCATTTGAATGCCTCTGTTCTGCTCAAAAAGAGTAGATCTTGAAGTTTTTTCCTCTGCAAAGCTGCTCCTTCCTCAACCGCTCGGATCTTCGCGAGTTTCACGTGACAAAAGCACAGGTACCCCATATAAGAACAACGCTCTGTTTATATTTTATCTGTGGTTGTTATTTAGTGATCACTTAGGGATGGGGGGGGGGGGGGTGGAATCAACCAGACACAAATGGTCTCTTGTGTATTTGTCTTTATACGATGAGTGTTCTGGTTCAGTGATAGCAACTATTAGTCACTAAATAGCTACTATTTGTCAGTATCAAATTTGTTTTTATTCCATGGTTTTACTGCATGCACTCTTGCTTTCATCAAAATAAAAAAGTTTGACCTCCACAAAAGTTTTTTTTAACTGATCACCCTTCCCTTGGAAGCCACAGCCCTAATTGGAACTTGCAAGGGTCTAAAGTATGTACTCATCTAGGTGTTGGTGCAGAGCCTTGCAACTTAGGAGCAAGCAGAAATAGACTTTCGTTGGCCCATTGAATGACATTGCATAAGACATCTCTTGCATGTGAAAAACGAAGTAGCACCCTCACACTACATTAAGGAATGCCTGATGCAGACTATCCTACCTCCCAATCCTGGAATAGACTCTTATAATTACAGTTTTTATATCACATTCCATTGCATGATTTCTGCCCAGAAACTCTCAACGCCTGCCATATCTCAAATAATTTTATCTTTATTTGGTTCAAAAAAAATGTTAATCCAAATAATACTTAAAATTATATTTGCATATTCCTTGGAAATAGCAAAATAATGTCATTTAATAAGAAAAATATTATATATAGTACTTTAATTACTTAATTTATTAAAACATGCTGATTTGTATATACACCTACTTGCAAGAACGTTGTCATACAATATTAGAACATTAGAAGTGAGAAAGGAATACATTAAAAGACAAAAGAAAAAGTTCAGCTTCAGTGATCTTCTTTTGTTTTTTAATATAATTCCTATCCCACTAAATCACTAATGTTCTATTTTCGTATGACAACTTTCCTGCAAGTAGGTGTATCTATCTATTAGTTTTTGATTTTATTTTACTTTCTTATTCTAGCAACTTGTATTTGATATAAGAATAAGTATGGTATTATCATATTGAAAGCAGCTTACATGCATGTAAAACACCTTATCTCATTAGCCTCCCCAGAAAATCATTCCTTACAAAACCTGGTATGATGGTTGTTGTAGTTGTGAAGGTCATTATTTAATGGTGTTGCATTTGCAGCTGCAGATAAACATTACTTCACTGAATGAATTACCATTCATCATGTAGCAAATTTTGTTTGTTGCAGAGTGGAGAGAGATTCCACTTAATGCAAAAAAAAAAGAAAGAAAATTTGTTTATTGGGTAGCAATATGAGCAATATTCAATGCAATGCAATGGTGCTGCATGGCAAGTTGAACAAATATGTTACCTATAGTACTACACTCTTTAGAGGATTCATGTAAATTTCCTGGAGTATAATAATTTTTCTTTCTTGTTATTAATTCTCTTAAGAATTTTGAATAATTTTGAAAAAATTTTGAACAATTTAGAATCAGAATCCCATTTCCCCCCAAATCACCAAGTTATGAGAACCAATTTTAGACATACATATGATAATAAATACATGAAATGATAAGAAGTGATAGAAAAGAAAACTCAGAAAAAAATCAATTCATCGCCCAACTAGTTTATGGAAGGTCAATGTTCCTAAACCGTGTCTGGAATTCAGATTTTTYGGAGTTTCATTTTCTACCATTTCTTTTTAATTTTATTTATTCATTATCATAAATGATATTCATAGAGTAGATTTATTTTGGAAAAAAGGAAAGGAATGAGCCATATAATAAAACTATAAATTTTGGATCAGAGGCAAAAATGCTTCCTCCAACCTCGTTGTCGTAGAAACTCTTTGTTAGTGGTACAACTAAATTATATAGTTACCATGTATGTACATACATATGTACATATTATATTGCTAGCCGTAACTGAACTACGTAAAGCAAATTTTGCATCTAAAAACATTCAGATTTTATATAAAAAATACCAAAGAAATATTATTAGCACCCAACTTTAAGATGCTAAAAATATACCTCGAAATTATGTTTTTACTTTGAAGAAAACATAAATTCTAAAACATGCCACAATGGGTTAATTGAATGATAGCATCATAATTATACACTCATATACTACAACTACCTTGCACACTTTTTTGTGTTCAGTTAATTAGCACTAGTTTCATTGCTATACACTGAATCCAAATATGGCAACCAATTTGAAAAACAACTATTATTCTGCACTGACTAGCAACTGACTAAAAGCATGTTCATGTGAAAAAAAATAAAAGCATTTTCGCATGTAAGAGAGGCTAGTAAGTCGCTAGTCAGTGCAGAACAATAGTTATTCAAAATTCAAATTGGTTACCAAATTTTGATTCCATGTATGCCTGGATCGATAAATGTTTATTTATTCACCAGTAGTAAACCGACAATTCAAATAATTTCTTCCCATGAATCTTTACCAAATCAAACAATTTATTTGATTGACAGCAGTCTATTGCTGATTAACCTGTCTCAGTTTCAATGGTAACACCAATTAACTTGCCGTTCTTGTTAGGGAATAACAATCTGAAAGAAATTTTATACCGGTAGGCATTCCTGTAGTGGTAGTATAAATACCACACTATCATGCAACAGGCACTATGTGGCATCTAGCCATGACAGCATAAGAAGAATAAGAACATCATGCAACAGACAGAACAAAGAGAATTTTTTAATTACGACTCGCTGAAATCCTTGTCTGTTCGGTTTTTACATCCTCAATCATCATTTTAGCAATCTTCCAAGCCATTTCCTCTTTTGCCTGTATAAAGAAACCATTGACATTAATAAACACCGATTTCTTCTGATATTTCATTTATTCAGACATACATTATTCTCATTATCAGGAACCAGGGGTAAAATTCTGTAGCTTATTTCTTGCTTCTAGAAAAATAACCTTTTTTAGTTCTTTCTTGGAAGTGAGAAACGAGAGACAGAATTTTACTACTGGGTTCTGGAGGATGTTTTCTGACCTTCTAACAATGGTCTAATATATAAAACATAAAAAATGGTGTAACACTTTGCTATTTCATAAATCAATTATAATATTAATAGATTTTAGTTAGTCTACAGTACCTACCTTATCCTCTCCTCCAGACACCAGTTTACGCATGGCTTTACCAAGTTTCGCAGCTGTATATTACAATGTAAAATTATATTTTTCAACAATATATTTATAGGTAGTGGTAATTCTTTATCATGTAGTATTGCATAGTGATAAGTTTGTTTTTACCTGTAGAGGTATTGTTTCTTTCCTGGTCTGGCTCAGGTTCAAAGATTGGTTCAAAAATTCCAAACTCATTAACACGGCCAAGAGACAAAGGTCTGTAATTATAGAAAATATCATAGATTATGGTAAGAACTGGTATAAATTTGATACTAGTCCTAGTATTTTTCCTGAATAGGACAGATGATAATTGATAATAATTGTCAGTATGTATTCAGTTTTGGTGACAGCAAGGATATCAATCTATTTAACCAATCAGTGAGCATATTCCACTCTTTGTGTTTGTGTTTGAAGTAGTATCAACAGAATAGTGGCAATTTACCCAGCGTTAGGTCTGTGCCAGATAGCATCAGGATTCTCAGTCAAGTCAAGGTCAGAACCAAAGGAATTCACAAGCCTTGTGCTTTCATCTGTATGGCCACCATGTTTGGTTGGATGGCTCTCATAATGGTCGGATGTCTCACTTGGATTTGGTGAATCAGTGACGGAATTTAGCAACTCATTCAAATACTTGTAATAAATGTCACTTTGGAGAAAACTTGGGAAGAATACCTGGTACACACAAGAAAAATGTCTGCATTTAAGGGACGCTCTTTTGCTGGTGCCAATTAAAAATATGAAAACATTGCAATGTTGAGAGGCTAATACCCATGGTTTCGATCAATCAATTTGAAATTGTTTTCTGAGCTAAAAATAACTGCTGCAGCTCAGGTCAACAGAAATGTGACACTTGTCCAGCCTAACCCTCTTAGGCCAGTGCTTTTGAGTGATTCTCATGGACTGGTCACATTTTGATCAGTCTAACGTGGTCAGTCATTATGCCTGGCCATTGAGCAGTCATTGTTTTTATTGACTCATGTCTTCCTAGTAGTCAGTAATGTTCTGCAGATACATGGTCTATAGTGGTTAAACAACAAGTGTGAAAATCTATACCTCTTCTAAAAGGCACAAGATGTGTTCCAGGGGGATGCCAAAACATTCTGGTAAGGGTCCTCCTTCACGGCATATACTGTTCTCAACTTCTATTCTAGTGACATCATCAAAACCAAGTGGCAAACTTGCTTGCATGGAAAAATACCTGGAAAACAAGAAAATCTGGTAGTAAGTAGGACGTTAAGGAAAGAGAAATGGGATTGTTACAATTGCTATTGTTTATGGGAAGGGGAAAAGATCAAGGTTTATGTAGCAGTACTACTATCCCCTTAAACATCTGTCTCTCAGGTTTGATAAGTAAAGTTTGGTGGGTCTATCTTTTGATTTTAGCATTTTTCTCTGGTCCAGTTTGAATTCCTCCAAACTTTGCCATGCTAAATTCTACTTCAATCTGCGAGTTAGCTGTGCCCTGACTTAAAGCACCCCCAAGGATTTTCAGTGTTTTTCAGGGATGAAATATGATGTCATAAATTACGTAGGTGGGATGACATCATCACACATATCAGAAAAAATGACCCATTTCAAAAATTGGTTTTATTTATGAGTTTAAAACATAAGAAAAACCTCTTAAATATTCTAATCCTTTCCAAAGAAACCATGGCTGATAAATAGGTAAGACCCCCTTAAGTGATACTGGTAAAGGGTAATCGTGTACTTCATGACCAGCCTACATGTGTCGGTCGACAGTCACCCAACTGTTGACCAACGCTTGCCTAACACTTGCCCGTCACTTCACCAACACTTCACTATGATCGTTTTGCCTACGTGTACTTTTGCCTACAGAGGTATCTTATCAAATACTTTGTGATAAATCTTTAAAGATAACAGGATACCTTTCATAAATAATCATAGCATCGTCCAGTGCCTGTTGTGTGTTATATTCACCACTTTTCAGCTTGTCTTGAAGCAGAGACTGAAAATTATCTGCTGTCAACCAGAACTCTAACATATGACGAACATCTTCTTGCTCTAAGAACTGCCAAATGAAATAAATCAATGACGACGTGAAATATGGAACATTTTGGAACATTTTGAATAAACTTCAAACAAAATCTGATAAAACGACCCCCCTATCACTGAATTGCCTTTAGGATGAGAAAACTTTAAATGATAATACTGGAAGTCTTGTGTTAATGAAAAAAACGTGTTTAATTTGAGGGGGAGAAATCTCTTAACCCAGGACCCTGTCATTCTTACCGTACGTTTGACGAAAAATGAATGCAGTACTAGCCAAAAATTTGGAAATTTTGTAATGAACATGCTCAAATTTGATTTGTATAGGCTAAATTTATTACTTGAAGTGTTTGTCTCTGACTTAGAATATCTTGAAACAATCTTACAAATGTTTCGATCCATGAACATGRATCTTCTTCAGTGTATATTTTGGGCACACATATTTTAAAAATAATATTGGTACTACCATGTGCAAGAGTCCTGTACAAGAGTACTATATATTTCTGGAAGCTTGATACCAGTCCTTGTTTGACTTCAGATCTTGATTGGAGTACCAAGCTTCCAGAAATAGTCTTTGGTAGTTATTCTGCTCACTGTCTACGATTTTGGCATCTTGGAAATTAATTTCATGCCCTGTTCCATTTATGTTTGAATTTATGTTTCAAATATTTGATTCCACAGAAGAATTATTACAAGATATCATATACTCACCTCCATGAAGTAAAACATAGCATGTTGATTGTATATGATATCAGATAGAAAAACCTTGTTACTAGTTAAGATATCAAGTTGGTGTTTGAAGTAGAAAGTACTTTGTATAAAGGTTGGAAAATACCTGTTGACAAAAAAATTGTACACTGTATCAAAATTAATATAAACCTATTAAATACAATGTACCTTAATTGTGGTGGTGAAACGTTTTAACAGACAAATGTCATTCCCTAAAGAATAATATTCTTTGTTTGAATATTGTTTCCACGTTTAAGTGTCTTCTCATGCACAACCATTAAACAAAGAAATGATACTCTTGGGAATGACAGGCAGTCTGTAATGGGAATCAGCCGATTTTGCTTCTCCACCCTGCATATACACCAAATCAAAATATGGTGTCCAAGCCTCTCTTCAAGTGAAAACACTTTTGTATTTTCCACCTGAAAACAATGCTAGTCAGTCCAGAACGAAAACTATTTCGCCATATTTTGATTCGGTGTTTTGGGTCAAATATACTTAAACAACATACATTCTTTCCATGACATTAAAGGCAAACTTCTGACCAGGAGAAAAACATTCAGGATCAATTTTCCCATCTTCGCTGCAAATATTGGCTGTAATAAGATAAAAGGACAGGTAGATATTTCATACATACACAATACACCAGATTCATATTTGATGCTTTCCACTGTTTTTGAACACAGTCTTATTTTCACATTCATTCATAAGTCAACCATTTATAAGTCAGCCATTATGGCCATCATAACTTAGTATGGCTAAAAAGAATTTCAAGACAATTTCTTCTAATTTGCACAAAGCCAATAGTCCCCTTCACAGCTCCCTGCACCATCTTGAAAGGTAGTCGTGCCTCGAAGCGAGACAAATGGTGAGCTTGCAATGACAGAAACCTTTTTTAACACCTTGGACAATTATTCACATGTCTCTATCATTGCAAGCTCACCATTCATCTCTCTTCGATGTAAAGGCATGGCCACCTTTCAAGATGGCGCAGGGAACTGTGAAGGGGACTATCAACACGCATTTTAGATATTTTTTCCCATGTCGACATTAATAACTGGAACTCACCCTCAACTTGTCTCCTAAGAGGTTCATCTAAACCAAATGGGTGTGTCGCCTCCAATGAAATGTATTTACTATAAACACTCATAGCATCTATGACAATACTTCTTGTTCTTCTTCGACAAAATTCTCGCTCTTCATTCTCAAAATCAGGTTTTAAATCAAATGTCACTTTTCTTGTTTCACTTTTATTATTAGTGTTTCTTGATGCATCATCAGAATAATTGAAAACCTCATCAAAGTCAAGTCTTCCAGGATTGAATATTTTTTCACTCAATCCATCCCTTTTGTTATGGGAAGATGAACTAATGTTTTCAGTAACTAAACCTGCATTCTTAGAGTTTTGACTACTGTCCGCAACAGTTAATTTTCCATCCACATCAGAGTCCGGCATCTCTGACACACACATTGTACATTTGTCTAAGGTTCTATCAATAATGTTTCCACATTTGTCGCAGATCAGTATAGCCCCAGTATTTAACTTGTCCAACATCTGCTTTGGTCCAGTAATCTCAGAAGGATCTGAGTACCCAGAAAAGCACCCAAACTCACTGTCACTGCTACTGTCACTCAAAAGTCTCTCGTTTTTAGAAGATGAAGAGGGTGATTTTTGATGATTTGGTGCATCAGTTTCACTGTTTCCATTCACCAATGTCTCTCCTGAACTGGAAGATTTCATGCGTAACAAAGAATTCATTCTTAAACGACTGATCGTTGACAAGCGAAACGTTTCTGACGTTAACCAAAAGTTTAACAAATTCACAGCGTTTTGTTTTTGCATAAATTCCATAAAATATGGCAGGACACTATCATCCATCAATACCTCTAGAAGGGATTTAGACAGCCTTGAGTTCCTTCTAAAGGTTGCAACACACTAGAAAAAATAAAAAATATTACCAATTTATTCCACTTTTTGACTATTTTGTTAACTATGTATAAAATTGAAAATCTTCAATAATCATACCCCCTAGTCCTCTGCAGCAACATCTCCCCGTAGACTCCATACAAGGTTAATTTTTATCAATTAAGTAAAATTATTTTATAAATTTAGTAAACAAACCTTTGCACTGCCAGATCTCTTTGGACAAGATGCCAAAAGTCTTCTGCATCTTTGAACTATGAAAGAACCAAAAGTTACTAACAATATCAAGAAAATTGGAGCACAAAAAAATGGTTTTCAAATATCAAAAAGTCTTGGGGAAGATAATTCCGAAGTGGAGGCTCATGTATAGCAAATGCTCTACAATCATAATTTTTAGTCCTGTAGGGTTGAGGGATCACAAGTTTTTCATTGTTACAATGAGATTTAGGTGAACCAGATGGCTTATGATAATGAAGTTAGTATTTTCCATTACCTCCAATTGAACCATTTGTATTATTTTCTTCTTCTTCTTCATCATAAAAACCTTGTGTTGGTAAATTAGAACTTGCTTTGTCCTTGCCCTTTTTGTTTTTCTTTTTCTCTGAATTCTTCCCCTTGTTGCTTTCCTTAGCTAAAAGGAAAAAAAGAATACAGAGTTATTATAAAATTAATGCCTTATGAAATGCCTTGTTTATATGAATTAGTGTATTTGTGTCTTTAATTGAATTATGTTATCACAATCAACAAATGCTTAAAGCAGTAAGCATAAATTGATTCGCATAAATTCATTAAGTAAATTCCTTGCAAAAAAACTGGAAAATTATTAAGCTTAAATTACAAACTTCATAACAATCAATATAATGAACCAAAATTTGGATTTAATCAAGTTTTTAACTTCGAGATAATTCTGTTCAATCCACAACTACCACAATAAACACACACCAAGCTGTAAAAATAATGATAGCCTACGAATTAATAATTGTAATTCAATCAAAATTTGAGTTGAGGTGAGGAATCATTATTGTACATTAAAATAAGATTCTCAGCCCAATAACCTGCATAGGGAACTGCTTTTCTGGTGATATTCTTAAAATTTGCGTCAAGTGTTTCACTTGTTAATATATTAGGTAGGATTCAGAATGCTTGTATTTATGTAGTTAATGAATAAGATGTGTTTTTCAAGCGGAAGACTTGCCAAGACTGTACGCCTTCGTCATGCATGCAATTTGAGAGCCGCTGATTATCGACCAACTTACTTGAGGATTTACGCAGAAAACGTGGCATTCGACCAGCAAATCCTTTACACAGCGGTAATCAAATGTGTCTTGAGGGTGTAGAGTCGCATTACAAGGTTGTTCGTCGGTGTTTTCGTCCAGTAATTCAAGGATTTTGGCTGCTATTTTCAACACAATTCGCCATTTTTGTTGAAGCAAGGCGCTGCATGGTACGACTGCTGGACAGCTGTCTACATGACCGTGGGCTCAAGGTCATAAAAATAAAACTTGAAATTCATATAAACATTCCTGTTTTCTTGGTTATCCTTTCTGTTTTTATCTTATTTTTCATATCATTAATTTCTAAAAAATTAGAAACTTTTGACTAATTTTTCCAAAAAAAAACATTGGTGTACCAAGAAGAGCTTTAGTTCGACCATACTGAATTTTCATCTAAACTTTTAGGAAACATTAATAATTTTGAAAAGGAGTACGGGAATGGTGTTTAATTTTCAGTGTAAAAAGTGTGTGTAATCAAATTTGAAATTTGCATGAGAAATCATAAAAATCTGTTAGGCAAGTTCTAACCGTAAGGGACTGAAAATAGTAAGTTAGCTTATGAATATTTATGAGCTTTGCATGCAACAAAGAAAGACAAAAGGCTTATTGGCGGGAAGTTATTCAGAAATTTAGTGATGAAAAGCCACGGAAATTCGATCGGAAGCCAGAGGACTAAGCAAAGCTTTCTTTTATAGAAGTCCTAATCCTCCACCACGTTTCCGAGAGGCAGAGCACGAACGAATCCTGTCATAAGTGGGTCATCCGACTGCGAACAAAGATTCATTCAATCTCTGAAAATATTTGCAAGGAGACGATTCTTGACAGAAATCTTCATGGCTTTGTTTTAATTTCGTTTACACAGTGTTTTGGATTAAAAGCAAAGGTGAGTGTTGTTCTCGAATAGTGTTTACTTGTCAAACACGAAGATAGTATTGTATAGCGAAACTGGTTTTGAAAAAGATTCTCTTAACTCAACGTAGCTTGTCCGTTTTTCGCACACGCACTAAAGTGGGTTCTTTAAAATCTGCAGCCAAATTCCTACCGATAGCTATGTTAATTTACTATATTATCTGACTTTTAAAGAAGCATCGGTATCGTAATCCTCATAAACCTGATGATTATTTGTCTATCAGATCTCTAAGTCAACTCTACTGGATTATATTCTCAGGATGCTGTGTTCAAAGGACCGTGCTGTTTACATGAAATTCAAATTCTCCTTCAATATTATTATCATTGAAAGAATAATTTGCCTCATTGTATATTAAAGGTCCGAGGGCCAATATAAACATCAAACTATACTGTAATATTGAAATCTGCTGACAAGGATAAATTCTGAACTTGGTATGTGGTTTGTTTTTAATGCGTAGCTTTTCAAACCTTTTTGTGTGAATATGTGAATGGCTTTTCAAATTTGACATGAACGTGCAAACTCGTGTCTATAAAACTTGCTAACTGTTTTATTTGGAATTAAAAAACTAAACTTTTGTACGAATGCGGTTTAGAGCTAAAGTACTTATCCGTCACGTCTCCCAACTTTTAAGAGTTCAAACCCTAGTTAACTATGTTCAAACCAAACTTGTTTTATATACGAAGTCAGTTTTCATTGTCTAATATATTCCTCGAATGAATGACGCTTGATTAGGATTTTTAAATGTCCTCAATCTTTTTGTTCATCGGAAATAAAATTATTTAGAAGAATGTAACTACGCAATAGAATGAGTAAAATTTTCCCCTTTCATTTGTACATGTGCCAAAATTTCAACAAAAACGGTGTTTTTTTTTTCGCTTCCTGTGTGATATTATCTTTAATTTATGCGAAAGAGAAACATTGGCCGGCTTTTGTTGCAATTAAGCATTCAGTGATTGAAGTTATTGCGCTGTTCTAAAGGACATTTCGCAAATTGATTTTTTGTGTGGGTAAAATTACCCCTTGTTTTGGTATGTCGGCATTTTACTTTTATCTTTTTTTCTGACCTAAATGAAACTGTTTTTGTTGTAATTGTAAATTGTTTTGTGGAAATGGTTAATTTATAAAAATATTTGAAATAAAAAAACGAATTGTGTTGCTTCAAGAACGCTTTTCTTCTGCAGTTATTAAATCTTATCTCTTAATCACAGCTAGTTCTTACCTATGGATTTYAAAGAATTCCTTATCTATTTATTCAGGTCAAGAATATTAATTAACGTTACCATACTTTGTGTACATTAATTTCTATTTCCACACTCTTTTTTGAGTGTACTGCTTCTAAAATGCTCTAGTTGCTTAAAGACTGCAGAGTGTTGTGGTAATTTTAGGGTGAAATGTCAAACRACACAGCATTTCATTGGCATAAAACATTTTTCGTAATTGGTACTATCTCTGTCATCTAACCACAGAAATGTGATATGGTGGTTCAAAGCTGACCATCATGTTGACAAGGAATATCTTGATAACCTCCTAATGATTAGCCAACTAATGTACTATAAAAAGTGTGTAATCTTGTGCCAAGATCAATTTTACAGTAATATAATATTTAAGGTTATACTGAATCAAACTTGTTGTTTATTTCTTCCCCAGATGTCAGCCATCTCAGTACTGTGGACTGTTTTAACAGTAGTATTCACAACCTTATGCTCCATCGCCATTGTGTCACCTTTCTGGTTTGAAAATGTGCTGGATCCTGACACTTTCACCCCAGATAACAGTTCCTTCGCTGCTTTTGGCCTCCTGCGATACTGCTCTAAAAAGCATATTAAATCAGTTCTTGATATGGATGAATGGAGAGACTTTGAAACATGTTCATTTTATGGCAGCTTTCAAGACATTCCATCTCTGTTTTGGCAGTTTTCTATCATCTTTTATGGTGTTGGACTCTTATTTTGCTTGTGTTCAGTGGTCTTGGCTCATGTTTCATGCTGTAGGAAAACAATTTGTGGAAGCAGGTCTGTCTTCGGAGTGGCTGGAGTGCTACAAGCTATTGCAGGTAATTATTAAATCCATAATTTTGTACACTTAAGCTGTTATATAAGCGCAATTCATATGCAAACTTTTAATACCTTCATGTAATTTTTCTTCAGTTGTCTGCCTGGTGGTCAGTCTTCTACTGTTCCCATTTGGATTTGGCACCAATTTTGTGGAGAAATATTGCGGGCCCTCTGGTTTGTTTTATCCTGGTCATTGCCAAATATCCTGGGCTTACAGCCTTGCGATCATGAGTAGTGCTTTGTTTATCTTTTGTCCTGTCATTGCAAAGCATCTGTATGTTGTAACACCAAGGGCAAAAGCTACAGTTGTATAAAAGATATATGCATATATTGGTAAAAAACATCCCACATGGGGTGGGGGTGAAATTTTTCAGGCACAATTGGCCCTTTGCAGCATGTTGGAATGAAGCTCAATTAGAAGGACATAGCAGTAGGTTTCCAATTCTCTTGATATCGAAATTATTTTGTTTTGTCCTCCAAATTAAGCTGCTTTGACGTCACATGATACTTAGGGGTCTATTAAGAAAGTCTGAAGGTGGGATGTGTATATTGAAGACTGTATTCTTTCTTCATATAAGCAATCCCTAGAGCTCTCTATAATATATCAATCCACTTCTTTGGAGAAGTTTTGAATCTGCTTATTGTCCTTCATACTTTCCCAAGAAATTCTTATTATATGTGGGCCCTTTTTCCCATTTTATGGGTCTGTATAAACGCCGTTCTAGAGACTCTCTTGCTCTAGTGCAAATTCCCATCATTTCATGAATAATACAACCTACAAAGCACTGGAGTGAAAGAACATATGAAACCCAGGGTACAGCATTAGCGAAATTGAAAAATGATTTGAAATCTATAATTTAGATGTGATAATTAGTTAATGATTATTGATTATTTAGACCTGATTATTTATTGTACAAACGTCATACATAATTTTGATGCAATACTCCTTATTAATATCATGTACATAACTTTTGTTATATAAGGTGAAGGCATTCAACCCGTGAAGTGAAAAAATGCTAGTCAAGTTGTAATTGTCAAACGAACACAATTGCAAAAGAAAACAATGAAATTAGGGTCTACTAATATCTATTGGCCTACTATCTATTTCACAGCTTCACAGCTTTAGTGACTTCACTCAATTTTACTAGGATACAACCTTATATCTTGCATGAAAACTTTTGGGAAATAATTTTTTGGCATTTTCTAAAAATTCGACTGGGATGAAATATTTGGATATATATCAGAAAATTTTTTATAATGTACTTTCTCTGACTTGCATTTTCAAGACAAACTTCAAACTTTGGCATACTTTCATCATTCTAACACTTTCTACCCCTTGTTTTTCCTTGCGGGAGGGGTAGGGATATGTCTCCACTTGCACTCATCCCTTCTTTAGCTCTTACATTTCAGTGCATAAATTTTGCTACCATTCATATATACTTGTATACTTTATATTTCGATCAACTTATATACTTCACATATTTCTAACTATATTCTTTGAAATGTTTTTACCTATAATATATACAGTATACCTATATGTACAGCAGGGGCAAAGCCAGGATTTTGACTTGGGAGCCCAAAACTGTTTTCAGAACATCAGTAAGTCATGTGAACTTGTTGAATAACTACTTAATTTGGTTTTTAGGTTTCTACAGCGTGAGGTGGGGGCCCAGGGCTCTCTTTGACCCCCTGGCTATGCCCCCTTTGACCCCCTGGCTGTATGATGGGAAATGTGTGGTATGTCTATGAATTTTCCTAATCATTTCCCACTCTTACAAAAACTACTTTAAGAATAGGAAGCTGCTTGTGCTTGTGAGCTTCCTCCACATTCAAAAATTTACATCATCTCATGTCTGATGGATATTATTAGAACACTATAGCTTTCAAGAACATTAATACATCGAGTTTTTATGTTGTAAACCATTCAAATTCTAAGCAATTTTAGGGATCCATAAAATTATGATCATATTAATAGATTGAGATTGATAAATAACTTTTAAAAGTAGATCATATATTCATTTTATTTAAGAGTCCTAAAATATTACAACCAATAAAGTATGAATAAAAAAAACAAAGTTGTCATAGTATGTGTTAGCTGTTTGCCATTCTCATTATCTTATTGTTGTGCAGAAGGGCCAGGAAAAGCCAATTTTATTGCAGAAACTTCTTCAATACTGATAAATAATATCTACAAACTAAGCGATAAAATTTGATGATCCAAAGTCTGAGTTAGGCAGGAAACGTTGAGTTTATGACCTCCCCTATATCTACCTTATTTATCAAGTCGGGTACGTCTTGATTAATGCTATCAATTCTTCAATTTAGCTAAAATCCATTATTTAAGTATAACGCAGCCATCTTGTCGCATCTAAGTGCCTGCAAAAAAAAAGAGACGCCTGTACTGAAACGATTAGTCCTACTGTCTTCCGAGTGACGTCATTCCAGGAAGCATTGGCTTGAAATGTCAGGCAATATTTTTTTTCTTTCTCACTTAGGAAAAACCTGTAGTCCATTAAGAAAGATATGTTCAAAATTTTTCGAACATGAATCTTTTAAAGGCGGAACCAGTAAGTTTTTGGCCAACATTTTTTCAGTGGCGTCGGGAGGCGGTGCAAGCATTATTTTCTAAAAAGGCACCCTTTTGTTGACACATCATGTTTACAGATTATTTGGTTGTTCTTTCGCCTGATGTGAAAAGAGCTTTTTATATTTTCATTATTTAGAATCATAGGAAGTATGTTTTTGCATTTCGCGTCTTCTTGAGTCGGAAGTCACTGTCTGGCGTGACATATTGGGCTACCTTTGGTTCCCATCCAGAGTTAACCTGGGACCAAAAGCTTTCTCTTCAATGGCGGCGCTTTCAAGTTTGTCTGAGAGTACCGTAAAAACTGTTCGCCTAACTTATCAAGAACTCCTTGAATTGGCAAATATCTTAGACAACGAGAAGAAAGAGAAGTCACCTAAGAGTAAAAGCAAGGAAAATCTCGAGGAAAATGAATCTAGGGTTGTTGTTTCGCCAAGTAAAGATGAGAGGACGAATGTTGACAAGGATGAGGAAAGTGAATCAGTAGTTTTAGAAACGAAGACAGACTCAAAGAAAACTGAAAAGAGGACCAAAGAACAGAAGAAGGGTAGCAAAAAGAAAGGTGAAGAAAAGAGGAAGCACAAGAGTCGATCGCATAGCGATGAAAAGCACAGTGGACGCGAAGACGATGACGAAGTTTGTTCGCATCACAACAAAGAAAAACGTGAAAAAACTACCAAGGCTGAGAAAACACAGAATGATTCAACTGAGAGCTCAGTAGATGTAGAAGTTTCAGGCTCGTTGAAGGGCAAAGAAGAGAAAAAGAGTCCTCGTAAACGTAGTCCTAAGTTGAAGGAAGGTTCAGGTGAAAAAACAGCTGATTTAGAGGATCATGTTGCTAAGTTACGACTGGATGCCCATGGAGAGGAAGAGGAAAGGAAGAAGGATACYGAGGAAGGAAACTCACGTAAATCTAATAAAAACATCAAAAAGAAAACTAAAAGTTCCGAAGAAAGGGATAAAAAACATTCTGAATCAAAAAGGAAAGACAAAAAGAAATCAGGTGTTGTGGAAAACAGCAAAAAAGACTCATGTGAAGAGGAAGGGAAAGAAAAAGAGAAAAGAAAACGAAAAAATGATAACATAAAAATTGATGATAATTGTTTTGAAGATGAGCATAAGAAACAAGGTATTTTGAAGTCTTCGCCAAAGGCAAAAGGTATTCATGTTAGTTTTAGTGAGGATATCGAAGATCCTCACTCTAGTGAAAATAATAATGCATTAAGAAGTGAAGAAAGAGGGATTATAAGGATTCCCGAAGGGATTGATATACATCAAGAAGATGGAAAGATCAGAGGAAGCACAGAGTTTGAAGAATGTCTTCTAGAGATTGATTATCATCATCATGATGTCAATGATGGTCATGATGATGATGATGAGAGTATTTCACAGACAGCTGAAATATCACATGACATACCTTATGACAAAGGTGTTCACCACCATGACAATCCTGATGCCAAACCAATTGATAAAGGAAAAATAAGCACCATGGAGAAACGACTCAAAGCCTTAAATCGGCAAAGAGCTCAACAGCTAATAAAACAATGTCATCATGCTGAAAATAGCCTAAGTAATCTTCTTTCCAAAGGAATATCTGATAAAGGAAGTTTACATAGAGTATGTACACTGAGTAAAGAAATACAAGACTTATACCAAGGTGTTATAATGCTGGATCTTGGTTTAGCTAATCAACATGATGTTGACCAGTTACTGTGGAAGAATGCTTTCTACCAAGTTATTGAAACATTCCGAAAATATAGTAAACTTTTTTTAGGTTATTCAAATCAAAAAAATATGATGTCTTCCGATGATATCAATAAGGAACTTTATCAATTCCTGGAGACAGCATCTTATTTTTACTCTGATCTACTTGGGGGACTCCAGAAGACATATCACTTTGAAGTCCAGGATATTGTGAGCCAGCCAAGGAAAGCTGAAATGTTGGGTAGAAATGTAAGTACTTGAAGCATCGAGCAAGCTGATGAAGTACAATGCTCAACAATTGTATGACCACTTAATGCATTCCCATATTTTTATGCTGAGAAATCTTGCTGCAAGAGAAACAACTTTGTGTAATATTTTGAAAAATCATGAAGAAACATGTCATGCACACTTTCCCAACAAACATTAATTAAGAAGTAGTTGCATATAAATAAAAAATTATAATTTGCACCATATGCACTAATATGTTACTCTCATTATGCAGCTTCTATAATATGCACACATACAACCACTGGCACACTGGGCTTAATTTTTAAAAAAATACTGTATCAACCAATATGTCTTTGAATTTCAGGCAAAGCTAGCTCTACTTAGCTGTCACTACATCCTTATCTTTCTCGGAGACATTGAAAGATACAAGGAACAGCTTCACACATCAAAGAGGGTTAACTGGGGTGCAGTCAGGACCTGGTATTTAAAAGCCTCAAAACTTGCTCCTAAGAATGGAAAACCCTACAATCAGTTGGCCGTTATCGCTGTCTATGCTAACCGTAAGCTGGATGCAGTTTATTATTATGTTAGAAGCCTGGCCGTTAGTTCTCCTATCCTCACAGCCAAGGAGAAGCTCACAACTATTTTTCATGAAATTCAAAGAAAGGTAAGAAGTGATTATCTCCCAAAAAGCTTCTGTGATTGGGTAAATAGACCTTAAGCTTGGGCATAATTTTTTACCATTTTAGATCTTGTGTCATTCCCTAGAGTAATATTTCTTTCTTTAATGGTTGCACATGAGAAGAAATATGAATAGGAATGCAACATGAATGAAAATTTTTTTTTTCTCAAGAGAAAGACGCATGGATGGAAATGACAAAAATATGACCCAAGCTAAAGAGATAGCTGTTTTCCAATGAAAATGCATATACCTATGTAATCTTGATATAACTACACAGACTTGCTACACTATAAGATTTTCATGACCATAAAAAAATTGCTACATGCATGCAATCAGACTCAGACAATAGCGAACCAATCACTGTTGCAGTCATTTTCCCAATGGAATTAAAATCCTGTCCTACAAACTAAACAGTATTATTCACCTACCAAAGAAATGCGGCTTATTCACCTATTGGGCACTCTTAGTCCCAACGTGATTAATGAACGCTTTACTTTCAACTAACCTTTTCTTTTGTCTTTTGATTGTTTGTTTTTGTTTCCTTGCCTACCTTGCTCTCATTGGTTTCTTTTGTCTTATTCTATCATATATACACTCCTTTCTACCACTTCTTTCTCTTTTACTCTGACGAAGGACTAGCGTCCGAAACGTCAGTAAGTTTTTTCATCTTTTCACGGTGTACAATTTACCTTTTCATCAGTATCTGTTTTAAAGATACACCATGGATTATGAAGCAGTTTTCTATTCTTTTCACAGGACTGTAAACTATTAAGACAATTTTAAAACAATTTTCAGGGATCAGAGCTTCAAATTTAGAGATATTTCAGATAATTTTTTAAGCTTCTGGGACATAGTAATAGTAACTAAGGGGAATCAAAACAATGCCAGTTATGGTATTTTACCTTAGTTTAAGCTTTTCATCATTCATTTTACTGTTTATTCATTAGGCTGATCAAGTCCAGCAGGAAGAAGAGATGAAGAGAAGACAGCAAGAACGCCAGAGGACTGCACATGATAGGAGAGATACCCCTCGAGGGCATGGAAGGAACGTCTTTAAGGAAGCAGCCAGGGAGGTTGGACTAGTTGCAGAAAAAGAGCCAAACAATACAGGAAGGTACTCTATCATGGAAAAATATATCAAACAAGAAGATCTTTTAAAGACCCCTTTGAAAATTAATTTGAATGTGAGGCTAGATTTGCATTCAAAAAAGGGGTGTATTAGTTGAATTTTATAGAAGATTATTTTGAGATGTAGCAAGTAAGCTAATACTCCATTTTATAGTTCCATTCCAAGCCGAGGTTGGGGTTTCCGCATATGATAAAAAGTATAGGTTTGCTATGCACGGAAACTCCAGCCTCGGCTTGGAACGGAACTGTAAAGTGGAGTATTGCCTGGCTACTGTGTTTATCAGAGGATAGAGATATGTTTCTGCAAAATTGTTCAAAAATATTTTATAACAGCAATATAAGATGGCTGCTTTTGTCTCTGTATTGTGATATAAACACTCTGGGAGCTGTAGAGCACTTGAGAAGCATGAGAAACACTTGGCTACACCTTGTGTCCCTAAGCTTGTTTCTCTCTTGCTCTGAAGCCACCAGCATGTTTATCACAGTACAGAGACATGTGTGCATGTTTTAAATTGCTTTTAATATAATATGAATTACCCATGCTTTATACTTGTATGATATCCTTAGTTTGATTCTTTTTAGACATGAAATTTGGGTCTTCATGAGGCAAGGTAAATGTAGAAGGCTTATTCTCACTAATCAAGGGAAAATCCAACCAGTAGATGCCACAGGAACCCCAATCACCAAAGAGCACCAGCAAGAAAATAACCACAGGGATCCCATCAAAGAATCACCAAAGATTTCTCTTCAAGAAGTAAGTTGTTTTTTTTGGGCTTGGATGATTTGTATAGAACTCTAGGCCCACACAGAGTCAAGGGGATGGGTGCATAGTAAAATTTACAAAGGAGGATGTACATGTACATCACATCCTTAATTCATGAATTGCAAATTCGCAAGCTATTTTTACCTTCCCTCTTAAAAATAATAATTATATAATAATAACCTTCTTACTATCATTACTATTAGGTGAACAAGAAATTTATGCTTCATTTCCTTTGCGCACATGGTCTTCTCTACACTAGGATTGGGTAAATAAGCTGTGCATGATAATGTTTTTAGAGTAAATGCCATTTTTTAAATTTTTCATTAGAATTTTACTTCTCACAAAGTATTGATCAGCTAATTAACCTAATTAATAATTAGAGCCACAGCTTGAATTGTCTAGGTTCAATAGCCTATGAGGCCAAATAGGCTACTGACTCATAGAACATGAGGGCTAGAGGTCTAATTGTTTTAGTATTAAACCTACTAATTGGTCAAATGAATGGATACAAAAAAATTCAAATTAGATGGAAAAAAATTATTTTTTTGCTAATTAAAGTAGTCTATTACTGATAGACCACTAGTAGATTGGCCAATCAGTGCACAGGAATTGTAATAAACCATTAGTAGGTCTATACTAATGAGTGACATCTGTCCTTTCTGTTACAGCATGGAAAGGCTTCCTAGCCTACAAGTACAGTTGATAGGAGAGCTGCACACCTTGCTGGGCTTCCCCCAGTGCTCTTCTGTCAGTTACATCAGCCTGCTACAGATGTCTGCTATTAGCATGTATGCTATTGATCACACTGCACCAAGAGGTATGACACTTCAAAATATCCTGTATATATTTATAGGGTCATAGTCTGAAGAAATACTGCTGAAGAGGGGGTCCACATGCAGGCTGCTTAAAACTACCAAAGTTAAAAAAGATTGAATGAAAGTATTGAGTCATAGTGAGTGGCAGTCATTCACTGAAAGTCAACAGGACTTAAAATAATGGCCGGATGTCAGACAATATCTTTTCCTTGCCAATAATTTGACCAGTAAAGTTTAGCCAGAAATGAGGTATGACTAAGCTACTGTAAAACTAATTTGGCCAGTTATCATTACCGGAAACTGATTGGCCATGGTCAAGTGCAGTGTCACGATAATGCACTAACTTGCCTTGATACAGAACAGAAGGTGATAAAGACTATAACTATAGTACAGTATATCTTCATCTATTTTCTTCATTTTCACAGAAAACCCTGAACCATTTATCAGAGTCGGCACCCCACAAGACCAAGCACTCACCCTCGCTATAGATATGCTGATATCAGTGCTTAATGCCTGTACAGAACTCCTGATGAAACCTCAGGAAGATAACTGTCACCATGGTAACGGTATTGAGCTAAGTGCTACCTTAAGACAGTTCATTCCTGCTGTAAAGGTGTGGTTTGATTGGCTAACTTCTCATCAAGATTTATGGCAAGCTTCTAGCATTAGGTAAAAAGAAACTTTTTCTTCAAAGAATCATTTATTTTGTTTGTGAGAGAACTTCATATTTTTATATTAGTAATGATGTACAGTAGTAAAAAAAAAAAGAAAACATTTTTTTCCAACCACCACTCCCCATACGGGGCTCTTCCATGAGGTTCCCTCCACACGCACTACCAATACATTCTATATTTACAACATACAACACTCAACTCACATGTTGCTTTTTCCGGAGGGAGGAAACTAGAGATCCCAGAGAAAAGTCCTTGTGGCAAGGGAGAGAACAACACATCAAACAAACTCAACTCACATATTTACAGTATGATACAGTCTGAGCCGGGGCTCAAACCCGGGCCACAGCAGTAAGAGGCAAGTGGCACAAACCACTACCCATGCCACCCTACTGATTTGATTTCGATTCTTACCTTTCAGTATTCATAGAACATTATGGGAGTCCATTGCTCAGTTCACAAACTTGCTGATTCAGCATGAATCGCCTGAATTTGAGGAAGAGGAAGATGGTGAGATAATGTGTATCTGTCGTAAATTGCTCTGGGCCGGGTTGTTCAAAGCTGGATTAGCGCTAATCCAGGATTAACTCTATAGGTCTTATTAGGAGTTAACCCAGGATTAGCACTAATTGGGCTTTGAACAACTGGGCCCTGAAATTTTGCACCATATCATATTTTTACATGCAGTTTCTGATAATGTTACCAAAATCCTAAATGTTTTTAAAAACAATTTTGTGACGTCATCACTTCGGTACTCTCCCCTTTCTATGCCCCTGATATGGAAAAACATTGCATCAAAACAAATAAAATCTATTTTTCATCTTAACCATTCAGGTGAAGTACTTGTGACCCTCAGGGAAGATGAATTCCTAGCAGGCTTCAAGCCACTTGCTGATGCAAAGAAATATTCCATGACAGTCAGAGACCCTCAACTCAAGGTATGGATTTCATAGCAGTGGGGGAAAATACATCATTCCAAACCATATCGTTAAAGGAGAAGGGGTACAATCTCTGCTGTTAATATATCTTTTTGTGCACATTAAGTGTAGTGGTTTACCCAAAACCATTTTCCTGGACAGTACAATATTACTGCATGTTTTCATGGCAAGAGATTTAATTTTGCTTCCAAAAGGAGAAAAATTCTAATTTTTTGTTCTACATGGCTTTCTTAAGACTCTTACTCATCCCATCTGTAATGTTGAGTAATATTGCATTTTTCTTAAAGCCAAATAACTTTTTTTTAATGTTTTTGTTGTTTTCTTCAAGGAATTTGCTGAAAACCATCTTCACATTATTGCAGTAAAAGATTTTTGTAGACTGATGTCGTCAATACCAAACCCTACACTGCAATACTGTCAGGACACTGAGCAATACACTGCCGTTATAACAAGTATCCCTGCATCCCAGCCACAGAACAGTTCATCTGTAAATGTACACATGGATGTTGATCATCAGACCCCTGATCATCAGGTACACCTAGTTTACTTGTCATCTTCTCTTATTGCTGGAATTTCCCTCCAGAACAAACAGCCTTGGTTCTGTCATTTCAGTCAAGTCATTTCAGCACTTTAACTCCTTACCCACCCTACCCCCCCCCTTAAACAATAAATTAATTAGTGAGTTAAAATCCCTAATTAAAAACTCTTACGTGCAGTCCCTGTCTCAATGGTCGCCTCAACTCTTCCTCCATTTTCCACTCCATTGCCTCATGCATTGGTGATGTAGCACTACAGTTGGCCTGTGATCAGTGGATACCAATTAAGCCCTCCTTAATTTATGAATGTGATTAATTTCGCATTTAGGAATCATATGAGTCAGATGACGTCATTATTGAGAGTGTATTGGAAGATGTTGAATCTGGGTAAGAAAAATGTGCTGCACTAACCATTATATTAAAAGACTCTTCCCTTCCTTTCCTTTCCTTGTTCCTTCAGAACCCTTACTTCCTTCCTTTCTTTCCTCCCTCTCCTCCACTCAACCTTTCCTGAGTCTTCCTTCCTTCCTTTACCACTCACTCTCCCTTTATCAAAATTTCTTTTCTGACTTTCCTTCCTCATCAAAACAAAGTTTGCTACAAGATATTAATACTCACTTGAATGCTATTTTCAGTGATGAAGCAGACAAAGGATTCAAAGAATTGAAGGYAATGAAATGCCACACCTTTAAAGATTATATGCTTGTCTCTTCCATTCTCTTTTACACTGGCAATCCTGTATCTAAATATGTTGTTTTATATCTTACCGTGAAACCAACAGGCAAAGAAAGAAAAACTTACCAGAGAATTAGAAGACCACCAAGAGAAACACAGTAAAGCCAGGGTAAGTATGTCAAAGACGTCCTTCATATGACCACTGCGTGACAACCCAACAGACATCTGTGTAGGACGCTGTGGAAATATTGCTCATCAGACCCTAAAGGCTGGCACCTTCCTACAACTCGAGTCTTAGCGTGTAAATCAAGCCTACAACTCGCCTACGACAGACACGAACGTGTTGTATACAATAGTTGTAGGTGAAAATCGTACCGTCTAAATGGGCCTCAAGAACGTCATTTCCTTTTTTCAAAAACATCAATTTGTGAATGTGAAACAATTTGAAAATAACAAATGACGTTTCATTGATTTAGGTTTTTACTTTCCTTTGACAAGTTTCGGCAGACCAATTTGTGACATATTTTATATTATTGATGTGACGCTCACAAGCTGTTGTCAAGGATGGCGAATCACCCTAAAAAGTGTTTTGCTTACATTAGAAAATATAGCAGACTACAGGTAGTATGTATAAGACTATTAAAAAATAATCCTTTTGATTGGTTTCAACAGGCTGTGGTCCACGAGAATGTTTCCAGACCACACCTAATGTCAGAGAACTACCCTACATACCTGGTACCAGATACCAACTGTTTCATTGATCAGTTGAGTGGTTTACAAGCCATCGTCATGACTGGGGACTTTACATTAGTTGTGCCTTTAGTTGGTAAGTATTGTCTTGGTACCTGTGATCTTTGCACAGTACTAGTAGAAAGAGTAATAGCCCCTTCACAGAGGCCTGCGCCATCTTGAAAGGCTCTTTGCATCGAAGCTAGATGAACAGTGAGCTTGCAATGATAAAGAYGTGAATAATTTTCCAAGGTGTTAAGAAAAGGTCTATCATTGCAAGCTCGCTGTTCATCTCGCTTCAATACAAAGGTACGGACACCTTTCAAGATGGCGCAGGGAACTGTGAAAGGGACTATTGAGCTGGGTAGGTATCATGTAGCATCATTACACAAAACCTGCCAGGGTATAATGCAAATGAAATAAAAAACCTTGTAAATGATTCGGCTTCATGTCCCCTATACTTGATTAAACTAGTCCAGTTAAACCATAGCTTGAAATATATAAGTTTTAGTTTCTTAGTAACTTTGTAACTAAGTAGCTAAGTAACTTTAAGCCAAGTTTGCATAACTTTCATATTTGTAGTTAACGGGYGTCGTTGTGGTCTGACTGCATGCACAGTATTGCATATGCAACAGAGGTGTACATGTCATTAACCATTATGTATTTATGTCTATGATAATTACAGTTATCAATGAACTTGATGGACTGAAGAAGGACCTTATGATTGACAAATATCATGATTTTGCACATGCACAGATGGTCTTGGAAAATTCTAGGTACTTGTGGTAAAATTTCTCTAGGTTATTGTAAATAGATGTCATTTCTGGTCTTGCAAGGCAACCTCGTACACCTCAGTGTTCTTAACTATTTTTTTTCCTTTCTTACATACCCAGAGCTGCTATCGATTTTCTGGAGGATCAGTTCAGTCTTCGGTCACCAAACGTCAAAGCAGTAACCAGCAAGGGTACAGTTATGGATACCATAGCCTTTAGAAGCGAGGATACAACTGCTAGGACGGTTAGTGCCACACTCATTACAATATTACCTAATGCTGGAGACTACACACAGTAACATGCATTTCATGTTTCCATCCTATTTCATATAATGTGGGGTAATGTGAGATATGTTCTTTCTTTCGTTTTTCATACCTTCTTTATATATTTAATTCTTTCCACTTATGCTCCAGGGTAATAATGATGATGTCATCTTGTCCTGCTGTTTACATTACTGTCAGGAAAACTTTGTCAACAGACTTGCAACTGGTAAGCTAAGCTTTACTTTGTGTCATCACCATCATCATCACCGTCATTACCAACATCACCACCATCTTCATCATCTTCTTCACGATTATCATCATCAACATCATCTTCACCATCTTCTTCACGATTATCATCATCAACATCTTCATTATTATCATCATCAGCACACTCATCATCAATAATCACCACTATCATCGTCGTCGCTATCTCAACCAACATCAATATCATCACCAATAATTCTAAACTAATACAGCCTTATACACTTCTTCTTTAGCCGACCAGCCAATCACTATCCGTCGCAAGGTGGTCCTTCTAACTGATGATCGTAATCTACGTGTGAAAGCCTACACGAGAAACGTACCAGTACTGACTGTACCACAGTTCCGACAGATGGCACGGTTATAAAGCACGTGACTGAACAAGTGAGGGTCACATGACCTGTGGCGAGATATCTGAAGTCGCATGGTGATCACATGATCACGTCGACAAACAGCTAACCAGAGGGGTGGGGTATTGACAGTGGCCAATACTAATGTTCGATTTTGAATTCAATTGACCCCTCGCTAAGGTCGAGCAATGGCACAACCGACAAGCTATATAACTAATACCCATTGTTTGACCTGTATTATCAAACAATGTAATGCTGACGTACTGGTGGGGACAGAAGAGTAACATCCAGCTTGTCCTTCAGCATGACCGGGTTACCTCCCTCATCATGGCCTTGCCTCCATATCTGGAACCTAGTGTCAGGATGCTCCCATCTCGGTCTAATGATGGTTTGCAGCAATCCCTATAAGAGTCAAGAGACCAAGACGATGGCCATGTTGGTGGCATTAGCAAAGGAGGCTGATGAGGAATCTTGTGTTAAATACCACTAACATGGCGGCGATGACGTAACGTGCAACAATACAATAGTTTACTAAGGAGTCATGTAAATGGTAGTTACTTTTGCTGAATACGATTACAGTATTTAGCTATGTTATCATTTTGATATACACCTATTTCGAAGATCGTTATCGCACCAAGAGCTTCAAGTAACAAGCCAAGGCTCCAGAGAACGTCGGTACTTTATAATTGATTTATTCATGGTTGATGCAAGTGGCTATAGCTCTACACTAATTATCATCTCAAGCAGCCTTGCTTGGAGCAATTTGTGAAGTCAATAAATGAAAATGCACCATGAATAAATTAATTACAGCTAAAAGTACCAGCGTTCTCTTCGGTCTTGGCTTGTTGCTTGAGGCTTTTGATGCGACAACGATTTCTGAAATAGGTGTAATATTAACGATCATTGTTTAGTTTAGAATATAATTTTATGAAGCCAAGACCTAAAAGAATACTACGTTCTTGCTAGGCACCGCAAACCTAACTGCAGTTCGACGTCGAGCGTATTACGTCAAACTTTCGACATTTAGGAAGGCGTAATAACGAAGTTATGAGAAGAGCCGCCATATTGGATTACATTGATGCCGAGTGTTTCTCCGTGTTGACGGGCGTGTTTCTGTGCCTGATCCCTGGCGATTAGCGGTAAGCCTGATGCTAAAGATCTATAATGACTAGCGGTTACTAGTTGAAACAGACAGGACTGCGTTAAACAAGTGAACAAGAATAGGACTTGAACAGCATTTAAAACGTTTTTACACGTTGCTCAAGTTTCCTTATGCAGCTTGTCGCGTAGACCTGGGCGAGGTCGTAAGAATAAAACACCCATATTAAGCATAGGACAATAGTTTCTTTTTCAAAAGACTTCAATAAAAAATCTAAACTTCCAACATTTTGACGTTTATTTTAACGATCAAATTATTATTCATTACGATTGATACAATTTAATTTTGAACCCCCTTGAGTTTTGAATAATATACACATTTTGTGTACCGATAAATGTAAAACATACATCTTCTTTATGCGCAATCCCCGCGTCACGTGACTTCAGGGAGCTCGTCTTTTGGTTCCTCCCAAGGGGTAGGGGATGTCTAGACAAGTTCCAGGTAGAGGGATACAAATGAAGACCTCTAAAGATAAAATTGCGCGAGAAATGATGTTTTTCACTGATCGGTCTAATACGTAAGGATTTATTCCCGTCCCTCACTGATTAGTCCATTCCTATTGAGCATAGCGATATAACGAGTTTCATGATTGGTCAACAGCTCAGCATTCTATCCAATCACGGCAGCGTCAAAACAACGAGCTATGTGATTGGACAACACCTATGCGTTCCCTCCAATCAAGACAAAGCCAACTTRACAAGCTCCGTGATTGGACAAACACATATACATTCTACCCAATCACGACCGCCAAATTATTTTCAATTCAAGATGCTTTGCCCAATAGTAAAATGGCATATTGAAAGAATATATTCCTTTTTAAATATCCTTTAACTCCCAAAGAGAACAATATATTTGCACAGATCATTGTGACGTTATACAAACCGTCAATGAGGGCCTGTACTTTAAACTATTTACAATAGACATTATTTTGTAAATAATATTCAGGTCAGGGATTTTTGAACCCTTATTTCGGTCCCACCACGCCCCTCGCCTTCTCTTCGGCTTAGGAGGGGTGGGGTGCGGAAATTGAAGCCCGATAATCACATTTATTTCACTCGTCGTTAGGAACAGATATTACATCCAAATGAGTACAACGATAATCTATCAGGCCTCAATTTCCATCTTATTGGGATTTTAAATTTTTGCGAAATTTGGGAAATAGAGGGTTCATTTCTTGAAAATATTGAATTATTTTACGGGTTTTCATTACCTTAAAGCAAGGAGACACAAGTCCCCGGCTTTAGCATTTAGCTTAGCAACATTTTTGCCTATTTTTAAATACATGGTAAGTAGTAAGGTGTGTGTGTTGTGTGGGTCCTGTTTGCTCGGTTTTTAGTTTCACTAAAAGTATTTCTAGTGATACTTTTAGTGAGAATTTTTTGTTTTCTTGAAGCGCATCTGTCTACTGCAAAAAGATGGCTACTTATAATTTTACCCATGATTCTTTGCGCACAATTAAAACATTCAATCTGACCGGCAGATTACATATCAAGTAGAAAGGTATCACAATTAAACAAAAAAAAAAAAAAAAAGCCCCCCTCCCCCCTCATTCATTTATACAAACAAATTCATTGGTATTTGCTAAAATGAATCACGTGTGTTCGCAAAGCTTCAAGGGTAACAGCATAGCCGCCATCTTGTTTACGTAGGATCCAATTCTCCTTCTTAATTCACGTTAAAATTGAATGAAATGGAATTATATAACTAACAAAATAAAATATTTTACGGAATCTTACCTATTTGGTAAATGTATAAATTTATGGACCGACTGTTAGGTCCGATTACCTCGGGTTAAATTCTAATCTTATTGCACGGTCACCGTGGATATTGAGCTCCTACGAAGCCTAAAACTTATTATCATATAGCTTTGCAAAGCATATTGGTTTTTTGGAGTACGTTTGTCTTTCTGTTTCTCTGTTTCTCTGTCTGTCCGTTTCTCGGTCTGTCTGTCTGTTTGCACAACGGATATCTTTCAGAATGTATTTTTCACAAGTAACGTCTGCAACATTGATAGGGTAGAGTACATAGCAAGGGTGCTCCCCACAACTATTAACACGTACGTCTATCGTATATTCTCAAGTTAACTCCGTACGTATCAATAGTTATTGATTCCTTATCAAATCTTGTACTTTGATGACAAGAGATCGTGCCACTGTCAGAGCTGTCTTGGCATCGTGTCGCTCAGCCATTTCTAAAATGCAAATGATTAACAAGATTACCAGTGTTTTACGTCACGTTGCTACGTCACTAGATAACGTCATGTAGTTACGTCATCATTGAATTGCAATAAATTCCTTCAGCTTATGTCACTAACTGAAAAACCTTAATTGATGTCGTCACATATTGTCATCTAATGACGTCAGTTAATAAGAATAAACGACGTCACATTTTAAGATAGTAGATGACATCACACATGGGATGATGTCACAAACACAGATCACATGACGTCATGCTTACCATTGAAGAATTTGATGATATCCGTGAAATCCATTTTGTTGTCCAAAATTATGTCCCTAAAAAATATTTTCAATAAATTGGTTACTCTATTTCAAACATTTTTAAAGTATTTCTAATGAAGCAACATATAACAATATATCATAATCTTCGTCACTGTATTAATAGACCCTTTACAGCACTTGGAATGCTGCTCAATAGCGCAGCGCAACCGTGACGTCATAAAAATGAAGACAAAGGCGAAATTCGGACAAACAAACTTACAAGTTTACTTACAGCAGATAATTTTCACAGCCGATCGCAGTTTATCTTAGTTTACATGGTTTATTATTGTAACTTTGTAAAAATAATAAAATCGGTTCGTATAATCCTCGTAGCGGTTAAGAAGAATGCAATGTTTGTCCGAATCTTCAAGCTATTTTTAGAATCAGTGCGCTGCGCTATTCAAAGGATATAACAATAGGTTACCAATTCTCAGGGATTGAAAAATTATTTTGTTTTGTCCTCCAAATTGAGCTGCTTTTAAGTCGCATGCAAGGAGTCTATTTTGGGGTTCATCTGTGGTGCACTTGCATGGCACTGAGTTAATCAATCACTTACCGGTAAAACTGAAGAAGAGCAAGAGCAATAAACAGCACGAAATGATCAGTACTACAATACATTGCTGCCCAGATGGTCTCCCATACCACAAAGATATCTTCGTAAAGTAGTTCTGAAATACACAACACGACATTGTAACAATTGACCAGATACGTATCAAGGATTTCCCATGGGGGGGGGGGGGGGCACTCTTCCACCTAATAAGACAAGGCATCCTCCCTTACCCTCCTCCCCAAAATCATATTTATGTTATAACTAAACTCCGTCACAGTAACAGCATACTAACTGAAGTCAATAGTCCCCTTCACAGTTCCCTGCGCCATCTTGAAAGGTAGCCGTACCTTTGAATCGAAGCGAGACGAACGGTGAGCTTGCAATGATAAAGACGTGAATAATTTTCCACCAAGGTGTTAAGAAAAGGTCTCTATCATTACAAGCTCACCGTTCGTCTCGCTTCGATTCAAAGGGACGTATTTGAAGTATTTGAACATGTTGGTCATAAAAGAATGATTCTCAAGGGAATGTCATGTGACTTGAAATGGGCAATTTGCATACAAAGCTAGAGGTCGAGTGTGGATTGGATAGTTACCTCTTTTGAAGTCGAGCAGAAACCATCGATAACAAAAGTAAAAATGCGTTAAATCGCCATTTGTTTGTAGATGATCGAACATCTCAGGATCCAATACCTGCCAAGACCAATCAACTGGTTAGTCGCAAAACGTGGGAAAAAATCAAAAATAATGATATTGTAAATCGTCTAAAGCAGCAAAACTCGAAAACGCAACAAAAACGTATAAAAACAATGACTGGGCACCCTCTGATTACTCCGGTAGTAACCCTTGACTATTAGTTCTTGACCTTTGGCCCTTTTGACCTTTGGTCCTTTGATCTTTTGTCCTTGACCTTTGGCCCTTTGACCTTTGGCCCTTTGAACTTCATATAATAGACTAAAGCAACGTACCTGAATAAGTGACCTCATGTTTGCAAAATGCAAATCCATGGCGCCTCCGTGGGGGAAGTTTTCGTTCATTCTTTGCATGAGGTGAACAAAACAGCTGTACGTTTTCGCTTCTAAAAATCATCAAACAAAACGAGACTAAATTAAAACTGCGTGCTCTCGTCTTCACACAGCATGGACGAAAAAAATGCAATGATAATAATATTTCTTTTAGGCGCCCGCCCCACAGGTAGCCCAAGCTAGGTTCCTGTGGTGTCAGTGGAGGGGGAAAATGTTAAAACTGGCTTAATCCAAAATCTAAGTACACAGGAGGAAAGAGGTACTACTTTTCAAGGACAGCTAAGTTTTCTTTACTTTATTTCACATTTGGACGATTTTAATGAGCTTTTTAAGTATCGCCATACATTTTCTTATAACATGACACCATAGGAGCCTAGCTTGGGCTACCTGTGCCCGCACTTTGCCATTAAATCTCGAGCATGCGCATTAGGTTTTTCTCAGGCGTTGTAAGTGTTTATTTAACAAACTAACCATCATCAAAGACCACGAGAAGCGGCGCCACCAGGTCACACATGCCTTGTACGTAACCAATATCCAGGGTTTTCCAAACGTAACTGGAAACAATAATTTATGAAGAAACTAAGTATCAAGGAAATTAGATTTTGTTAGGAACGAACGTCAATAGAGCGGTTTTCACGAGTGGGAAACATACAGTACGACATGCCGTGTCATTGAAATGGATTCTCATCGTTTTCCAGTAATTCCTCCTATATCACATGCAACGCGTAAATACGTTACAATAAGATAGGACAGGCCAAAAATGTGCCGTATCTTTCCCCACTCATACAAAAACCGCTCTAAGACCGAGTAGGTTAAACCACAGGTATCCCAAAAGAAATTTGCGTATCGTTTCGACTTATACGAAAACCACTCTAAGACCGAGTAGGTTTAGCCACAGGTAGCCCTAACACTCAAAGACTACGATAAATTTGCATGAAGATGAGGTTGTATTGGACTCTCGAGAAACAGGAAGCCCATCCATTAAGAAATTTTTATCACCTGCTTATGACGTTTCGTAGCTTTTTCAGATTTTCTCGGGTGAAATACCAGTGACTTCTGTCGCATCTTTGTACGTCCTTGTCTATTCGATGCAGATTCATTCCGAAGTTTTCTAACAGCTCCGCCTTGACAAAGAAAAACAAAATTATCTTCTGCTTGGAGACCTAGCCTGTGTGGCGGCCTAAAGGGACTGGGGAAAAGRTAACCCTACACAAAGGCTACTGAGACCGAGGTGTGTGATGGTCTAGCTTGCGTACAAACAACACCTTATAAGGCARACATGATGAGCGAAAGATTGATCTGAGACCTTGATCTCTAGTTCAATGCGTTACTTACAGAATACGGTCCACTGGAGGTACTGCTATCCTGACTGCACTGCTTACAAAGAGACGAATCATCGCTCTCTCCATCAGACGTGCCTTCCTTGCCGTGCCTGCCTCCTCCATTCACCATGTACTCCCCATCATGACCATTAGTCAATGGACCATTATTTACATTACCGTTCAATTCTGACGTAAATCGTTTCCCGCACCCGCGACAAACAAACGTGTGTGATAATTTCCCGATATCTTCTCCGCAGTCGCAGCAACCACTCTCTACGTCGTCGCCATTAGTCGTTAACGACAAATCTTGTCCACTCATCAGTCTCTGTTTCGCCTCTTCGTCAAGTCCTTCCACTGCGGGTTCCTCGATGCTTCCTCTCTTTTGCTCAAAGCTCCCGACTTTTTCCAGCCCAGTGCTGATCATTTCGAGATGTTCATAGACCTCATCGCGACTGCCAGTGCTACCCATGGACACCCCATCTATCTCGTGTTCCTTGTCGTTTCGTAAGATGCATGCTTCAACGGCTTTCCAGTCTTCTAGGGTTTGACGATAGTCAGTGTTATTGTCCTGGTCAGCTTTTTGCCGCTCTTCGGGGGTTGAACCAAATTTATAGTGATTCAGTAGATATGGCCAGACCTTGAATAACAAAGAAAACGTGACTCGTTTCTTTAAAAAAAACTTAGGCCTAGGGCAAACGTGGAACTTTCCATGCACCGAACTCATTAAAAACAATGGATATCAGGTGATAATGAGGCGGCTTTTTTAATGTAATTAAGTTCGGTGCATGGAAAGTTCGACGTTTGCCCTAGGCCTAAATCAAACAGTTTCTATATCAAGTGTGTCATAGATGGCATCTCGTTTCTGCCACAGGGAGCCCGAATTAGTTATTTTTTGCCATTTTATTTTCATCTAAATGGGTCATTTCAAATTCGCAAAATACCGTTGTGTTCCTTGATTACAAACTCATTTACACAGGGTTAGCATTAGTATGCATCAGAATATTCATAAATACCAACGGAAAAGTTTAGAATGCGCGGCTTAAACAATACAAACACTTTAAAATTCCACGGAACTTCACAGAAATCCCCTGAGCAACAGAGAACTCGAAACTGGACTTCCTGTGGTTTATGATATGACGTATCAGAATACTCACCTCTTTTCGAATAGAGTTGTCCACTCCCCCAAAGTAAGTGTACTTCTTGACTAAACTCTCGTCCGTGACCTGGGAAAAAACACATTTACATCAAATGATAAGTGTGAGGTTGTTTCAATTACATTCCATCCAATTCTTTTCGATTTTCGCTTCCTAGTTCCGATCTTCAAAGCCAGTWACTGAGTTGTTTAATCAACTATTAAGTCACGTGATCTATTGCTATCTAACACCAAAGGTCACATGACCTATTGGCTTTTCCGAGGTTGGAAGGAAAACTGGTAAAGAGTTGGCGTGCTCTGAATCATGGGACTGTTAAGGGGAAGCACACAAATCTTAATAAATTATTCTATACATTATATTTCATGCAATTTTTTTCTATTGTCGACATGAACAGAAATATCACTTTCTTACTCATATTGAGGTGCTAGTTTTATTTCTAAGTTCACATTGACACAAGTGGTGGATTTAATTGGTGCAAGTCATCCCTTGGTTACCTTGCCATTGACATTAAGACTGTGCCAGAACTCAGGAGTGATGCCATTAGTGTAACAATGATCTTTTTCCTTGTCTTGAATGGTCTCATGACTGACTAAGAATGACAAATGTGTCCTGACTGTCTTCAAGTGACGAACATAGGCACACCCTAAGAGAATTGAATTGAAAAAAAATCATTAAAAATGGCAATCTTCCTTCCATACATATACCCTGCATTTCCCACTTTCCATCCATCCTTCCTTTCCACTCATTCCCCTTCTCTCCTTACCTCCGTTTATATCTTATAAAAGAACTGGATTTAAAACATGACTTTCTTAAAAAAAAGTGCCTTTCTTTCCCTCCTTGAAAACCTTTTATATCTTCCCTCCCATCCCTCCCTTCCTCGATCCCTCTCTCCTTCCCCTTCGTCCTTTTTCCCTTCCTCTCGACCTCCACTCTCCCTTCCATCCTCCCTTTCTTCCTATAATACTTCCCATTGGCCACAAAACCTCTCATCTCTTTCCCTACAGTCGGAGCGATTTTGATCAAATTTGCCAGATATTGAGTCGCAAGGCATAGCTGTAGTATAACTCACATCCATTAAAGGCTCGTAACAAGAATTGTCTTTTCATCGTCTCACAGGCCATGTGGAGAGATTGTCTGCAAACAAAAAGGAAACGGATTCATTATAAAGTTGATTCAAACAGCTTCACTCTTTCTAATAATATATAACAACCTCTCCACCGTGATCTTATGTCATAGGCATTATGCACTGAATGGTAACGTGATTGAAATGACACGTCACGTGATTGCAGTCATGGTCACATGATTAAAAGGATTGGTCACAAGATTATACAGACGTGTCACATGATTAAAATCACACGTCATTTGATTGCAGTCATGGTCATATGATTAAGAGGATTGGTCACGAGATTATACAGATATGTCACGCGATTGCAGTCATGGTCACGTAATTAAGAGGATTGGTCACAAGATTATACAGATGTGTCACGTGATCGTAATGACACGTCACGTGATTAAAGTCATGGTCAAATGTCGATGAATGAAACTTGAATAAAATTAAATGATGAATGAAGTATTACCGAGTTGGAGGAGAGCTCTGTTTCTGCAACCGTCTGGAAAAATTTGCTTTTCTTGAAGAAACAATATCTTGCTTGCTGATTGGTATTCCTGGCTTCTTTACAGACCTTTTACTCGTGCCCAACTTTTCCATTTCCTTAGAAACTAGTGAATAAAAGASAAATTCGTGCATAAGCTGAATGACGACAGTATCTTGGATTTAGAACAATGAAACTGGACTGGCTGCACTGCCCCTTACCTCTCTGGTCACTGCTAGTTTCCCCTTTGGCTTTGCAGGTTTTTCCAGTTTTAAATTTTAGTAAGAAAGCCAATTGGTAAAGCAATTTGGTAGTGGTAGTAAAATGACATCAACACACAACTTGCCTAATGACCTCAAAATAGATAAATAAATATCTTACCAATATCTTCAGGTTTTGTTCCAGAGACCAGTCGAAACACGTAGTCTTGGTTACTGAATTCCTTGGTGGGTGAAGATGGCGCTGAGCCATCCCCAACTCTCTTGAGCCGAGGGAGGACCATGGACCTACTGCGAGGAGAGAAGAGTGGCGGATCGAGCTGTCCATTGGGGTGCAAGCCATTTTCCAAGCAGTTCAAGAAGGACAAGAGAGATCCAGGTGTAGGGAAGTGAATGGGAGGTCTTTGGACACCATCTTGGCCGATTAGAATCACAACACCAGAAGAAGCTAAAAAAATTAATTTATTTATATTTATCGATTTTGTCTAAGTACTRAACTAAGGAAGATGTGTACTGTTAATGGAAACAGCATGCAGAGCCTCTTTGTGCAGGAACCTTACGTAGCTCTTGATTCAAGGAGGGGTGGTGTGGATGAGGAGGACTAAAGCCATTGCAGCTGTGATAAATAGATTTTATCTGGCGCACAAATCTACTTTATCCAGCCTACAAGTTAGGTGTTGCCATATGGTAATACATGGGGGGGGGGGGGGGGGGGTAGTATATGGAGACGTAGAGGAGGAGGGGGTCATTTTTGAAGTGGAGTGGTGGAAATAGTTAGAAAGATCACTAACTTTTGTCTGTTGTGCAAGAAAAAGGAAAAAGTCGAGTATGGAAGGAGGGCGGGGACCCTGAATAATACATTTATATATCACTGCCCAACTTATTTAACTAATCTCTTTTTTTAATGTTTTCAAAGGAATTTAACGGCAATGTTGACCAGCATGAAGTTGTAACCCACATACTGAAAGAGAAATTTATCTCACGTTACTTAAGATTCATTGTACTCACATGGAACGTCTATCCTTGCATGAGAGTTGAGGTACTTGGTTGTGAAGGTATGTACAACTTATCTTGATGCAATGCATGTAGATGTATTAGGGTTAAGGTACTTGGCTATTAAAATATGTAGACCTGGAGGCATGTATGCAAATGATAGTGTATGGGGGTTAAGGTACTTGGCTGTGAAGATATGTAGACCTAGATGCACATATGTAGATGATAGTGTATTAGGGTTAAGGTACTTGGCTGTGAAGATATGNGGGGGGGGGGCAGTAACAAAACAAAATGCTTCATATTCCACCAACTGAATTCCAAGTTGTATGGACATACTGATGAGTTTCAATCAGCTGATAAAAGTTTTTGAATCTCATTATCTGCTTCAAATAGTGGTCAAACACTGCTTATCATGTGCTGTCAGCCAAAAAGAATGCTTTGCACCATCAGGTGATGGCAGCCATGACAGGAGGCAAGAACAATATTGAATCTGGTTTAATCTGATTTACATGAGAAATATTTCATTTTCCCAGGGAAGAACGACTCTATTGTTGTGCCTCCTGCCATGGTTGCCATCATGTGACGGTGCAAAGCCTCTAGTGAAAATTTGTGATTCAGCTGATGATCATTCCACACAAGACAGGAACTGATGGCAAGTAAAACAAAGCAACAGTACCTTGTTGGTGACAATGTAGATATACAACATCACTGAGATTAACAGTCAAAGCATGATCCCAGAATAGGCTTTTCTCTTTCTCATCACAGCCACTCATAAGCGTGTTTGGTGTCCATTTAAGAACAAGAGTCTCGTTATTCTTGTGTAATGACAAGTAACCTGGAATGGGGCTGACCATCTCATTCTGAAAAACAAAAGACAGGAAAACAATGTAACTTCTTACAGTCTTACAACCTGAAGTAAAATTAAAGATTCAAGATTGTTTAAACATACTAATTAAACTGTAAACTATAAATTATTATGAAGAACATGTAGCTGTCTGACGTTCCCAAGTTTCATGAATTTGCTTCTAATTATAGTGAAAATGAAAGATGCATCACTTTGGCAATTTTTTCCCACTTCCTACTATTTTTTTATAGATATGCAGTAAAAGATTTTTTAGCTAGTCCACTTACAGGCTGTACATTGACATTGTTTTTACCATACAACAATGTTGTGTAAGAATTTTGATGGAGTGACTCAATGTGCTCTCTGGCCATTACAGGAGCAACGGCTGGGTTTTCCTCCTGATTCAGCTTGATGGTACCAATGTGAGGGCGCTGGGTGGTTGGTGAAGCTGCTCCTGATGTGCTGTAGAGGCTACTGTGGATTTTATGCCGCTGCACTAGCTCATCTGCTGTCGGATCAGTCCAGAAGCTGTCTGGGGTTTTCATTTTGGAGAAATCTAGCGCACATGGACCCTCTAGAAAATTAAGAGGTAATTATTATAAAGTAACTCTGATTGGTCAAGAAGTGTGCTATATTAATAAAGGGAGCATGATGCTGATTCCATCAGTGTGTACAACCTACTTTACAAAGAAGTATAAGAAAACAGGATTTAAAACCACTGCACAACTGATTTTTACTTTGTGTAAAATAAAATGTCGAATGAAACAAGGTTTTCAGTGCTCCGTTCAGTATTAAAGCACAGGCACACAAAAAGGGGAAAAGGGGTTCAAATTAGTGTGCCTAAAAAAGGTTCTTTCAAATCTTACCAAGAAGTTCAATAAAGATTTGTCCATCAGCAGGATCAGCAAGCAATGCATCTGGTTCATAGAACTGACTGTATGTGAAAAATGAAATAATTTTAAAACAATTTTTTTTAACATTGTTTTTGGAATTTTTTGAAAGATCTCTTTTGAAGACTTTCTAAACAGAGCTGAGAATGGGAAGTTTAAAAAGTGAAAGAAAGAAAGAAAGAAAGTATGGAGGGTAGGATGGATGGATGAACAAATGAAAGAAAAAAGGAAAAAGTAAATGAATGAAAGAGTGAATAAATGAAGCAATTAATAATAAAGAAATAAAAGAGTAAAATGTAGAATAGTTCTATCTTCACTGCAAATGTACAGCCTATGCTTCTACTGTATTTTGATTATTTCTATATTATGGTCACTTTTACCTTGCATTTGTTTTTAAATCTTGAATGATCTTTACCAGCAGCTTTTCCAGTAAAGCAATTCTGATCCACATGTATTTCCCACAGTGTCCTGTCACATTATAACCACTGATTTTCTTGGTGGTAACATTTGTGCTTGTCGTCCAAGAAAACTTCGTCTTAGGGTTTTCTCCTGGAAAAAAATCTTTCAGCTTGGGTATTTTGTTTTCCCATTTTATGAAATAATTGTTATAAATATTGCTTTCTGATTGGTTGGGGATGTGTGGTATATGACAGCACACAGCACATGTTCACTCACTTTATATTTCATGATTCATATCCAAAATCAAATAACAGAAAATTAAATAAATGAAATTCTTTTAACATTTTATAGACTGTGAGCCCTTTCTATATTCTAATCTTGGTTGCAAATTTAACAAAAATACAAAAGAAATGACACAAATTGTGTTAATGAGAAAGAGTGTGATTTCCTTTGTATTTTCCTTTTAACCTCTCATCCTATATGTAAATAATTTATGGCAAATGATAAAATCATCCCTCTATTCATCATCATTACATAAGGACTGTCATATTTGACTTACTGTTGCTTTCAATATTCTGCAAACTCAGTTGATACAAGCTACACACTGAAATTTGGGTTTTCACTGCAGTCAATCAAAAATAATCAGTCGGTACATGTAGCTTTTATATTTTCGACTAGCAGCAGTGATAGACCAATAATTTCACAATGAGCTGTTGAAATGTCTGAGTTTGAAAAATATCAAAAATCGCAGTAATATATATTTACCTCCACCAGGAGACTTAGTTCCATCTTGTTTTCCATGCTCATCTTCACCAGTCAGTTTTCTCATGAGTTCTGCTGCTGGTTCAGAGAACTTTGTCAGTTTATTCAGGACGGTCTGTGTGTCATGTGCAGATAATAGTCCTCCAGCTCTCTTTTTTAAACCATGTGAGATTCCAGCTTCTACAGCAGCTGATTAAAAGATAATAAATCTATGTTAGTCAGTTGCACAGTTGAGAGAAAATATCCCAAATTTAGAATAGTAATCTACTCACTCCACCCTCCTCACCCCTCTCAAAAAAATATTTTGAGGCAACCAGATGTGGACACATCACCTCTCCTAGTCCCTGTCATCCTCAAAGGGCCTGGTACTAAGGATATGCCCCACCCCACCCCTCTCAAATTTATTTTGAGGCAACCAGATGTACAGACCCATCACCTCTACCAGCCCCTGTCATCCTCAACATATCAGAGGGGAAAATCACTTATATTAAGATATGAATATTGATTCCCATACAAGTAAATGAGTCATGCAATGGTTGTGGAGACATTGAAGGCTCTCCTCTAGTTATATTGTATGCAATCATTGTCACCATGAAATCAACCCAGTGAAGACGGCAATAACATAATACAAAACAATAAATATCAATAATTTTTGCTTGTGTTTGATTTAATTATTGTTAACTTTAAAATGAAAGCTATAATGTAGGTCCAAATGAGCTACTACCATAAACCAGGAAACCCTTTTGACAACAAAACCCTCTTTCATGTCCTCAACCACAACGCCACTCAATAAAAAAATTAGCGAGAATAACTTGAAAAAAGTTCCTTAGATCTACTAGAAGGAAAAAAGTACCTACAGCTACCTTTACCTGATCCTGAACTAATTTCTAATTTGTATTTTATATATATATATAAATATCAGGTAAACTTATAGCAATATGTTATTTTACTCCCGATAGTTACTATGGTTGCTAGCTTGAATGGGAAATATTATCTATCGATCTTTAAATTTATGCATTACTTTATAAAGATTTTACACAATGCTACACTAGTTACTGCTTACAGAAAAGCAAGAAATATTTAAATAAGAACAACATTTTCAATCTTCTAAATCTTCTACCGCTCTGTGGTGGAAATAAAGCTTAACAGGCTTTGCAACCCACTTGAAAAAGGCTACCAACAGATAAAATTGGTATTTAGAATTGCATTTTAATATAATACCTATTCACTGCATAACTTACAACTCCTATTTTTAATTCATGTTTCTGCATAACAAATTTACAGCTATATATAACATGCTATTTTGGTAAATTGGTTCAACAAAAACCTTTTCAAGAAACATTATATGCTCAACCATGAATATCATAATATTTTAGTGCTGTGGTCCTCTTGTACCAGACTTTGGTTCTCTGGTACAATGACACATGTTTTTGTTATAGCTAGTTAATATCACGCATGGAATTGAAATATTTCAACAAAATTCTTTAGTCTTTCATATATTTTGGAGATAAAGGACATCTCAAAGTTAAATTTACAGTAGAAATGTCTTCAAACTTTCTTAGTAATTTTGAATATGTTTGCTTTATTGGTAAAGGCTATACTATTCAGCCCTCAGGGCACGAAATAAGCACTTGCAACTACCAAATTGTTAGACCTTTTCTTGACTTTTCTAGTTGAAAAAATCTACTAAAAAAAGATCACGTATTTGCAAGTAAATGTTTCCTGGATTTGACCATTTTTTCATAAAGAAACAGAAATTCAAATGTTTGATAGTGGACAAGAGGGTTTGAGCCGTGGCCGCCATGTCCCTCTCAAAACTGCCAAGAACAAACCTGTCCTAGCATAGCTAGYATTGAATAAATTACATGGATCACTACCACCCAAGGGTTTTATTTTTCTCATTAACTTCTTGTGTGTGCGTTTTAAATTTCCTGTGGTATCAACTTGATTGTAAGTGTCCTAAAATTTTAGCAGTGACCAAAAAACTCCATTGATAATTCGTGGAAAGAGACTGCAAAATGATTTTTGCAAATTTATTTATCCCAATGCTGATGAAAATCTTTAAGCCAAAACAGGAACTTCAAGACAAAAGGCTGTCTAGAAGGAAGTACTTAAATTCATATAAAAATGCATGGGTTCACAGCTTGTTAGATTGCTATCTCGTAAGATAAAATAAAAAAAAAGGTGGCAAATAACAACTAGTTTAAGTATTTTGCATACTTATATACAACTTGTGTACTATTTAAACAATATGCAAGAGATTTTGTGTATGTTTGGTTTTTGCTAACTGTCCTGGAATAAAATTGGTGGTACCAGTTCTGATTAAAGTTAATCTGATGACAGAAATAAACCAATTCATAATAAAAATCACATTGGAATAAGCATTTTTGTATAGATAAATGCATTACAGAAAAGAAAATGAATTGTATTAAACTATCATATTATATTATTAATGTATTCATACTAATTTTTACCTGATAATGTTATACCCCATTCATACCTAAACGTGTTTAGTTAAACTATGTTTTCATTAGGRAAAAAATTGAGAAACTAGAAACCTACAATATAATGAAACTTTCTAAAATATTGTCAGAGCAAGACAAAAGGATAGCTTACATGCATTATTTCACCAAATATTGTGCAGTGTTCGTAGATAGTTTTCCAAACCTGTTTAGTTAAACCACTTTAAAACATGTTTAAGCCTTGGTGTGAATGGGGTACTAGTTTTATACAAAAACCAATATAAGTTTATCGAATGAATACAAATAAAACTAGTCATATCGTATTCATTGTATTACTAAATTAAATTACTTATTTAAAACTGCCATTACTTCTAGATGTGTCTAGACCATTTTCAGCAATTCACAATACAGCTCAATTTGGAGTTAAGTAAAATTCTATTTTAACTGAAAGCTACAAGAGGTTTATTAGACAAGCTTGGAAGTACAGAGGTTAGTAACAGTAAGAATGTATTTAAGAGAAATACACTATAGCTTGATTTGGTTATTGGGCTGTGACCATGAGGGCTTAGGGCATCAACCCACCTCCCCACCCCCTATTGGCATTTAAATGGTTTCCTCGTTCGATGACATTTGGCAAAAAAAACAGACTCGAATAAATTTCACAAAGAATATGCAAGCTCACGTACGAATCAAAAGCGACAATTTTTTTGATGTTTTCTTAAGAAAATCAAACTATCATTCTCTGTAGATATATATGCGAGTATTTAAGTATAGTAATTGCTCAAAAATGCAGAACGAGGTTGATAGTTAGCCTTCGAATTATGAACGAGAAGTTCGAGCGCTCGCTCGATCAAGAAATGAAGTCCTATTTACTCTACCCTGTAAAACACTGGCCTATTTTACATGTGAAAGTAGGAAGATTTTCTGTTTATTTGCTTTTCAACTCAACCCGTCATTCAAAAGGAGATTTACAAACGATGGGGCAGTTCGCTCAGGAGCGCGTAATATAATATAGCTTTGATAATATGAAATATATGCATGTATATTAAAATCATATCTAATAGAACTCCAGCCTGTAAGTGCATTTGATACAGCGAATATCGTATTTTAACAGCTGTGGCTGAGCAAAAACAGAGGATGAAAATGAGAACGGAGGTGACAGCAAAGATTTTTAAAGCGTTTCTTGCTCGAGAAAAGAAAGCTCGAACAGGGATTTTACGCATAATCATCGGTCGCTAGAATGATTGAAGTTTTTTACATGCATCGATACAGGAGAGTATTTTAAGAATTGTACTCACCACATACTGATGTAATAGTCGAACTATCGGCGTGGATGAATTTTTTCATGACTGCTTCTTCCATAATCTGCTTAACCTGCGAGAACGAAGGGGAAAAAAGGTGAACGAATTAACGAAGTTCATTAAAATTGCTGCTTACAGATTAAAAAATATGGGTTTTTTTTGCATCTATAAATGAAACAGAAGCGAAACACAAACATATAAAACAAGGTAGCTGGAGATAAAAACAATACAGCCAAGCAATCGCAGCAAATTTTGAACGTGACTGGAAGAGGCTCACAAGGAACACAAGAATTGACCGACAAAAATGCAAAACTTACCTCGCGTTTGAGGTTTTCAAGCAGCCTCTGCCGTGTCTCCTCATCTAAGGAAAGAAAACCCATTTAACGGTCAAATATTCAAGCTACGAGTACACAATAGAATACTCCAAAATTCCTTGAGCGGAGGCTATAAACCAAGGTCTTACTGCTTTACCTGTTTGAGGAGCCATCTTGATTTTTTCCGGAGCTCGCTCAAGACGCAATGAATATTCAAAAGTAATTTTCTAACCAATCAAAAAGCGAGATAGTATGTAAATTAGGCCTTCTATTTAAAGTACGGTCAGAAGGGCACAGGACCAAAATGTCTGATTTTGACATATTCAGTGAAAATTATTCTTAAAAAATACGCACAAAATTGAGGCTTACAGTAATCTGATTGATTGATTGATCTCTTGATTCGAGCCAAGAAATAGAAAATGTTGCATATGAAAACCTGACATTTACTGGTAATTGAAGGTTGTATTTTTTGGTGTAAAATTATAATTATCTCGTAGGTTTATAGCATGCAGTGTGTTTTCGAACCATTAACATAGTTCGTCCATATTCTGTATCTAACATTATGACATTTTGTTCACATCTAGCGTGGGCTGTTGAAAAACACCGAATATTATATTATGACATATTATTTTGACTGAGAAAGTGCTCTGCATTGAAACGCTGCATCTTCAAATGTGATTTCAAAATTGAAAAAATAAACCTTTTAATATTTGGAGATCTGATAGAATAGACCAAAAACAAGAATGATATTGAAGCCTAGCGTTCTTCTTTTCCGAGCAATAGTACTCTTTCATATTTTGATGTCGTATCTTAACACAAGATCTTAAGTGAAATTTTTATGCTGTAAATCTTAGCTTCAAAATTTTTAGCTGTCATAGCATACAGTTAATCTCATTTCAGGGCCGCAAAAACAAAATGCCACGAAGAAAGTGTAACGATACCTGTAAAACGGTCCCTCCAGATTCATAATCTTTGAGAATAAAGAACGTAACAGAAAGGAGTGAAAAAAAGATTTTTTTCCCATTCGGTTATTGAGTACATGTCAGTTCGTACTAGGGCATGCGTACATTTATCGTTATCATTTTTGACCACATTAATCAAACAGTAAATAAGACTTTAAGAAAAAAGAAAGATGGAATTGGGATTAGCAGTAAAATTGCAACAAAAAATTGAAAGTACCCGAGTTAAACGTCCGAGGAATGCAAGTTCTTAATAATTGAGAGGGAAAAAATACGCGTAGGAGTGGGAGTGTTTTTAAACTTTCGGTAATCTGTAAACCAGCACTACAGTGCCCTAGTATTTGATTTGATTTTGCTTATCCCGTGAGGGAGGAACATCGCAACAGCCTTTTCGCCAATACTCCATTTTACAATCCCGTTTAGTAACCACGAGTAATAGTTCCAAGTCGAGGTTGAAGTTGCCTCGCATGATAAAAAGTATAGTTTTGCTCGACATGAAACTATTGCCATTCAACGAAACTGTAAAAAGGAGTATATTGCTATTGCATCTGAACAGTCTATAGAGATCTAAAGAATATATGCCGAAAATAGGTTTCGTTGAAATAAGATAGAAAAGACTTGACTAGAGATGCACCTGAATACACATGTAACAACTTAGCTCGAAATCTGAAACCATTCAGATGTTAGACTATAATTAGGAGGGTACACAGTTGTTTCGGAGTTGACACTGCATTGCATCGTGGGACTGTTTTAGGGGATATATTTCTAAGATGGCGTCTATTTCGACCTTTTAACATTCCCACAATACACTGTAATGCAAACCCTCGACCCAGTCTTTCCCTCAACCTCAGAACGCCTAATAATGTAACACAGTTTATTATATCTATATTAGTTTTCAACTGCCTAGGAAGCGTCAGGTACTGCACTTAACTCCGCTTCAGCTATGAATCAATCAAAAATATACTCGCCAATCACAGTGCTTGAGCTCGAAAGCCATTTAAGAGTCACGCGGAAGCCAATCAGATGTGACGCCAGGAAACGACAATCGCAGCGTTCGAATGTAAAAGCCATTTGAGTTAACCGCCAATCGCATTGCTTGAAAGAAGCCATTTGAGTAACGCGGAAGCCAGTTAGGCGTCACGCGAGAAAACGATAATAAACCCGACAATCAATGTGCTTTAACGCGAAAGCCATTTGAGAGTCGCGCGGAGTCCAGTCAAGTATCACATGCTGAAAACCATTCTCAAATAGTTTTTTTATAGTTTTTTAAAAGGTCATTATAACTTATGTACTAAACTCACTGCTTGACGTCACAATTATATCTCAACGTGTCTGAACAGGGCGTAGCTTGGTGGGAACATTACGCTAAATAATTACGCCACTCTAAAGTAATTATCAATAAGCAGTGCTCAGTTAATTAATATTAATAATAAAATAAATGATATATTAATAGTAAATTCAACATCTAAGAAGTTAAACAAAACGACAAGAAATATTGGGATACGTTTGAAGAGAAAATGCGAAAATGGTCAAGATCAGAAAAAAATGGAACGATTTTTTCCGGGTTTTTGATGGAAATCAGTTAACTTAATGATACGAAGATAGGGTCTGGGCTGGGTTGTTCAAAGCTGGATTAGCGCTAATCCAGGACTAACTCTATAGGTCTTATTAAGAGTTAATCCAGGATTAGCACTAATCGGGCTTTGAACAACTGGGCCCTGATTGCTGATGAGCTGATGTATCATAGTGACTACAAAATTATGATAAAGAAATAGGTGTAGAAGCTCCTACAGAAGCCGTAATCGAATTACACTGCGCAATTGGTAAAAAGTGGTAAAAAAAACCCCAGGGCATTGGCAATGGATTAGAAAGTTCTGGGTTAGTCTTATTCAAAAATCGCGCGTAGGCCACAGCCCACGCATATTCGACCTCCATGTGAAATAAATCGAGTTGGTATCGTAGTGCATTGTGACACGGTTTTAAGGGACGTACTTCCAAGATGTCGTCTATTTTGTCCCAAAAACAGTCCCACAATGCAATGCGATGCCACCTTGACCCAGTTTTTYCCCCCTCAAACTCGGAATAGCTCATATCGTGGAACTCAGTTCTGCAAACCTTTACAAAAGTTGCAGAGAGAGAGAGAGCTGCTTTAGTTACCATTTAACTAAGCCTCCCGCTAACACTTATCTAATGTTCTTCCAATGCCCGTGTGCTTTTTAATACCACCCAACATGGGCGCGCGTTGTCTATTTCTTCAGTAGAGATAATTCTTACTTCTGGGGAAAAAATGTACACAAAAAATGTGCAGTGCGCAGAGTGGAAATAGAAAGCAGCTATACTACTTGTAACACAACAACTTTTTGTAGCGTGACAATCTGTATTATTTTATTAGCCGTACAAGAAGTCTTATCGCAATTTAATCTAGGCCGGCGTTAATGATCCGTTTCCTTGGGAACCACCTGTTACCATAGGAACCAGTCTTTCGGACTAACGACATCAACTAGCATGTTTTAAAATGAGATTTACGGATAAATGAAATTAGATGGGTTATTAATAGTACATTTGCACGTGCTTTAAAGTCTAACACTGAAATGGCTTTCTCGCTACGTTAAGAGACTGAGGATTTTCTCGTTTTTTTTCGGGTTTTTTTTTTAATATATATATTTTGTTGTTGTTGTTGTTGTTGTTGTTAAACTTTGAAATTTAATAGGGGGAGTTTAATCATGGAATTGAATAAATGGAATTATATAATCGTGGGAATGTAAACTTAATTTTCAAATTATATACCTATATTTGATTGCATAATCTATTTCTTTCCGAGTGCCAAATCAGGAACTAGAAAGCCTGCGCTAGTTTAGCTAGTTTTAAGAATAGGAGATGATCGCTTTGTATAAAGCGGCGATTATAATTTTAACTCAGTTTTCAAATTTGTTTTCCAAGTCGGAATATAATAACTRATTAAGACGAAACAATTTACGATAATAACGACACTTGCTAATTTATAAATTGCAGGATTTCACACGTTCATATACTTGTACATAAAACTTGTACTAAATAGTATACAATATTTTCATTTAATTTCGTTCAAAATAAATATAGACGCACTCACAAAAAAAGTGAAAAAGATAAAGTTCAAAACGAAGATTAATATCTCTGAAACTGAAGATTATCTCTTTTTCAAGCGTCGGAATAAGGAAACACTTTTTATCCCGCAGCTTGATCAAAAAATCTCGGAATATAAGATTTTGATTATAGGCAAAACAAAGAATTCTACTTCAAGTTTTCAACGCCTACTTGATTTCAAAGCGATTATGTTTTGTTCTGAAGAAAATCAGAACGATTCAAAAACATATAATTAATTTTGAATAATCAACCCGGTGTGTAGGCGAGCTTTCTCAATACGTTTAAGGCATGCAATTCAAAGATACTTACACTTAGTCGTTGGGTCTTCGGTCGCCATTTTTTCTCTTAACTTTGATATCCTCTTGTTTTCATTGATATTGGCTTTGAGCTGTGATCGTTTCGTGTCCAAGTATTGAAATACTACAGTATTCATTGTCGGTGGCAGACTAGTTATACATCCGTCAGAAAATTATCAATTTTCTGTCAAACGATGATCCACTGAAGTTATGCTTGAAAACTTCACGGAGAAACTCGATAACCGTATATTCACCTCGGTTTAAAGTCGGTATAAAGCCAGACCTATCTCCTCATGGATTTACGAGTGAACTTGAACATCTGTCCATGACTGTTGATCAACGAACTTCTGGTCTAGTACCACGAACTAGACCACCAACAGGTGCTTTAAGAACAAACCGACTTGATCTGCAGGGTAATCCCATCGAAACTAAACGCCAATTCCCTTGGTAAACCTCGAAGAGTGTCCACCACAATAGTTCCTCTCAAAGCGTTTGAAATTATTCGTAAACTCGTAGTCAAACACGTACACCATTTATCATTAATTATTGATAATATTTAGTTTTTATCAGTACGAAACAAAGTAGCCATGTTGGTACCAGCCAATCAGGTGTCCTCAACTCTCCAGGCTTGAGGTAAAGGTTATGACGTCATGACACAGATCAACCAATCAAAGCCTGTATATAGTTAATTAGCCCACTAGGATCAAACACATAGATTATACAACCTTGGTACTTTATATGTAACAACCGTCTTGAAAATTCAAATCTTTGACATCCACGGAGCTGAAATCTCGAAATGGAAAGCGATTTTGTCTTTTTAAAAAGAATCAATTTTTTCGAGTTCAAAAACGTTGGACAAATTCAACCCAACATTGACCAGTTCAAACCAGATTTTTTGTCACGTGTATTCTTGTACAAACTTGAACATCTAAGTACTCTTTCGCTGCGTCTTTCATGACGTAACAAAGATAGCTTTCTCCAAGTTTTATCTTTTTTCAATTAACTTTTCAATTCAATTAAGCTCGTAGCAGTTGGACGTCAGTTACCGGCAATGTTGGTTAAAAAGCGGGAAAATTTCACTAGCCTCGAATAATTTTTTTTCTTTTTGCATCATTTCTTTTATTCTGTGATGAGAATTTAATCTCGATATACGTATTAGAGCTCGCATTCTCGCATTCTCTACCATAACTTGTTTTCTCATGAAGATTTTCAAATACAGACCAACGCAACTTGTATAGTTATTGGTGTGATGTGAACGTTCAGGAGACCGATCCGCCTCTACGTCTATAGGATGCTATCAGAGAATCGCTTCCCATTATACCAAAATTTCCGACCCCGATAAGAACACGAGGCAAGCTTTTGATAAGAATAGTCTTTCTAAGTGGCGAAAATATGTCTGTCTGGATATAGAGGGCCACCGCACAAGGGAAAATGTTCCCCTTGGTATACAGAATGTTCTCGGCATTTTCTCTTTTAATATAAGTACAATATTTCAAATGTCGCTTTCTCCAGTGTCCAATACCAATGAGCTCAAGATATGTCCCGCTTATCAGCTGTCGTTATAGAGAGACCATAGGCTTATTCTGCAGTCTTTCGAACCAGCGGCCATCAATATTCCATTGTCGGGAAGGTGAGCAGAAAAATCGAGGGAGTTCACGGTTTCAGAGTGGTAATTCAAGACAGCCAGTGGTTTTAGAGTTTTCCAGCTGTAAATACGAATCCTAGACACACACAAAAAAATCAAAACTTGTGGTATTTGTGTATTTTGTATATGTGTGGTGATTGTGGTATAGCTTTCAATATTTGAGAAAATTTGGCACTATCTGTAATGATACGCAGTTAACTCTATGGCAGCTTTGGTTGTTGTTGTTGCTTTACCCTCCTTTTTTTTGACTAAGAGTATTCCAATAATCACGCCCAGACAATATTACCCTCCTGTTTTGACTTAGTGTATTCCAATAATCACGCCCAGACAATATAACCCTCCTGTTTGACTTAGTGTATTCCAATAATCACGCCCAGACAATATAACCCTCCTGTTTGACTTAGTGTATTCCAATAATCCAATAACTGGTCGAGTGGAATTGTGGGATGTTTTGGGATGGACATACTTCCAAGATGGCTCTATTTCTTTCCCTAACGTAGCCCCACAATACACTGCAATGCAAGCTCGAACCAGTATGATTTTCAGAAAATTGGTATAAATAATGCAGCAAGTTTTGATAAAAGCGTTGTCTAACCCGCGCAACTAGAAAATCATAAATGGAGAACTTTGGCAAACTAGAACCCTGGGGGGGGGACTAAAGTAGAGCGCACACTTCTCAACTCCGGGATCTACATGGCTAAATCGCACATGACAAAATCACACGTGCTTTATGATCACATACCTGCCATCCCAGCACCCTACAGAGAGCAGTTTCGAGTCATCCCTTATTTTAACTGAAGCAACTCCAGGTTTCTTCAGCTCGATAGACTTATGAATTGTAAGAGTGTTCTAAAAATAAATGAGAGAAAAAATAGAATGCTAATGGACAAAGTTTGAAATAGCGACTGAGGCTCTTTAGCTGGGGATATGCATTTGGGGCACATGGATTTAAGTTAGCAAGCCGATATAACATTCAATTCAAATGTAAATGTAAATGTTAGGGCAGGGAGAGTATAGAGGTTTTGCACCACCAAGTGATGGAAGCCATGTTAGGTAGCAGGAACAATACAGTTGTTTTAATATTTCAATTCCTGATAGCAAAGGGATTTTATTGTTCTGCCATCTAACCCCAGCAATATTATGGGATGGGCACRTGATGGTGCAAAATCTATATTGTAAAGACATGGTTTAGCCACATGCAGAGGGAATATATTTACAATGCTTAAGACTATTTAAAAAAAACTCACTTGTGACAAAAGGTTAGAAACAACTAATTTGTCGTCAGCAGATCCAGTCACAACTTTGAGCAGTTTTTCATCGAAATCCATGCACATCACTAAAGTCAAATTTCGTTATCATCACTAAACAATAGTGTACAAATGAGGGATAATAACGAGGTTAAGGCGATGGAATAAAGAAAGAAAAACTGAACCACCACTTAAAGGAATGAGAAACAGTAGAAGGCTGGTAGGGTAAAATTGCTRTTTTTTTWATGAATGGCAGAAGAATGTAGGGGTATTTTGTTATGAGCTATCATTAAGAGAGCAGTGGTTTTATCTACCATTAGAAAACTCATTMATAATTCATGAAGAAAACACAATAGAAATCATGACCATGAAGGTGATTTTAAATCGGATAAAGATTCGTCTTCATTTGCATAAACTTTAACTTGGATTTTCTCTATCAAACTTGGTTCATTTTGTAAAAAAATCGGTACACAATGAGAACAAACATCATAAGTTTTCTAAGCCGTTCAATAATCTCGCAGATCGTGGTTTATCGGGTCTAAAACCACTCGGCTGCGCCTCGTGTTTTATACCCGATAAAACACTCCTGCTCGTTTATTAAACATTACATAATCCACTCAAAATAAACTAATACATTTTTATGACTAATAATAAAGGCTTCCCATTACCTGATTCCGAGTGTACCTTCAACTGACTTTCCACCTTGCTTGATCCAACATCCCAGAGCCTGAGAAAACCATCTTCATAGCCAGCTAGAACCTTTGGTTGATGTGTGCTAGGGCAGAGAAACAGCTTCACACACATACACATTCCTGTATGTGGAAACAAATAACAGCTTTTAGTATGATTTTAGACTTGAATATAAAGTTTCTTGTGCTGTGATTGTTCAATCGACCAGTGTCTGATGACCGGGCACCATATGTAGCCCTGGTTTGACTGTTTAGTACTATTTGGTGCAAAATATATTTTGTAAATAACACAAAAAAGTCAAACATTCACTTACCATAGGTCATATTTTCTTCACATTTAATTGTATGTATACACTCTTTGGAATCTAGGTTTATTATGTCAATCTAAAAAAGTTGAAAGACAAGAGTTTGTCAGTCATGTTAAATAAATATCGTATTACAGTGCCTAGAGTTGCAAAGGTCATATATTATTGCATAAATTATAATTTGGAGGCAAAATTTTCATTAGTCATTTAAAAAGTATGAAAGCAATGGCCATTTTAATATTTGAGATCAGATAACTACTACAAAGGGACCATTCTTATTCACTTTAGGGGAAGGCAATGTTAACTTCGGGGGAGGGGAGGCATGAAAAGATTATATTAAATTGAGTATTATAAAAGGCAGCCTGTGGAAAGCCCCTGTCACACTCCTCCCTCTGCAGTGAAACAGGGGGAGAATGCATTCCTTTATTTCCAGCAGGGAGGGGAGGGGAGGGGGAGAAGAGGCTGTACACAGGTTAATAGGCTTGTGTTGTTTTATCACCCCATCCTCCCATTACACACTTCCTGCGCACCAACGACAGGAGTAGAAAAATCTCAAAGTTGACTCGATCTGGACAAAAAAGATGGGCTGTTTAGGGAATTATTATATCTGATCTACCGTAACTCTTCCCCCCTTTGAATACACTGTCAATAACAGACATTTGAACCACCATGCCTTTTGAAGGGTCATAAGGAGTTATTTTCTTTATGTAAATAGTTCTGGCTGGACATTGTCTGATGTCTGGCTGTTATTTGAAGCCCTGTTATCTTAAGGAACTGCACTACTTATGAAGATATAAATGAAACCTGAGATTGTTGTTCAGATGCTGTTGCAAGCCAAAGTTTATCATCTGAAAAAATATAGATAAAATAAGAGTGTTTTATAAAATTGATAAAATGTTTGGAAGTACATGTAAATTTGCTTACACAAATACAAAAACACATAAGTGTTTGCTTTAGTCTTATTCAGAAAATATATAAGGGAATATAAAAGGTTCTAAAATTGAAAAACACGTCAAAACASAGTGTACTACCTATGCATATACTTACTAAATGCCTTACAAAAGTGATAATTACCTTTTTGCAAAATTGAAAATTTGCAGAATCCAAAAACAGGGCAGGCCAATTTTGTAGTGTGTGACAAGCCTCCTTCACTAAGATCCCAGGAATTGATGAAACCATCCCGACCATGACTGATGTTGTACATGAAACAAAATTTAATCAGAAAGTCCATACTTTAATTTTTCTTTCACCAAATCTATGCAAACCACAGAATATAGACCCTTTTACTTTGAGTGTAATGCTTTCCCATTTTCAACCATGCATCATTCCCTAGAGTATCATTTCTTTGTTTAGTGCTTGCACATGAAAAGACACATGAATCAACTACAACAAACAATCTTATTCTTAAGAGAACGTTCTGAAATGGGAAAACATTAGCCAATGCTAAAGAGGTCTATTTGCAAATAAATGCAACAGAATTATCTGTTTAAATAAAATAATGTGCTGTTGCGTTGATTTTTACCTGATCAGATTTAAGTTTGAAGTTATTTCAAGTCCAAGAATTCCCTTTCCATTATGACTATCTAAAGTTGAACTAACCCTTTTGGTTTTGAGGTCCCAGAGACTGATAATACCTTTGGAGGATCTGCATATATATATTGTAAGCTATTAGCAAAGATTATCAACAATAAGCAGAAAGCCTCTGCACATCTGGACACAGCAAGGACAGGATTTAAGGAATGGAATGTTGCCAAATCCTGGATGGCAAAACAAAACTTGGAGGACAAAAAAAATTTTTACTCTCATTGGGGGAATAGCCCAATTCCGAGATAAGCTTTGCTTATCACACAAAAAGGTTTCGATACGAGGCTATGTGTTAAATTGAATTTATTCTTTTCTACTGTCACGAGTCACTGAGCATTATATACGAAACCTCACATTGAATCCTGTGTGTGAAGTGAATAAAGTGAGAAGTGAGCTATTGAAATTTTTTTATTTATTGTTTTGTCCTCCAAATTCAGCTGGTCTAAGAATTATTTGAAGGGTCTATAAATAATTTGTTTATTCGTACTTTTAAAATTGTACATGTAGCTTTAAAATTTTGTAGTAAGTTAGTAGTATTTAGTGCAAAACACCAGTCAAAGTAAACCCCATATATTCACTATTCAGTACTAATCCCCACGCATATCCAGGAGGGGGTGTGGGGAGGTCGTGCTTTACTTTGACTGGTGCATAAGTGTAAGACTCCAAATCAAGCACCAAATGCTGTGAAGAGATTTCCAACTTAAATAAACACCATTTTTGACTTTTTTCACATCTCATTTCAACAAGTTTAACTAGCAACATCCTGAAGAACTCAATCTTCTAATATGTACCAATCCTATCAATTGTTAGTTTACGAATACGTGGGTAGGTATCCTCTTCTATCGGGATAGGGATGTCTGGTGCAAGATGGCGGATGACACTGCCTTTTATAAAACTCAAAATAAACATTACAAAAATCTTGGCGGGTAAAAGAAGGGCTTACATGACTTATAGGTCATTTGTTCTGCACTAATATTGAGGCAGCAGAAGACCAACGACAAAGTAGAGTATTAGAACAGTTTTACACTACCTACCCAGCTGCGAGAAGTCCACCATCACAAACACAGACAGGAGCAAACTTAACGACATTTATTGATGAAGAAGACCCTCGAAAAACATAAACTGGACCTGGAGGAAGTCTTGAATCCATTGAACGCAAAGAATATATTATTTCAATGTGGCATTTTTCAGAACAAAATTCACATTTCTCAAACAGAAACCGCGCGCATTTTGTTTAGCGGCAGGCGTTCCTCTCTTTAGCAAAAGGACTGGTACTGCCGCCGATGCCACAGGCAGCCCGATACAAATCAGACCAAACTTTTATAGACAGTACAAGGGATTTTAACTTATCCACGGTATGGGGGCGGCTAGTCTCTCCCTCCACTGATGCCTTCCGGCTGAACATTGGCTATGTACATTAAGAGCGGATCCAATTACCGTCAGATCCGAAGTCAATACGAYGCCTCAGCTTCTGATTTACAGATGTCCCTGGGATATGGCATAGTTTGGCATCTTGGAATACATCTATGGTAAACGCGAAATTTAAGTAAGATATTCAGTTCTGAAATTTTTCAATAATTTAAGCTTTGCATATTAAAAAAATGGTTCATGCAAACGAGTGCATGTGTGTATTGATTAGCGTAAGCACGGCAATTTTAGTTTTGTTTTGTTTTGTTTGTTTTTTGTTTTTTKTTTGTTTTCATTTAGATTTCGATTGCCTATTCAAAAAATCTCGAAAAAAATGGGGGCCACCAATTTTGTTTTCAGCAGAGTTATGGAACATTATTTAACACGAGGGAACAATTTTGAACGCCAAATATAACATTCTGACCTATATTTTAATGGAAACTCAATACCATAACAGTAACAATAATAGCCTTGAATTGCCTCTCTTTCTATCATAACAAAAGTGCACACAGTGTTTAACGGTGCATGCAATTAAAAATATATCTTATATGTACCTAGAAGTCCGTTGGTGTACCTATCACCCTTCTGACATTATTTACAGTATTGATTCTACGTAAAACCTTTCATAGTTTGAGTGGATATAGCATGGAAAACCCTTTATAACTTCAAGAAGCCTCACTCAATCTATAAACATTTTTCGGCTTACTCGACATCTCGTACACCATGTAGAATCAATACTGTGAATATTGTTAGAAGGGTGAGAGGCACTTTAACAAATATACCTCTTGATTCAGATTCTCTAAATGATCGCTAATTTATTTTCTCTTCATTTAAATGATTGTGAATTAATCTTTTTTATGTAATGAACAGCAAAAGGTGTACTATGTCATTACCACGAAACAATGGCTGGCCGTCGAAATTAGACTTGTGTTCATGCAATTAGAGTATTTTTTCAAGTCCAACTACGAATTGGATCTACCAGCATTTCGTGGTCACTTAAGCAAATTTGGAAAACGTCTACTCTATTCACAAATACCATTTGAAGTCCTTAAGAGTTTAAAACATTGGTGTTGTTCAAGCTGCACATTCTTTAGAATACATTTGATTTTTACAAGTGATTTGCTCTTATCATAAGCGAGACAGCGGTATTCACCGAATGAGAAAAGGAAATATTAGTTACGTTTTCTAATTCTCAGGAAAACTCCATTTCTGGGTCCCATGGTTATGCCACCCTTCTAGACGTATAACCAGAAAAAAATTAAAAAGGAAAAGAAAGCTTGGTTTGGCATTTGCAGTACATTTTAGGGGTGTTGTCTTAGGGAAAATGTTTCCAAGATGGCGTGTATTTCCTTCCCCAATCTCGTACCCAGAGCATGCGTTTCTTCTTGCCCGCGGCGAAGAACGAGGGCCCTTATACCTGGTATAATCCGTTTTTTGGAAAAATTTTTTATAAAAAATAATTTTTATTTTGATCAGAAATAAACACAGAACTCTGTTTGAAAGGATGATTTTCATTGATTACATACACTTCCGGAAAACTGCGCATGAGTTAAAAAATGGATTATGCCAGAGCCCTCGTTATTCACAGCAGGCCAGAAGAAACGCAGGCTCTGGGTACGAGATTGTTACTCCCCTAAAACGTTACAGTCCCGCAATGCACTGCGATACCACCTCAACCAAGTTTTTCCATCAACCTCGGAATGGCTTCAAGTCGTGTGACTCGATGTGTTTATACATCTAGAGTATTTTACCAAGTCCAACTTCAAAATGGGATCATTGATTCGTGGTCACTCAAGCATAAATTAGTCCGTTTTACAGTTCCCTGCGTCATCTTGAAAGGTAGTCGTGCCTTTGCATCGACGCGAGACGAACGGGGAGCTTGTAAAGATAGAGACCTATTTTTAAAACCTTGGACAATTACACAGGGGGCAGAGGGGGGCCACTTATCTTTCATTGTTTACGCGCTGTGCTGTGCCTTAGCTTATTACACAGTGGATGATTGCGCGCTGTGCGTAAATCCAGTGGGGTAAATCTATCAATTTTTTCAAGCAATCCACTGTAATAAGCTAATAAGGCACAGCGCGCGCGGTATCTGACGGGCTCAAGTTTATTCATATTATGTACAGCGGTAAATAATATAAAACAAGATGGCGGAGCGACAAAACAATTTCGTAAACAATGAAAGATAAGTGGCCCCCCTCTGCCCCCTGTGCAATTATTCCTATGTCTCTATCATTGCAAGCTCACCGTTCGTCTCGCTCCGATGCAAAGGCACGGCGATCTTTCAAGATGGCGCAGGAAACTGTGAAGGGAACTATTCGCAAAAGGTCTAGCTACTCTATTCATTCATTTCTACAATAATCTCAGGTAGTACAAACATGTACTYTAAGAGGCGCGTAGTCGTCACTCAAGCAAGGTTTACTTCAATCGAAACTAATTCCAGGAAACTTTTAGTAACGTTTTCTAATCCTCAGGAAAATTCCATTTCTGGGTGACATGGTTATGCTAGCTTTGAGGTCCAGAGGAACCTGAAATGACACGATGACAGACGATCGTCAGAAACCAAATATCTGTTTTAGTTAGTAGAGAGGACGCGACCTTTAGTTGACGGCAGTACGTCACTTTTTGCTTGAGTAGCCGTCTCTAAGGCTTAACGCTAAACGCGCGCAAACTTCTCGACCAATACCAAAAAGGACCTAAGCTTTGAAGGCAACGGCCGACGCCGCGGAAACGGAAAAGAGTGCCGTTGTTTGTTGCCGTTGACTCCAGCCGTTGCAGGAGTCTACTGCGCACACTCAACCATGACTTACTTTTAATTTCGCATTCCTGACCCTTGGTTCCTCATGGTCATCAAAAAAGAAAGGTGCTGCAAAGAATGCAGTCAATAAATACTTATAAGATTTAGCTTACCTCTGTTTCTGGACACTGTTCCAGCTTGCATTCTTTCACAAGATACGTCAAGGCCATCTTAGCCTCAACGAGAGCAAACCTCATTCCAATACACTGACGTGGTCCCATACCAAATGGTAGGAACGAAAAGGGATGACGCTTCTCCTTGGCCTCAGCAGTAAATCTAGTATTTGTAAATAAACAGTGAACTGCTTATATTTTGATAATGATGCTGTTAACATAACTTTATTTATTCAATATTTACCTATTGTCGAATAATTGGAGCTAGAGTTGAGTAGCCCCATCAGACTACGTGTCCTTCCCTAGAGTATCATTTCTTTAATGGTTGCACATCAGAAGACTCACCAATATTGATGCAACCCAAAAAAGAATCTTATTCTCAAGAGAATGACACGTGGTCTAAAATAGGAAAACACATTATGCCAAGACCAAAAAGGTCTATCAATCAGTCGTTACCTCTCGGGTTCAAACTTCAACGGATCAGACCAGTGTTCGGGATCCCTCTGTATGGCATACACCGGAAACAGCACAGACATCCCCTTTTCGAAACGTACTCCATTAATGGTGCAATCCTCGTTACAAATGCGTCCATACCTTCATCAAAGTATATAATGTGGTTAAATGTAATAGTCCCTTATATTTTTCGGTAAATACCGCTGTGTTTTATCACTGAAGACCCATGTGTACAGGTTTAGCCTCGCTTAAGAGCAAATCAGTTGCAAAAGTCAACTGTAATGTTAAGAATGTTCAGCTTGAAAAATACCAATGTTTGAAATTCTACAAGTTTTAACGGAATCTGTAAATAGCTGACTTATAAACGAAGCTACGCCTGTGCAAATGAGTCTGTGTTCTTTAAAAACAGCGCTGCATCGAATGCCAAACTGGTGTATCTAGGCTAGCATGATGCTAGCTGGTCAGCGGTGTTGCTACTGTTGCGGGGAATGCTCAGTATCAGTGCTTCTTGAAAAATGTGATAATAGACCCCTACAGCACGTCGGAATGCAGCTCAATTTAGAGTAAATAACAATAGGTTTGTGTTTCTCATGAGATTGAAATTCTTTTGTTCTGTATTCCAAATTGAGCTGCTTTGACGTCACATGCAAGGGATCTATAAAATGAACTAACCTAAAGGCGGGTGGATATAGCCTGAGAGACTCGTTGATCACCATGTCCAGGTACTCCATGTTCTGGACAAGATCATAGGTGACTTCTCCCTTAAAACAGCAACAAAAAATGTAATCACAAATTAATGACTTGTGTCTCGCGAAAGAAATTAAAGAACCCGGAGAAAAAACCCTCAAAGCAAAGGAGAGAACCAACACAGCCATGTACAACTACTCACAGAAGATGAAGAGCCTCGAGGAATGAGCTACCCACACCACCCGTTCTTCAAGTCCCATTGTGCCGTTATGCATTGCAAGGCATGTTAGATGAAAAACTTGGACGAATAAATACATACCTTGCCGTCATAGACGCTATCGATTTCTTCAAACAGTTTTTCCTGCTTATCAGGGTTTAAAGCAAGAAGATAAGAAGTGTAGGCAAGAGCATTGCTCGTGGTTTCATAACCAGCCAAGATGAATGTAAAGCACTGAGCAATTGTCTCGTCCTCGCTTAACTTCTGGACTTTATTCCCGTGTTCGTCTTTCATCTCAGCCGAAAGCATCAGTTCTAGGAGGTCTTTCCTCTGAATTAAAAGAGGTTTTGTTAAAGTGTATATCAAAGAAAAAAATGTATTTTCAAACTCACGTCATTTCATTTGCATATTGATATTTCAAATGCTTATATCTCTGAAAAGAGAAGACCACATACAAAAATACTGCAACCACACTACTACACTGTTCACATGTAAGTGATTTTGAAAATATAATTTTTTCCTTGGTATACACTTCACTATGATGCTAACATCGATCGATATCAATGAATGGGAGAATTTAAATTTGATTTAATTGGGAAATGAGAAATTAATATGAAAAATGAATGAGAAATGAATGGAAAAAAGAATGGGAAAAAGAGAAAGTGAAAATTAGAAAAAAAGTACGTACTGCAGAAGAGCCTTGCTCTTGTCGTCGTTTGATCATACGTCGAGCAGTTTCCACAACAAACGCGACAGATTTGCCAGCTTCCGTTCCCGTCCCACCACCCAAACCAAAATACAACAGCATGAGCGGCTTAAGAAAAGGGAAAATCACTGTAAAAACAATCGATAATCAATCACTTCATATCTTGAAAGAACTAGCGTAGCAGGCGAAGACATACCATTTAGTTTTGTTACTGCGCTGGCCATAAAGATTTTTTGGGCATTTGGCGTGAACGCATCGTCTGGGTTGGTCTGTGAGTTAGATTCGAACCCAAATGCCGTGCTCATTATGACTTCCATTGTAAACTTGCCATAGGTTCTGTGAGAGGACAGAAAGAACATCATCATTTCCTACTTATGATACAAACCCACAATGCCGTGCATGACTGTGAATGTGACAGTACCGTGTCCGCCAAGGTACCGTGTCCGAGCATTCTGATTGGATGGGCGATGATCTCGCGCGCTGTGATTATGACCACCGTGACCCTGCCGCGTGTCCTACCGTCATACGAAATCTACTCCATTGAAAACTGTTTGTAACCAACCAAAAATGAATTTTATCGAACCTGAAAACCTCTGGGCTGATCTAAGTCAGGGCATGGCTAACTCACAGATCCAACACTGAAACAACCTCTGGGCTGATCAAAGTCAGGGCATGGCTAACTCACAGATTGGACCCTGAAACAACCTCTGGGCTGATCTAAGTCAGGGCACGGCTAACTCACAGATTGAACCCTGAAACAACCTCTGGGCTGATCTAAGTCAGGGCATGGCAAACTCACAGATCGAATTGGAGTTAATGTGTTTTGCGGAGGGAGTTCAGGACAACTGGAGAACCTGCGGGAAAAATACATGCACTCAAGGGAAAAAGATCAAGCAAGAATGCAGTTGATTTCTGTACCTGAAAACATCAATGCTCGAGTTTGATTCAGCTGCTTTTCCAAAGACTTTAGCGAGGGTAGAACAAGAGGAATTGATGAGAGGCACAACCTTTAGAGAGAAAACAAAAGTGACCTACTTACAATATTTTATCATATTAAAAACTAACCATTGCTTTATAAATTTGCCTGTCCTTAGTCCAGAACTGGACACACTTGTCTCACTATAATTTATATATGAAAATAAAATAAAATAAAAAGCTGTGCGTGCAGGAGAGAAAACCGAAAAATATTTCATCTTTGCAATTGCCACACACGCGCATCTATAAATTGAGTCCAGACAAGGGTGTCTTTTAATACCCACCCCAAGCTGAGTTATTTTATAAGATATTTTTTACATAAGATGTTTTTGGCATAAGCGCAAACCATGCCTGCATATTTATCACGCCATGTGACCGTGTATTTTCTGGTCAGCTGCAAAAGAAGATATTATATGCAACGCATGCGCAATGTAGTGGTTAATCCATACCTGTTTCATCTTGGCAGCACTGAATACTGGTGTGATAGTTGTACGAAGGCGTCTCCAGTCGTCATCAAGTAAACTCAGCAATGATTTATTTGTTGGAGGAATGCCTCCACCAGCAACGGCAAACTATCGCCGGCAAGAATATATAAGAAAGCAGATTTTAATACAGCTTCAAATCCATATAATACTGTTGTGTTCCTTGATTACAGACTCATTTGCTCAGCTAGGGTTAGCCTCATTTCAGCATACAGAGCATTCATAAATACCAACGGTAAAGTAAAGAATGCAGAACTTCAACAATACAAACACTTTGAAATTCCACAAACCTTCTTTGGCATAGGCTTTGCATCTTCATGCTAATTCATTGTCATATAACTTATCTTAGGCGAGAGCAACACATAAATCCAAGACGAGTTAAGACTTACTGGACGATTGACAAACTTGTTGAACTCTTTGACAGTGATCTGTTTGATCATTTCAGGATCGGAAACCAGAAGCATTGGATTCATACCCAAGTAATAACTGTACAAAATAAATGCAGAAATATATACGTATAAAGCCGAAATAAAATGTTGGGGCCGACTGGAACAGAAAAAAGAACAGAAGAAAATAGAGGTTCATAACAGTCAATTTTTTCAGAAGGAAAGGGGGGGGGTATGTTGGGGTGGAATCGCTTGAGTGGTGAGGATTTTACTCTTCGCTCGGCAGCCAAAAAAAAAAAAAAAGGGAGAGAGGCCAAGAAAAACGTACTGAAAAATAGACCTACCCACAGATATGGCCATACTTCTTGACGTAATCCTCGTTAAGCAGAAATTCCTCTTTCTGTTGATAAAGACCAAATCATCAAGCTGCTACTAAAAAAAATTAAAGGTTAAAGTTGTTTTACCATACCAAAATAAATATAAACTATGATATTGCCTAATGACCATGTTTGCCTAATGACCATGTTGGTGGTGAGGCTAGCTTTTAAAAAAATATGCCAGTGATGGTCCATGCAAAACGTATTAATGACAGGCAGGGGCGTAGCCAGGATTTTGCATTGTGGGAGGGGGGGCAAAACCCGTTTTCAGAACATACATTGGCAAAGTGGAGTTAACTTATCACGTGACTACTTAGGTGTTTAGTTTTCTACAGCATAAGGATGGGGAGGGCTAAGCTATGGGGTTGCAAGATGGCTATGAACAACAAGTAGAAATAAAGATGTGTGTGTTTGTTTGAGGGAAGGAGGCCTGGGATTGCTTTCCGAACCTTTTTTATGACGTCAAGCAGGTTTCCAATGAATGGCAAGGGTGTTGGTCCAGGAATGCCAAGCCTCTTGAATAGAAAAAATGGAGCAATTCCTACCCTGTTAAGTGAAATAAAAAATATTTCACATGAGATATCTTTTAATCAGTCAGTAATTTCATTATTCAATTCAAGCATTCATTATTGGCACCCTATTAGTAATATTAGAATTGAATGGTAGAATAATAGTTTGATAGGTTATTAGCGTTTGATTTAGCGATTTTAAGGGGGATTAAATGATAAAAAAATCCTTTGTGATCCTAAATAAAGAACATAAACATTATCTAAACACTCAGCAAATTTTAAAATACGACTGACAACCAAAAAGTGACTGCAAACTTTGTAGTCTCTCAAGCCCCATATTCATACGTCCAGGGACTTCGAAATATAAAATAAACAACCAAAGAAATATATATATTGTGCAAGCCCTTTGGGACTTCAAAATACTAACGCTTTGGTTGGAAATAAATCTTAAGTTTTGGTACCTATATCAGTATTAATCCGGCGTTCGTCTCAATCATGAGGACGTTAATTATGTACCTCAATGAAGATATCTTGAAGCATAATTTTATATTTAAAAGCCTGCTGTAATGTGGTTTTTGTTGCTAGCAACCGAGTAGCTTAAAAAATGTCCACTTCTTTACCTGCTTACCGGATAGATGACGATATAGTAGCTTCGCCTATCAAGCACTGTAGCTACAAAACATTATCCGTAATTACTTACCATAAAATAAACACTGTGAACAGCACAATGCAGATGAGAACCAGGTTATTTGAAAGGAAAGTTTGCAGTTCCACCAAACGAAACTCCATCTTTGCTCCTGGCCTGTACTTGAGGGTTGCAACCACTGGTTGCAAAGGACAGACAATAATGTAATACACGTCCCGCGTGAACACTTTCTATGCTAGATTAATTGTAATCTTACTTTTTTTCTTACAACAACTTTTCAATACTTGCTATTCAAAATTAAATAATCAAATTTAAATTTCGAAAAGTTGCTTTATAACCTTGTTGCCACAGTTAGCAATAATAAGATAATAAAGTTATTCGGAACACTCGTCCCGACGTACTGTCTGAAAATTTACGGGTCAGAATGCACGCCGGAATGTCAGTCGAGTTGACTTTATCGACTTTATAGAGCGTTTTCACTCACGTGATCATGAGAAGGCAGCCATAAACAATAGAAACTTTCTGCACAGTATTTGCATACTAGTAAAAATAGTATTACTATCTATCGTATTATTATCGTAGATCCCTGCGGAGGAGGCTATGATTAGTGGTCCTCTGTTCTTATTCCCGTCCCTGGATGCAGAGGCCCGTATGAGGTTTGGGGGCGAGCCAGGAGAGATAAGGAGGGGCCTCCACGGGCCTCTGGCACCCTGATGAAAATGTTAAGCTCTGTTTACCCTGGCATTCGATGACGTCAAAAGGCGCTTCAATATCAGATGTCAATTATTTCTTTTCGCTATAGACGACATCACAAGAAGGAAGATAGCTGTGTACACTGGAAAAAACGAACATGGCGACTGATGTTACTGAACCATCAACGTCGACAATAACCGAGCAGTTTGAGATGAAAGCAGAGCAACTGGATTCAAAAATGAGGTACGATCTTAGTGTATATCGAAAGGTTTAGGCCACAAATGTCGAACGATGTTTACTGGTGTGGTAAAAATGGTGTATATGTAAGCTTCGTGCAGAGCGGAATAGTTGATAAGCGCTTTAAGACAAATTATCTAACCTTTATTCTGTAAAAAGATTCAAATATATTTATGTGTAAACTCCCAGGGTACGTAAAGAGTTTGATTCGCAGGTCTTCTTGCTTGTAAAGTAAGCCAAGCACTAGCTACTTTCATGTTTAACACATGATGTGTAGTAAAATAGAGTCTTGCTGAAACACAAACACCATTGTTATAAACAGCTGATTATATTTTGTGCGTTTGAAATGTCCGACCATTGAACTTTTTAGTTTTTGTCTTTATGATTTCCCAAGGGGGCAAAAGAACTTCGAATGTGCATAGTTGTACTAATAACTTCCTTAGCAACAAGATGGCAGAACTGACAGTCCATATGTTATATCTTCGGGAAGAACTCTCTCGCGTGTTTGAAATATTACGTCAATGATAAATTGGATTCGGGGCCAAAACAATTCTTCTTTTTTATGTTACGTCATCATCTGGTGGACTTAAACAAAAGACTTCTCATTGTACCTGTGCACCATCATTGCTGCCATGCATGTCTTTGCATGTCTTTGCAGGGCTGTAGCCACCAGTATGGTTGGTTGGGTTTTAACCAGGCCAACTTTTGGGGGGAAAATATAAGAAAAATATAAAAAAATGTAAGAAAAACCAAAAACTCTTGAAAACCGGACCAATCAGCCCTGCTTTGTCTTTTAATCCTCTTGAGAATGGTTTAAATACACCAATAGACCCCTTCACAGTTCCCTAGTGCCATTTTGAAAGGTAGCCGTGCCTTTACATCGAAACGAGACGAATTGTGAGCGTTCAATGATAGAGACCTTTTCAAACACCTTGGACAATTATTCACGTCTCTATCATTGCAAGCTCATCGTTCCTCTCGCTTCAATGCAAAGGCACGGCTACCATTCAAGATGGTGCAGGGAACTGTGAAGGGGACTATTGTTAGATCCATTATGCTAGCCAGTAGCCTAGTGAAGAAGAGGTTTACTGGAACCCTTTCCAGCTACACCCCTGCATGTGATTGGGCTAAAAAGTACACAAGCACACAACTAAGAAAAAATGTCCTTTTTTCCACACAAAACCTGATTGTAACATTAGTAATATTATTTTTTTCACAATTAAGTGAATATATTAAGATGAATATATATTTTCATCCTTGTAATCACAGCTGTTTCATATGTACACCATATGAGAAATGTTGTCAAATTTTGACACATTTAAATGATTTATTGTAAATTGGGTGGGCATATTCATGTATTGCTGGAGGTAGCTTATGTTTAACAATTATTTGCTGAAGACGAAGTGAATATTGTCTCATAATCACTGATGGCACCAATCACAGAGAACAAAATTCTATATTCAAGTTTGAAATTATACTAAAATGTGCTATTAGGACAGCCATTTACGTACCTACACCAAATTGAAAAAAATTGTTCTAGGTAAATAGTTAATTAGGCTCATATTATGCATATAGCAGTTTTGCATGTCTGGAATATTGATTGATTAATTATCATTATTTTTATTATAAATTAAGCTGAGTAAATATTTTTTCCCCCATAGGTGCACCAAAGAAGACTTGATCTCTTTGGCCTTGGCAGTTTTCATTCCTATTCTGATTACTGTGTTTGCTTTATTCTCTTTGTTACCATCACTTAAGGCCCCACCATTACCAAGCTTTGAAGACCCTATCAAGGTATCTGCTAATAACTGTAATATATGCTTTTATAATGGCTGATTGCTTGCTTTTGCATTTTATTACATTAATAATTGCCCTAATTCACTATGACATCACTGCTTGTTTATGTGGGGGATAGAATCACCAAATCCAATAGAAAATTCAACAAAATTTGGTCCTATACCGAAACAGTTTAATCTAAAATGGCCTGGTTTTTTGATATATGTTTTAATATGTACTATAAAATATTCTGAGTGTTTGCTGGCTATCGACTACTTCTCTTCGTGGATTGATACAGGCTTTAGAACAATTTTCAGTGAATTTGCGTTGATTTGACCCCGTCCGATGACCATAATCCTTTGCATTTAAACAATAGATTATTGTTGAAGATTGTTTTGATGTGACGTCATAGTGAATTAGGGCAATTGCAAATACTTTATAATAAACTGCCTCCCGGTTGGTTAAGTTCATTGGCCACATGTTAGTTGTCTTAATGTTGTGGGTGGTTCAAGTTTAGGGGCTTATTTTCGGAAGGGCTTGCTTTTATTCAGAGATTTACAGTGTATAAACTTTTTATAAGTTATATATTTACAAGAAATCAGAAAACTAGTTCACTAGCAATATATATCAGGGGCAGATATATCCAGGGCAGATATATCCAGGGATTGTCCTGCAGTGCACAGGACACTTATCTAACACTATAATTACTCTTAATAGCTTTTTTGAAGCAAAAGAAACATTTATGATGCATGATATATCTATATATATTATCTTTATTTGGGACACCCCGTAACAAATTTCTGGATCTGCTCCTTTATAGATGTACATGCACTGCAAATTTTTTTCTAAAATTAATTTTATTTTACACAGGGATTTGAGCCAAGAGGAACAGAACTCAGCAACCGTTTAATAACCCTGAAAAATTTAAATAATGTATCTTTGAGTAAATTCAATGGATCACAGGCCAAAACAAGAAATGTCCGCTCTGTAAATACTAATAATTGCAGAATGAGGAAAAGCTATGTTCACCTTGTTTTTCAGTCAACATCGACAAGCAGTCTTCTTACTGCTAAAAACTTGAAGGCAATGTGTGTGTTAGAGAAGAAAGTTATGAAATCCACTTCTGGATTTGATTTCTCCTACTATGGAGGATGTCCAGAGTGCTGCCCAAGTTTATCTTTGGGAAACCTTGTTGCTAAAGTCGGTAACAAAGGCGCATGTGAAAACATTACAGATTTTGATGTTCAAATGGGACTGAAGATTCTTCAAAACTGCTCAGTATATTATGCCAAAGGGCTGCTTAACGCAACAGTCAGCTGTTATCCTGATTCTTCTGGCTATAACAGCCGTCCATCCATCCCATGCCAATGCATTAAAGACAAAGCTGTTTTCTACACCCTGAACTACCTTACAGACAGTGATTTCCTCAAAACACTGAGCGATACTAATTTGAAGTACTCCCTGGTAATGTCACCCATCGTTCGCAATTACGACCTCTTTTACCATATCTATGAGACACACCTCAAAGACACCTTGCCAGAATACAATGGTGTCAAAGTTGTGGCGTTCCACTTCGAAAATTTCAAATTTGACCTCTTTAACAACCTCTTGATAGAAAACACCAAATACCCTGCAATAGCAATGGTTTTTGTGCTCATCATTATGTGTTCATTTCTCAACTCCATCATCCTTTCCATTTGCACCTTGTTTTGCATTATCTTTGCTCTAGTCTTTTCTTACTTTCTCTACAACATTGTTTTTGGCGTTTCTTTCTTTCCATTTCTAAATGTTATTACTTTAGTATTTCTTGTTGGTATTGGAGCGGACGATGCCTTTGTCTATTATGACATCTGGAGACAAACAAAACTTGCACACCCTGATGCAGATGTTGTGACTCTAACCTTTAAGACTCTTCGCTATGCAGCACTATCAATGTTTGTCACAAGTTTCACCACTTCAGCAGCATTTTTTGCCAGCGTGACGTCACACATTACGTCCATCAAATGTTTCGGAATTTTCGCAGGTTTGTCAATTTTGACAAACTATTTGATTATGGTCACTTGGTTTCCAGTTGTTGTGATCTTGCATGAAAGATGGGTTCGTAAACGGCCTGTTAAGCCAAGCCCTCGTCAGATACAGGAAAAGCCAGTTTCTAATAACATTAATGGTCGAGATGGCGGGGATGTCCAAGACAAAGGTGATAGTTCTGAACCCAATAATGGAGGAAGAAGCAGCCTAGCTTGTCTTGTTTGTTGGGCGATTGACTTTCCCTGCCACTTCATTCCTGGACATAACACCTTCTTCTCAAAAATGAACCAAAAGTTATTTGACCATTGGCTTCCAAACGCAGTTCTCAAGAAAAGATTACACTTTCTCTGGATCTTTCTCTTCTTTGGCTTAACCATTGGGTTCTTGTGCGTAATCTTTGTCAAACCAGGTCTGAATCTACCAACGAGTAAAGATTTCCAAGTCTTTGCAGCAAGTAGTAATGTGGAAAAGTACGACCTCGGAATAAAGTACAAATTTCGCTTCAACCAAGTTAGGAGTTGGGGGCTGCCTGTCCATCTTGTTTGGGGGCTGAAGGAGGTGGATAATGGAGACTATTTGAATCCAAACAACAAAGGAACCTTGGAGTATAATCCCTCGTTTGATCCTTTCTCTAAAGAATCACAAAAATGGATGCTTTCTCTGTGTAAAAGTCTTCAAAAACAGAGATTTTACACAACCAAGAGCTTTGGAGAAAGTGGTGTATGCGCCATCAAAACGTTTATCAAAAACTGCAGAAACTACACCTTCCCGTTTCCCAGAGAAATCTTTCAAAATGCTTGTTTCAAATGGGCCGGTAATCAATGGAGTGAATATCCAAGATTGTTATATGACAAAAATAAAAAGGCTCTTGTGATGACTATGTGGTTTGAGACAAATGTCCAATGGACTGCGGCATATGACAAGATGGACGATTTCTGGAAAAGCCTAAAGACCTGGGAATCAGAAATTTTTGCTACTGCTCCTTCAGGCATGAAAAATGGCTGGCTTGTCAGCTACGACCTCGAACAAATGTACAATCTCCAAGACAGCCTGAAACAGGGAACATTTTCGTCAATGGGCATTTCGGTTGCCATCGCTTTCTGTGTCATGTTGTTGACGACTCTCAATATCTTCATCAGTATTTATGCTATCGTTACTATAATTGGCATCATCGCCATATCTGTCGGTTGCTTGGTTCTTTTGGGTTGGCAACTGAATATTCTGGAGTCTATAGTGATGGCAGTAGCTGTGGGTCTCTCCATTGACTTCACAATGCATTATGGAGTGGCCTATCGACTATCACCTCACAAAGAGAACAGAGAACTAAGAGTACGCTACTCCTTCTCTCATATTGGATCAGCTATTTCCATGGCGGCTTTGACTACTTTTATCACAGGTAATTTTAAACTTTTTTTCATTTAGGAAAATTAAAGAAAATGTTTTTACATTACATTACTGTAAATTTCTTCCTATATGTCATTAAGAGATCATGGTCTCTTATAGCGCCCGGGCTATATACACTTATTTCAATAAAGTTAGTCACCTGAAAAGCTACAAAGCTGAGACCAACAAGGATTATGGGTAGTTACATTTTACATGTTTCAACCGCTTTAATAACTGTTGAGGGATTTTAGATCTTTTACCAGTTACAGTCTCACCTCTTCTGAGCATCCTCAAGCTGCAAATTGTATCAAAAGCTTTACTTGTTTGATATTAAAAGATTCCCATGATCCTCAGTGATCTCAGCCTTCTAGGTTTTTTGGTGACTAACTTTATTGAAACAAGTGTATACTACCATCCATATGTGGAATCAAGATTAGGTTTAATATTGTCCCGTCTTTCGCGCAGGGAAGACTGTAGCATTATTTTCGTGCAACCGGAAACGTTCTGAACTTTTGGCGCAAAAGCATGTAACTCAGTCGCGCAAATTACATTTTTTTTAATGCCATGTGCTTGTTTTGATACGAGAAATTTGATTATCGCTGGCTGGGAATTTTCCTGTCCATGTTTTTTGGCGGGAAAATGCAAAGCTTGCTCAATTTAAAGCCTTGATGATTTTTCCAGCCATATTCGTGTTGCTGGTAAAATTTTAGCACGAAAGCCGCGCTACATATTTTTCCTGTTTTTTTTCTCAGGTCTACTAATGATGCCAGCCATTGTGTTGGTTTATAACCAACTTGGTCAGTTTCTCATGTTGTTGATGGTATTCAGCTGGTTGTACGCTACCTTTGCTTTCCTTTCTTTATGTGCTGTGATCGGTCCGGTTGGAAATTTTGGACAGCTCAGCTTAACAAAGTAAGTCTATTTAGAACTTTTCCAATGAAACGCAGCCACGATTATGATAGTAACACACCGTTCTACATCATTTCCTTATCCCCAAAAATATGAGGGATTGAAGCATGGATGTTATTCGATTTCTTATTCAATCGGAACTGCTAAATTTTTCAGTTACAATATAACTTTTTCTCACAATTTCTAAAATTCCCCTGTCCCCAGGAAGCTGTAAAGCAAAATGAGCAGTCCGCATATACATGTAGTTTTGGTTCAAACTGTTACTCATGTTTTTACTCGATCGATATTTTAGGTTTTGCTCTAATTTTGGGCCATGTCGAGTGAAACCAGCCTCTGTACAAGACGAGCAGAACACTGTAGAGAGTAAGGACGTACATTCTGTACAAACCAAAGAACAAATTAAAGAAACTGATGTAGAATCTAAAGATGGCCTTGATGTAAAATTGGGTGATGAAAACGAAAGAGAAACCCATTTGTAAAATACGGTTGCTTTAAATATAAAAAATGTACTCCATTTATTTACTTTTCGAACACTTCTCACACGGTTATCGTGTTCAAATGTGATAATGGCGACAAAAACTTAATTAAGTTGATAATGTCCATTTGAAATCCCAGTCTAGCTAAGAAATAATAGAGTTAATCACTTTTTTTTTTTGTAATCACTACCAAATCCTGCAATCTGATTGGTTCAAAGGAGTGCGATTAATTCCCAAATCGCATCCTTAGGAGTTCTTAATCGCATTCTAAAAAAAAATTTTTTTTTAACAATAAAATAAAACAAAAAAATTATAAAAAAAAGTTTTTTTAGATGTTTTTTTTTGTTCGCATTTAGTTTTTCTACTACATTAAACTGATTATTCTGCACTCTTTATTGTACCTTTTTCTTATGTGTGATTACAAAAAGGATATGATTAAGTGGTAATTGAACTTCGTGTCGTGCAATTTTGGTCTGAAATCAAACTTGCAATTACAAATCACACTCCCGTTACGCGGTCGTGTGATTTTGTAATCGCGCGTTTGATTTCAGACCAAATTGCACTCCACTCAGTTCAATTACTATTATTTAGTTATTTAACCCACGAAATTAAAGATACTAATCGTGTAATGGTCAAATATGCACAAAAGAAAACGATTGAATTAGGGTCTACTAATGTGTATTAGTAAAATATCTATTTCATGGATGAAGCCATACAGCGCTATTTTATTTAATTGTAATTATAAGATTCTGCCAGTAATATATTAAAGTATTTTTTATAACCAGGCCTGTTGCGCATTCCCGGGTAACCTTGCTACTTTCCAGTTGAAAAATGTGTGATTACTCGTTTTTTGAACTGAAACAAAGTCATTTAATATGACAATCTCATTGCGCAARCTAACGAGTCTATGAGTCAATAGCCCATGAGGCGAGATGACTTAAGCCTGGTTTTCACTGGCGACGGAAGCAGAAGCAGAAGCGAGAGACGTCTTATGTTCCTGTGAAAATCAAAAAACGGAGACGTAAGCAGAAGGAACGGAAGGTTTCCTATTTCTTTTATGCTTCTGCTTCTGCTTCCGTCCTTACGTCGCTAGAGAAAACCAGATTCTTATGCTTCCGTCGCTAACATACAGAATAGACTAGGAGCACAAGGTGGTAAGCCAATCAAATTCTCGTATTCAGTCCCCTGCACATATTGGATTCTTGTATAAACAATGGCTTCCTATTGTGTTTCTTATGCTTCCGTCACATTCATTTTCACTAGAACATAAAGATCTTATGCTCATGCTCCCGTCGCTTATTATGTCGCTAGTAAAAACCCGCCTTTGTTGTTGTTTTTTTAGTTAAATCCAACTAGTCGGCCAAATATATAGATGCAAACAATTTAAATGAAGTTAAATTGCCAATGTTTTGGCTTTCAAAGCCGGCACTTTTCACTACTAGTAGGCCATAACTCATAGCCTAGTAGTAGCTCATCCAATCAGAATGCAGCATTGATGATAGACCGCTAGTTAGATCACAGGAAGCCCATACAAGCTTTGAGAGCTGAATGTAATTTTAGGGGAAAAAAATTAAAAATAAAATAAATAGAAGCTAATATCTACTCACATGAAGTGTTGTTTACGACATCCTAGTTCTTTAGTGGTGATTTCGAGCCATTTTAGCGAATTTTTAAAAAAAATTCCCTTCCCCTTTATATAAGACAAGGAAGGAGACTCCTGACCCTAAATCGAGTCGACCCACTCATGATCGATGTTATTTAGTAAAAAATAAACAAATTGAATCCATTGAATAACCTTACTTTCACAATATCACTGCCCTGTATGATACACAGGTAGCCCATTATGTTGTGGTTAATTGTGTTTTATGGCGCGAAAACTTTGACGCGCTTGCGCTGATTTTCACTTATTTCTTTTCAAACTTTTGTTTTGATTTCTCAGTCGCTTTTTAAAAACACTTTTCTTGTTTATCTATAAATATTCTGTACTTTTAATAATTTCGGAAAAGAAAACTTCAAGCATGTACAAGAAACGAATATTTGGAACTCCTCCTGAACCTTTGTTCAACATGAGAGCTTTGGGAATGTCGGCTGAACTTCTTGAAGAAACCCTTTATGTTCTTGCAGAAGAAAATGAGAAAAATATGGATAATGCTATGGAACGACAGGGTTTTTTCAGAGGAGGAAAAACTGCTGGTATTTTAGTTTCGTTTGTTGAGACATGCATTCAAACTTTTCATCAAGAGTTTATTGATTTTTGTATTGAATTTCAGAATATTTTTTTCTTCTTTGTCAAGAACTTTCACTGCCTTCAGAAGCTCGCTATCTGGCAATTGAAATTTTTGACAGGTAAACCAACCCATAGAAAAAATTCATGTAATAGTTCATGTTATTGTTGCATGTTCSTGTTGCTAACACTTGGATTGTTTTTTTCCCCACTTCGTACATGGCTACTTCGTACAAAGATTCATGGCCAAACATATCAGCGAACTGTACGAGTTCATTCGTTCTAATACTGATGAAAACCAGAAGGCAAATTGGCGCGATGTCGAAAAACGCATTAAAACTCAACTACCACTTCGCATTGTTTCTTGTACTCAAATTGCTAGTAAGCTGTTGTCACACTACGAGGTAATCTTGAAGAAATCCCAACTTTTTACTCTGTTTTCGCTTTTTGTATTTTTACGGAAACTCACTTTTTCTACAGACAATCACACCTAACAAAGCTCGAAGATTTCTCAACTCCATCGGAAGCCATTACTCGACGAAAAGCATTTTGAAGTCAGAACTAAGAATTCTAAAAACTTTGGACTATTATGTTCTCTTTAGCACTCCCCTCGCATTTTTGGAAACGATATTAGAGATACTTGGTGAGGATCATGGTTTTAGGTTGACTATCCACCCTAGCTTTCTAAAAGTAACAAAATTATTTCTTATTGCATCATTCATTAAGATCCCTCCCATCCCAAGTGAAAGACATAAAAGAGAATGTCAGAAGTGAACTCCCCTGTCAGGTCCATAGCAAGGTCTAGATAGCTGGGGAAGGGGGGAGAGGGGGGAGGGGGTTTAATGGAAGGAAAGATATGTGGTATTGATAATGTTGTTGAGTCATAATAGTAGAAAAGCGTGTGGCTACTATATTGCAATAATGAACGTTTTTCCATTTGTTTCAATAGCAAATTCATTTCTTTTTGTCAAAACAAAACCAGGTCACAATGACACAAAAGCCCAAGTGAAAGTTCTACATGACATTTCCATGAAGGTCCTAGACATAGTGTATCTGCGGCATTATGAGCTTTATGCTAAGCTTTGCATGGCTGCCACAGGTGAAAAATGTACCAAAGAAGACAGGCAAAAACTTGCTGTTCTGGCTAGTGACAACATGTTAATGGCTGTCAGTGTGATTGGCACAGCTTCTTACATAGTTGATCAGTCAATGAGTGATATGGTTTGTTATCATGATCTTTTTATACTTGTTAGCATTATATTTTCTTTAAGATCTACTTAAGCCTTTCCACCTTTCATGTTCGTATTCAATTTTCTATTTTTAAAGGATGGTATAAATAACAAATAATATGGCTGCCTTTATTTTTCTCCTTTCAGGTAATTGAACAGCTGAGCTGTATCACTCAAATCCCACAGGATGACATTTTGGACTTTGGAACAATTATTCTAGAAATTATCTTATGAGTTTCACATTTTAATCCCACCAAACACCACTAATGGATTGATCGAGTGTTTTTGTAGATGTAGCTTAAGAAAGAACAGAAAATATAGCTTATTGCATACACTTGTAATCCTACTTCAAAATACTTTAACTAAAGTGTTTTAGTCTTTTAAACTTAAAGCTTAGTAAGTAAAGCAAAATATTACAAAAATTCAAATACATATACTTGTATGGTACAAACAATCTTTATCACATGACAAAAAGAATTCAGAAATGGGTTACTGTTCAATGATGCAAAGAAAATACTTATATATACATTGTGTACATTTTGTGTTGGCATAAGTCATAAATAAATTTTGATCTTAGGTCATATATAATAAATGTAAAGTATTTTAATGCATGGTTTAATGTTACTGAGAATTTGATTCCTCTGATGCTGGTCTGTGCTTTTTTAAAGGTGGACTTTCAGTATCCTGAAATAGAGTGAGATAACAGTAAGAAATGAATAAGTATTTACTTAATGCTATACTTTTTTTCCAGTGTTTAAAATCGAGATACTGTATAGGAAATACTGTTTAACAGAGTTTGTTAAATGAGAAACTTTTTGATTATTGAGGAGCAGATTTCGGATGAAATAAAGAAAGTTGACGAGAAAAAAAAAAAATAAATGGGAGTAGATTTCATATTACATTAAAAAGTAAAATAATAATTTCACCAAACACAACATAGTGTGGAAGATGCTTAGACACTGTATCTTCCTCATTATGGCAGGTAATTTTCATACCACAATTATTCTTCCACAGCCTACTACTTCTCATAACTTGTTTACCTCATTTGATTGCTTTGGTTCATTTGGTTGACTATCTGCTTGTGAATGCTCTGTAGCTACTCTTGGTGGTTGTGGAGGATTATCAGATTTTTTGAGTTCTACAAGACTATCAATAGCCCTTGTTTCAGAATCATTCTCAAATGGTGTAACAGAATCTTTGGTTTGGCCATCATTGGTAGAATCACAGTCTCTTGAATTCTCTTCGTTTTCAAGCATACCCATACCAAGCCTATATGAGATTGTTGCACTTTCCTCACTTTAGAAAAATAAAGAATACTTGGGTTTTCATATATTACATTTTATATGGTTAGACTAAGTTATAGCTTACCTTGCTATTGATGGTGCCATATTACTTTCTTCACCTTCATCTTGACTTGGACCTTGGCTATCTTCATTGATTTGCACATTACTGTCATCATTTGCTTGTGAATCAACTTCACTTTCATTAACATATTGGCTTCCAAAGCTGTTTTCCATATCTTCCCCATCATTTGTATCATTTTCCCCATTCATGCTTGTCATGTTGCTATCTTCATTGATGTCGAATGCACTGTTTGAGTTCTCATCTTGCAGAAAACTATCCCTCTCACTGTTTTCATCATTTCCTTTTGATTTTTGACAAGATAAAACACTGCTAAATTGTCATAGAAACTAAGATACAACCACCCACTAACTTCACATACACAGCAACAGCAGAGCAAAGTCTCATTAGGGGAGGAGGTGGAGAATTGTGCTGCTTAATAGAGATTTGAATTCACAAATATGTCATTGAAATATTGGACAAGTGAGGCCATCCTACACCCTTCATACTGTCCAGGGCTAAAAATAACTGTTGCTCAATGGCCAAACCTGATGGCCAGCCACATCATACTTATCAAAATGTAAAAACTCATTAGTAAAAAATATTTTGGTAGATATATCTAAGATTCTAAAGGAGTTAAAAACTTTACCATTATCATCCACTGTGTCAGGGTCTTCTATTTCTTCATGTTTCCTCTTAGTAGGACTTAGATGTGGAACAACACTGTGAGAGTTGTTTAGCTGTTCTGCAGTTCCATTCTTTATTTGGAATGGCACTTTCGTAACACGTTGTTCTGTTGCTGTCACTGGAGATGAGGCATTGCTGTCTTCATTAAGATCCCCTGTGCTTGATGTTACAGACTGATTGTCTTTTTCCAAGTATTCTACTTGATTAAAGGAAAATATATTTTGTGGTTAGCCTTTTATATAGGATAAAACGTTGGACTTTTTCAATATGTTTTCTCTCGTACTTACCAGTGCCATTTAAAGAATTTTCTTTGGCATCAATTTTTTTGTTCTAAAGAGGAGAAAAATAACAAGTTTTTTTCTAGATCCATGCTATTTATATACCATCACTTCATAATGCCATATTCTATTTGATATTAAAAAGAGTAGTGACCGGACACATTTCAAGGAAGATCACAGGGWGCCCCTTAAGCCCCCTTTCGTTCTTGGAATTGATTGGTGCATCTCCTTAATTTTGTCACACCCTACTCAATCCTATATCTACCCATGAAGAGTATTGAATCATGGCCTACCTGTTTCTTATCACCCTCTTGGATAGCGACTGAAAGAAGTATAAATATAACAGTAAGCAGTGACCAAAAGCTTATCTGTAAATCTTGTCTCACATCTCATGAAATTACTGGATAATGGACACAATGGGTTTGTGAATTTCATGTCAGTGAAAAAACTATATAAGCTAAGAATAAAAGACTTATACAGTGTATTATGCAAGACATTAGACTTCGTTCGCCGGAAATAAAATAAACCGGAAGTAAAACATCATTTAAAGAAGAAATACAACCGTCCTGTCAATGTGTCAAACATGCTGTCAAAATATCAAAAACATCATAAAAAGATATAAACGAAAAAATGATCAATGAAAGGTTTGAAATATTAAAACAAATGCAAGTAAAGGTTATATTTGTCGTCTTGAATTTATAAAAATGTACCAATATGGAGAGAGAAATAGTGCTATAAACGACAACCAACCTGGCACCCATTTGAAAACTTTCAATGTACAGTTGTTTCCAGCACCTACGTTAACCCATTTCTTTTCCCTAGTCAAAACAAAAAAAATTACGCGTTAACTTCCAATGTATAAAGAAAAGAGCTGCCTCTACAACCGGTTTGAATTTTCATTCAAACGAATTTTACAGATTTTGCCATTGTTCCAAATGACCGCTTCAATGCCATTTTAGAGTATGGCGAAAAAATGCCCAAATAAACTTAAAAAATGATAAATATGTCACAGTCGTGCTTCCGGGAGTAATTACCATTTTCTAACCCGTTCCACTGAGAGCATAACCCTTTTAACATCATCTTTAGCCCGGCTTCGAGTTTCCAATCGCAAAACCCCACTTCTATTCATCATGGCGGCGATTTTCAGACATCAGATCCCGGATGCAACTTCTTGCCATATATGGGACACACACCACAGGAAGCCCAGCACACGGACCTTGTGACACATGAAGTGCGCGCAGTGCACGCCATATATCCGTAAAGCAATTATTTTATCTATTAACTTTGTCATATATAATTACATAATTTTTGTATTTTACAATATATCAAACAGGGGATATATATGACCGGGAAAAATCTATGTATATATGACAGGGAAACCGCGACAGCGTTAAACCAATTACTGCGGGCCCAAATAAAAGTCTTTTTCACGAGCTCAACTATGTTGTCAACTAACTAAAAGTTCACTCCGGCATTACAATATTTGGTTATGTTTCACGGAAATATGGCGCGCACTCTAAAGTAGATTTTTTGATTTTTACCAATCAATTGCCGTTGTACGATCGAATCCTACTTACTTTTAAGTCTGGTTTCACTAGCGCTGCAAGCATAAGCACAAGTACAAAATTCTTTACTAGTATTTCATTGTAAAAAAACAGACTCGATGCAATCACAATTATTGAGAATTTTCTACTTTGCTTGGATTTTTGCTTGCATACATCGCTAGTGAAAACCAAAACTCCAGCTGGCTTCATTACGCACCACAGGTATAGCCCATGTCTATGACGTCATCATTTTAAACAAAACTGTGATGATCACTAATGAAATTTTTAGTCAATATTTTTAAATATTGACTGAAATTATTTAATAAATAATGAAAGAAGCATTAATGCAAGATAATAATCATCTCGAAGTTTCTTTCCATCATAGCACCGAATATTTCCCTTCGCCTTTGGCGGCTTTAATTCTTAACCGTTGAATATATTTAATCTGGAGTCAGATCTGGAGCCGATATGCGTTAACGCTTAATATTTCATAGTCCATTAACTATGATATTTCCCATCACAACTATGCATGTTTTGCAATAGGTGATTAGTTTTTACGAAAATTAATGCCAATGTTGACCAAACATATTGTTTTCCTCGAGCGAGTAGTTCGCGGTTCGTCTCAAAATGTATTTGAGATATTTTTATTTACGTTTCCCGCCTGGCTTCCCATTTCTATTAGTTTAGCTCTTACACAGTACCTCTGTTCTATTAGTAGCCATAGTTAGCCTATATTAGTGTACTTGACTCAGTCAAAATACCTTAGGGGTGATGTCACCATATTGAATGAACTCTCATGCCACAAAACTTAGAATAAAAAGATCAAAACATCAGCAAGGGGATAATAAGGCTAATAGCCGTCTATCTGTTTTGTAATTCGATTTTTTTGAACTGCTTTGATCACAGAGCAGCCTACTTAAGAACTCTCGCTTTAAAAATGTCCTCAAACAAAATGAAATGAAATGCAATCAAGATTTAATGAGTTAGCGCGCTTTCCTTTCGTGTTCAGTATCGAAATTCCAATTGATATGAGAATGAGATCAGACATGTATGTATCGTACAATTATTTGTGAGAAATATAAATAGAAAATAAATAGCAAAGTAATGGCTCTTTTGATTGAAAGTGTGTTTAGTCGGCGATCTGAAAAAGAGTACTGATTTTGATGAAGTAAAAGTAAAATGTCAAGAGAAAAAAGCAAATCTTATACCCTGCGAGTGGCGGCCTTTTTTTTTTTTGACACCGCTAGGAAGCAGGGAAAGTTCTTTTCCTCTCGCTTGATCCTAGCGGGATCAATCAGTTCTGGCCATGGAATTGAAAGTRAATCCCTTACAAGTCTCAGTCTGCGATGGAATTAACTAGTTTTTAAAAAAACTGATTCACTTCACTTTAGCGGTTGAGTCAGTACGTACTTAAGAGCAAAATTTCTGCCCCTCGTCCTGAAGATAATTAATCATCTGAATCTCCCTCACGCTGAAAACCATACCTAATCACCGCGTTTAGTCTGAGTCTAAATGAAGAGGTCATTTTTGATTTTTGCTCGTTTACACAGAAAACCTTAAAGGTTTATTGTTCGTAAACATCACGCAGACTAGGGATTTCGCCCTAAATTTAAAGCATTTTCATATCAGTATGAGCACCTGTCGTTTCCTTTCAATTTGTTGAATAAAAAACTTCGCACCAATTCATCATTTTTTGTATTTTTGAAAACATCATGACTGCCCCCCATGTGGAAATACTCCCTTCGATTTAAAAAATGTCCAAGATAATTGAACCTCTGGAATCTTAAATTTAATTAAAACATACAGAAACAAATCGAGTGTTTTTGTTTTTCAAAACGAGAAGAAATAATTATTTCATCAGGTTTTGCGTCGCAAATTTCGTTAATTGGCTAGGGGTTACCTCTAGCAACTTCCAATACGTAAGAACGAACTAGTGTGTACGTGCAATGTTCATAGCTTCTCGAGTACTAGTTAACACAAGCCAAATAATCCGGGCCAAAATTGACAAAAAGTCTATATAAGACAGCAGCTTATCGGACTATTTGTCTTCTTAAAGGCATAATTTCTCTTTCCAGAAATATCGTAAGAAGTAATATAAGATTACGACCAAAGACATTCAGAGCACCCAGTGCGATGAAGGAGTACTATTTTTAGCAAAATAATAAATACGGTGCTCTTCTGACGTACATGCAGTAGATAACTCGCCTTAAAAAGTACAGTCAAATGAATAAGGATTGAAAAAAGCTCTTGAAAGATAAGAGCTGTCTTTTACATTTGGATAAAGTCAAGAATGATAGTACAACCTGAAATATTTCGGTGGGATTTTTCGCCAGAAGAATGAACTCGAGACGGAAGCGTATGTGGGTGAGCTTCCGCTGGTCCGTTTGTCTCTGAGACCTTCAGACGATTTCTTAATTGAATTTTTTTTTCTAAATTCAAGGTGATCTAAACCAGATAATAATAAACTCAGACAAGGTATATTGGCAATCTCGATGTACGAACTTTGGAAATGACCGAACTCAATCGAATGGTTCTTTCATAGTAATAAATCATATCATTGATTGGTATAGTATCAAAGAAGAAAGAAAAAGGAAAGATGTGGGATTAAAAAGTACACTTGGTAAAAAAACTTTTGTCTGGTTTGACATTGTTAAGAAAAAAAGTTTTTGCACTTAAAAGGTTTTTAGTGCATTTTGGGGGGGAAAAGGACGCACTGAAAAATACAAAGCCTTCTAAAATTATATAAGATTACCCTGAGATTACAGGCACAACCCACTGGCCAATAAGAGCTGTGAATAATGTGAGTTGCTACACAAGGGGTATCATTAGATTTACTGTGGTTAATAGACAATTAATGAACCCATTCAGCTCAATCTCACTGAGGTTGGACAAACAATCGGCTCGTTCTTTCCGCTTTATATTTGGCCAATTAACCATGATATAGTTTATACTTCAGGTTAAATCGATGTAGGCACTTGATAAACATTGAAACACGCCCAAAGCGTGAAACATTGGCGCTGCGCCAAGATTACGACAGAATCTACCTGCTAACAAGCAGGTCCATCACCAATCGCCATCCATGTCCTAACCGAAAGACGCTGTTCACGCTTTCCACAAACAAGCACCGGCAATTTACTCGAAAATAATAGGTTGGACGAGTTAATTTCTGTAGTTAAGAATTGATAAGATTTCGGTTATAATAGAGGTTAATTTGGTTTTCAGCGCGATACCATCCTGGATACCCAAGTAGGGAAAAAAGTTAGTGTAAGGAAACGCAGTTTAAAGATTCAACTGACTGGAATCAATATGCCTGTATCAACTCATCCTCTGCAAGCTGCCAGTCTCATGGGCCACAAAACCTTCGTCGAAGGCGTCGAGTTCAGTAGCAATGGCAAATACATTATTTCAAGCTCTTCAGGTAAATGATTGTCAGGAAAAAAAATACTCAATGCATTCGCGACAAATCGATTTGTGTTTAGCTTTGTCATTTATGAAGCACTTTGTTTTATAGTTACTACTCATTTTTTTCTTCGATTTTTTTTCGGATCTCAAATCCAGCACACTGTGAAATTTCTACTACGGCTTGTGTACATTTTTATTTAAATTAATAGGAAAAAGTTCGGACTCCTCTTTTTTAAGTTTTTGCTGCGCTAGTCTTTGGAAAAAAGCATTCGGACAACTCGAGTTTAGCGGTAAAAGCGTGCGTTTTTCGTGAAAAGAACGTTAACATCGGTAACGCGCGAGAAGCGTTACTATCATATCGAGGCTCTGCACAGGTGCCGCAAATCCAAGATGGCGGACGGAACGGGTTTAGAAAGTGCATTCGGGTTTATAGCGATTTCTTTGTTTTTAGGAGCTTTAGGTTTAGCCGCATTTGTATTTTTTAGCTTGAGAAACAAACCTTCTCGTAGTAGTGATCAATCTAAGTCTAAAGAAACCAAAGATAGCTTAGATCAAAAGACCCAGAATGGTAGGAAGTCGCAGACGAAGGGGTCGAAGAAGAAAGCTAGCTCTGTTGTTAAAAGCCATAAAACTCAATTCGCTATCCTCAAAGGCCATACAGACCAAGTTCTTGATCTGGACTTCAGCACGAATGGAAAACATCTAGCTTCCTGTTCGCAAGGTTTTGTTTTTGGGTTTATACATGTCCATTTTGAATTGTCTTGTGTGTGTGTGTTAAAGTTCTAGTATGACACGTGTGCATTTGGGCTCAAATTTCTGAATAGGTGTTTTCTAAAGGAGTTTATATTTTTAAACTATGATACTAATATATACTATACTAACATATATAAAGCATATCTGTATTAACATTCAAGTTTATCGTTAATACTAATACTAACGAAGTTAATTTTATTGAATTATTAAATTCCTTTAATTTTATCTTAATAATGAGAAACGTCTTCCGACAATTTCTGTTAAGCGTATATACACCCTTAATTTTGGTATTTTTATCAAGACTACTGAAATAAACTAGGAACTTTAAAGAAAAAATCTAATAGATATAAAATCTATTTACACTAAGCTTAATATTTTCATAAATATATATTATTTATTAGAATATTAATCATCACGATAATTTTTGAGTTCATCTTTTAATGAATCGGAAGTTCCCTCTTAAAACAAAGTAAATGAGCTAACCATACATTTATTTTTCATTAGAGACAAATTGCAATTCTTCAGGTTTTGTTTGACTAATTAAAGATTGAATGAAAATTGACGACAAAGCTTCCATGTTTTCAAAATAATTAGTAAATGTAAGTTTCATTCCTTTTGAGACTTTTTTTATTTTTATTATCATAGAAATTAATTTGGAGCTCCTTCGATTTTGACTAGCACAGGATAAATGATTTCGTAATTAGATATGAAAACCAAGAATTGCATGTAGAAATTTTAGAAAAATCCCCAGAGCTTCTAGTAAAAATCTTAGTTCATACAATGCATTCATTAAAAACTAGATGAAGGACTATCCACAATCACTGTTAATCAAAAATCGCCTCAATTAAATACATTGACATCAAGATTTTTATTGACGTAATCAAAAGCAGTCATGCTAAAATATACTTAAAGAGTCTGGTTTTGATCTGGTTTTTACAGTCAAAGATAATCAATGACACTATATATACAGTAATGATGAAAAGGTAAATTATACACTGTGAAAAGATGAAAAAACTTACTGACGTTTCGGACGCTAGTCCTTCATCGGAAGGACAAGCATCCGAAACGTCAGTAAGTTTTTTCATCTTTTCACGGTGTATAATTTACCTTTTCATCATTACTGTTTCATTAGAAACACCGACGCAGCTCACACTAGTTTCTAGCTAGTTATATCTTTTGACACTATATATATATATATAAGAAAGTGGAAATTGTGATTTTACACCTTTTTGTCAAGTTCTATTCTACTTGGAATAAGATTTCAACATTGGAGAGAAACCGGAAAGATTCTTTTTATTGAATTTGTTCTTAAATCGACCCTCATTATTAGAAATCACAYACCTTGGTATAAAAAATAATTTTCTTCTCACAATGACAAACCAAGTCTATGTTTGAATCCGTAATTATAATGAGTGAGGAGTACCAAGGTGTTGAATAATCAAAGTCCTAAGCTGAGAGGTCACCTTGAGACAAGTGATGATAAAAAGGTGTTAATTGAGTATTTGGCAAAGGAATTAAGATGCTAACAAGGAGTCTGAGTTTGGCACCTTGGTGATCACGTTTCATGTCAAATACAACTGACAATTATATTATCCAGCTCTGTGTATTTCTGAGGTTTTGTGCACTAAGCTCTTGCAGTATTTATTTTTTCAAACAGCTTTTAATATTTAGTAACTAAGCAATATGATAAGTTAAGAAATTACATACAAAATGAAATCCTACCTATAAACATTCATTCAGAATTATAAAACTCCTTTTTTTCTATAGCAAAAAAATATAAATTTGGTGTTTAAATAGAAATATATTTAATTTGATTATGGATATTGGATATTGGATATTGGTGTATAGTACGTGTTTCTCTTGAGGCTTTAATATCCTGTCGTGTTTTAAGAGCTGTTAAATAATAAAATTTAGAATTTACTGACAAGTATGCCACTGTTCAGACATGAATTTCATAATTTATTCATTTCACCTTATTTTTTTGCAAAACATATATCAGTACTTACTTAGTATTTATATTAGTATTTTTCTAATGCTCTTTATGGTATAATGTATAGACCCTTCTTGATCGGTTACAGTTAATTAAGGGTCTCAATTGACTGAGTAACCTTATAAGATTTCAATATTCTTCTATAGCAAGAGTTCTTGTGGTGGTGTAATATGAAATTTTGAAGAAAAAAAAAACAAATCTAATCCTCATTCTTTTCATATTTTTTTTCTGTCAACTTACTGGTTTATTTTAGAGGTTTTGGCATCCAACTCAAATTTTGCAAAATGTCACCTATTTTTCTAGGAACTTTCAATTTTCTTTCTTCTCTATAGTTTTTCACATCATTTCCCTCCTTCCTGGATGATGTTCTATTCCTATTTCTTGTCATGTATTCCTATCAATGCAATCCTTTGATTAGCTGATCTACGCTGTAGTTTTTTCTTAAACAGTGTATAGTTATAAATTTTAATGTTGATCTTAGGGATTTAAAAGGGATAAAAAACATTGGTGGTCTAATTAACTACCAAGAGTGGTGCATAATTTAATTTTAAGAATTCTGTTTAAATGTTTAACTTGAACAGTTTCATATGAACACAATGTAATACAGAGTTATCACTGACGTTTCAGATGTTTAGTCCTTAGTTGGAGTAAAGAATGAATGCTTTGCTTATATTTCTTATGAATTTTAAATGTCAATTTCATTAAAGAATTTTTTTTTTTTTTTGATTTTAGATAGAACTGTGAGACTATGGAGTGTGAAAGATTTCAAAGAAAAAGAACACAAGTAAGAAACCTAGTGATATACTTATTTAAGAAAATTGCTTATCCTTTTTATAATATTATTAACCAAATATACATGCGTATGCTACAAGAGAATAGCAGAACATCTGACCACAGAATTTATGGTAAATAATAATAATTGTAAATAATGATAGTTATTTATAATGTGGTCATTGATTTTGAACTTGGTAATCAGGGGGTTTCTATCAGGGTGGTTACTTCTCTACTGTATACTAAGGGTTTTGTAAAAAGAAGATAAGAGAGAATAGGGCATTGTTAAATACAGTACCTGTGAAGATACAGAAGATTACTCTCTCCACCAAATGAAGTGCTCATCTAGAGCAAGTGGTGATCCCTTGTCTTATGTAATCCATTCAACTTTGTTCAGTATTTTAAGTTCAAACCATTTGGCCTGGAGGGAAATGAAATGCATTATTCCTTTGCATTTTACTTCATATTAGCCATGTGTCATTCCCTAGAGTATTATTTCTTTATTTAATGGTTGCACATGAATGTTGATGAAACTCAAACAAAAAGTCTTGCTCTCAAGAGAATGACACAGTTTGAAATGTGAAAACATTACACTACTAGTAAAGGGGTCTGATATGTACAGCTACTAAGCCACATCTTATCCTGATCGATTATTATATTATTTTTGCTAGATATATCAGGGCCAATGTGGACTTTGATCATGCAACTAAAGTCAACTTCAGCCCTGACTCAAGGTAAAAGAAATAAAAAATTATAAGACTCCATGGTTATAACCATGTGATATTTCTAACAAGGGATGTGGGGCATGGTTTTTGTCATATTGAATTCGAATCAAGGGTAAGGGTTGTTTATAATAATATTAACTTCAAGCAATGCTTGACCACTGTGACCCAAATAAGGTATATTGTATTCAGTTCAAGCCCATAAAGGGACATGGAATGGATAGAGGTGAAGTAAGAGTCATCATAAGTCAGGAACGTACATCCCCAAATATTTTGGACAGGGGTTCAATCTCATCTAACACAACAAAGTTTATGTCAACATTCTTTTGAAGAAAAAAACTTGAAGGGGAGGGGGGAGGGTAATTCTGTAATTCTTACCTAATGACATCCCTCTAAGCAGTTGGGAAAAAATTGTTAAGCCCTTAGTTACATTCTAAGTGTTCACAAAAAAATCCATTATAAGTTCATTCCTGAACAGGGATTTATTTCTCAACATCCTTTTCTATCAGGGAAAGAATTGAATCCCTATTTTAGGGTATACATCTACAACCTCAAGCACCTCCCCCCCAAGATCCATTTGACCCCCCCCAGTCTAAAATGTGTCATTCATTTATTCGTCATGCAGTAAATTTTTCTCATCAGAAGGTATTCATTCTTACTGTACACTTGTTTTATTTTACAAATGTAAAGCTTGCACAGGCTTTTGCATGCTAGTGAAAATGTACACTGCCTGTCTTAAAATTGCACTATTAATGCTTGACCTTAGAAACACATAATATTATTCATGTCATTTATTTTGTCTGTTGATTTTGTATAATTGTCATTTATGTTTCAAGTAAAAACCAATATACAATACAGTGCATGCTTTAATTCATATATTGCTAATAAGCCTGTATATTTTCACATTTACCAGTAATATTTAAAATGCAACTGGTATTTCGGTATTTCAGGTGCATGCGACAAATCTTTTTTAGCTCATTTCAGTAATTTATGATTAAAAAAATGAATTATAAAAAAAAACATTTTCAATTTAGCTATAATTGTGTGGTCAAATGACCTCATGACTAGACTTTGTTTGTTGTTATGTGTTATATACATCAGTAAGGAGTCAAAACATTTTATAGCTCTGTCAAATTTGTGTCTAAATGTCGCAGTTTAAAGTCCTTGGATTTATGATTTTCAAAAATGTTTTTCAAGAACATGTCATAGTCTACATGTTAACATTTTCAACACTAGATAACTTCCTAAAAAATAATGAATTGTTTATATTTTCAAAGCAAGAATGACTTTCAATATCACTTAAATCTTTTCCACTAAAATCATTTGTTGTAAAAAAAATGTTGACTTTAAAGAATAATGCACTAATCTGTGCAAGAATGCATTTAAAAAAAACTTGTTTTAGTGCAAAATATAAACATTTATTTATGAACACTTAATTTGTGTTTTTGTTTATATTCTCATAGCTAAACTGAGCTTTAACATCACTTTCTATAATTCCATAAATAAAACCCAGTAATTGTTTTGTCTTACACGCTAGCATGTTCTATACCCTCAGCAAGAATGCATGCCTCATGGCATGTTTTTATTATACTGGCCTGCTATATATAGGCTAATATATGAGAAATTATGAAGGCACTCAAACACCATTTTACACTAATTGCTGCAGCAGTTAGCAGCAGGTGTTTCAGTGTTATTATTTGTATTTATATTGTCCATTATAGCATTAGAAAAAACAAGGTTATCTTAAGACATGTCTGTCTTCATAATTTGGTATAAAATAAAGTACAAAACAGAATTATAAAATACAAATAGATATGTAAATGACAGCTATGATAAATCAATAAAAGAAAACAGTTGACTTTAAGACTATAAAAAACCTTCAAATTTGGGATGTTTTTTGTAAAAACTTTCCTGCTATCCAGCTGGTAATTTGCCTTTTATGTGATGTTTTTACCTCTTTTGTTTGACCAAAATGTTTCTCATTTCCCTCTTCCCCTCTTTCCCTCATTAACTTAATGAACTGAAAAAATAAAAATAAAAAGACTTCAGGGTGTTTAATTCCAAAACCTAAAATTAGCCCAAAATCATAAATCTCAGAGGGAAAAATGTTTTTTCAAGATTCCTATAATGAAAACAAAGGGCTTGTTGTTTAGGGGGACAGGAAAATGAAAATGACAATAAACACTTGGTGCAGGTGCAGGCACCTCTTCCATTGACGTAATTGTCTGTTATTGCGTGGAATTGTTACCAGCTGAATGGCAACTTTTTAATTGGATGAATTGTAAATGGAGGGCTCTGTTTGTCCATTAATACCAAGCTTATACATCTACATGGGGGAGATAATGCAAATTGGGTTACCCATTACTGCAAGATATAGTAAAAAATATATATTAAATAGATAAAGCAATAAACAAAGGAATCACCAAACTAAAATATGGGCACCTTTGATGCATGCCTTTAACAAAATAACAAACTAAGCACTTGATCACAGGACAAATAAAAAGATGTTACCAAAATAGTTTGTGCAGCACTTTTATCTATCATTTGCACTTGTTGGCACTAATTATTTGCACACTGCTTCGCTTTGCAATCTTTTTTCAACATTTTTGTTTTCGTCATTTTCCACTGTTCAGTTTCAAAAGGCATATTTTTGGCATTATTTTTATCGCATGAGTCATATTTAATTTCAATCATCCTCAGCCACAATTTTTTATCCAATAACTGAGATATCAGTCATAAAAGTTTGTCATTGTACCAACAGTGAAGACTTAAGGCAACCCCAACAACCTCTCCGATTCAGGTTGGTTGATAAATATTGTTAATTATTATTAATAACATATATCTTATAACTATTTAATAGTAATAATTATCTTTAAACTTAAATTTGAAATTCAGGTTAGTTGATCAATATCATTAAATATTACCAAAATATAAATTATAAATGACTATTAAGTCTTAAAACTTTTTTTTTTCATTTCAAATTCACATAAAAATATCTATTGAGTTCAATAAATTTTGACTTAACAGTAAAGAAGTTTTTGAATAATGTAAACATGGTGTTGTGGATATACAAAAGTGTGATTATTACTGAATTTTAACACAGACAAACCATTTCTGAATGAATTATTTTTAAATGTTAAAATTTAATAAGCGGTGATTATTGGAAAGTAATGCAGGTGTAAAAATCAACATTACTTAAAAGCTATTTGACCTATGTTTTTCTGTGGCTGTGTCTCACTATTCAGTAGAGGCACAGTATTTGAGATAATAGTTATTTTACAACTCTTTACATGTTTCTTTTCAAGCCATGTTTTCTCATGTATTTGTGTCATCAAATTTAAAAAGCATGGTTTAGACATTTTTTGTTGAAACAAGGTAGATTCAGAAGTCTGGAAAATGAGAAGTTGCAGAAACGTTCTTATATCAGAGGAACGTTTGTCATGTTTACTTACAGTAATTTTAGAGAAGCTATAAAATCAGCTAAAACTYCTCACTGTAACGTTTTATTCTCTCTTCTCTTAGAGCATTTATTACAGCCCTGGCGAATGGCAACACAATACGAGTATTTAAAACAACCAAAAAGAAGGATGGTACAGGAACAGCTGTTACTGGGGAGTTTGATTTCCCTGTCAAGCACAAAACAGAGATCATTAGTATTGCTATTGCATCGAATGGAAAATATATCATGTCTTGCTCGAAGGATACCACTATCGTTATTTGGAATCTTAAAGGTAAGCTACTTTAGAATGTTAGGAATCAATTGTGGTGTAGCGGTAGTGTCTCTCTTCTCTCGCCTCTGGGGTCTTGGTGTCAATTCATATGACTCAGCATCATATCCATGTGAGTGCAGCTTGTTGCAGGCCCGTCACTAGGGGTGTTACAATGGTTCAAATGAACCCCCCCCTCCCCTATATGCAAAAAATGCAATAAGATCTAATAACGTGATAAAATGTTTATCAAGAAATGGCATAACTAAGATTAATAGCAGCTGCAAGAGGCACCTTCATATTGCTTCAGGCTGGACTGCATTGAGCTGGGTTAATGTTAAAAATCATTGCAATTATAATCCAGTTAAATATAGATGGAAGAAAATTCCGGATGTGACGCAGGCTAGGTCCATCCATATCTTAAGTGTTTCAAAGTCTTCTCTCATTGTCTGATGTGGTATTTGTTTGTTCATAGGGGAAGTGTTAGCCATCATAGACACCTTACAAGTCAATAACTCCTTCTGTAGTCTGTCTCCCTGTGGACGATTTGTTGCCTCGGCTGGTAAGTACTGTTGAAAGCTTTTATGCATGTGAAGTACTCTATTGATGTGCCATCCCTTACCACTGTGGTCATAGGTAGTTCTTTATCGGTCTTCTTTTGTGCTTTGAGGGTTTTTCTTTTTCGGTTTACTATTCCCTTCGCAGAGCTGAACTTCAAAATTCCAGTTGAATCTGTCGTCAAAGGGCTTCCTGAAAATTTCTCCTTATTTTCAGATTCCCTCTCTTTTCTACATTTCAAATGTCAGGTATTTTTCTACCCATTGTTCACTTGCCTTGTATATTTATTCCGTAGGATTTACTCCAGACGTGAAACTATGGGAAGTTGAGTTTGACAAAGGTGACAATTTCAGGAAGGTACAGTATGAAAATACAATCCATTAAGACAAGAAAAAAAGACTTTTTTATAGCTTGGATTTAATGTATTCCCATTTTACATTCTCTTGAGTATTATTTTATTCTCTATGATAACACTGGAGTATGAGTTGTTGTGTATTTCATAAGGACGTGACCCCACTATCCGCAATGGACTGTTTTAGTTCGTGCAAAATATTTCCTTTTTTAGGCCACGTGTTATTCCCTTGAGAACTATTTCTTTTATACTCCATACTATCTACTCTCTATTATTCAAGTAAAGCATCTACTAACGTTTCTTTGTACATCACAGATATCCCGAGCAATGGAATTAAAGGGTCATACTGCTGGCATATATCACTTCACTTTCTCATCTGACTCAACCAGGTTAGTGTCATTGCAAAGTGGTCGGGTGTCGCTCCGGTGGATTTCCAAATGTTTGATGTAAACTCAGGGGCAGATCAAGGAATTTGGCTAGGGGTGGTGTAGGGTTGAACTGCTGATGTCATACTATGACCTCCTTAGATCAGCCCCTGAAACTTGTAACCACTTTCTTTATACTTCTTTCTCGTAGGATGGCAACTGTTTCAAAAGATGGAACATGGAGAGTATGGGACATAGATGGTGAGGAAGATAAATTATTGATATTAAAAATTTTAAGCATTTTTACATGGCGATAAGTTCCCTTGTTATTCTTATACCAACTCAGTCCCAGCTATTCCCCGCTAGTCATTACCAATTTGTTAAGAATGTTATTCAAAAAGTCCTTCTTGTTTTTCCTTGTTTTCTAGTGGAGTACAGTAAACAAGAAGACCCGCATTTGCTGTTGACTGGAATCTACGATGCATCGTGTAACGTCTATGAAAACATGCTCATCGCTATGTCCCCGGATGCTTACGTCACAGCCATCTCCATGGGGCGGTCTTTGGCCTTGTTCAGCACGGAGAATGGTAACCTCGAAGAATTCTTGGAAGAAGTTCATGGAGGTAATCTGTAGTATTCATGTTTGGGTGGCTAGCTCTTTGCCATTTTAGTTTGGACTTTGGAACCTCATTTCATACCACTTTTCATTCCCTTTAGTATTATTACTCCTTGTCTTTTGTACCACTTTAGAAGAAACATTTATATAAAGCTTTGAAGTGAAAACATTTCTCTCAGAGTACGAGTAAAAGTTAAAATAATGGTAATAACAATGTTTAATGAATTCTTACTGTCAATGCCACAGATAACATCACAGCAATCGCCTGGCACCCCAGCTCACGTTACCTAGCAACAGCTGGCGGAAATGACCGACAGATCCGTGTTTGGCATAACGCAGTTGGGATCAAAGTGGAGATCGATGATCTTGAAGGACGACTCGTCAGGGCCAAGAGTGACACAATAAGGGTAAAAATCACACTCGATTTGAATAACCAATGTGCAATAAACATGCGCTGTGATTGGCTTAAATAATTGGCTAAAATAACTAATTAACTTTTTAAACAAAAGAAATAATTTTGTAAGATTCATTTTGATTGGGTTAAATATCGAGCATATAAAAAGCGTCCTCATTGGATCAAATTATGAAATGATACTGATGACGCATTTTCTTGTTTAGGGACGGCTGGAACAGCAGATTCTTGAAGCGAGGTAAGAAATCTTTTGATTGCTTTTATCTTTAAGTATTCTCGCAAGACTGATTCATTTTGTTTTATTTTACAGGGCATCGCTCGATAAATTGAATGTGCAGTAAGAATAGAAAAAGATAGATAAAACGAGATGTGATACAAAGAAAACGAATGACAGAAGCAGCAAAACAAAAACGACATCAACGATGACAGCTATTCAATATGGCTTCAAATATGCGATGAAAATAGTTGTAGTAAAAAACATTTTGAACAGCAAACCAAAAAATATATTATTCAGTGCTGGCAAATAAAGGGTTTGTCATTAATCTCAACGACATTCTTCAACCTCAAATTCATTTGTTACTTCGCTACCCTTTTAAGAAGAAAGAGAGAAAACAGAAAACTAGTCAGAGGCAATTGATCATGCAATCAGTTATCATGTAGTGCAGCTTGTAGCAATAATTGCGCAAAGAAAGATAACTTCAGCATTTAGACCACTATAAAGCAAAATTGGTCTTGCAATGAACGCCTCAAGGCCATTGCAACACAAGTTGCAAACGGGAATAGACCTGAATTAAAGGCCAAGAAACAATGGCTTCAAGTCGAGGTTGGACTGTTCATACATTTACTGTATTTTATCAACTCCAACCTCAACTGGGGGCTTTGTTTTGTTGTCATTCAAGTGAATTCGGGAAAGGTCTATTTGCAAGTGCATCTTCCCTTAAATGCCACTTCGTCTTAAAAACATAAATTCAGCCATTGTAAAGTACAAGTAGGTTTTACGATCAAAATAGATATTTGGTCATCTTTTTCCCCCGGTTTTTCTCAAGATTCTGTCTCGCACAATATGTGCAAAGTTTCCAAGTCATGATCTCATTCTATTTTGATTACAATTACATTATGCATGTTCTCAACTGTTTAAAAACTTACTATCTTAGGCTCACAGGTCAAACGTCGAACTTCACATGAGCCGAACTTAATAACATCAAAGAAGACCGGCTTGTTATCGATTGTTTCAATTTGGTTCGGCTCATTTGAAGTTCGACGTTTGACATGAGCCTTAGAATCCAATGAATTTTAACCAAATTAATTTTAAATGAATACGATGACTTCAATTATTTAATGTTACCTAGATTTTTGAAAATTTATTAAAAGTATAAAACATTACCGCGACAGATAAGTTGATCTTCATACAAATATATTAGTGCAAAATCCTCTGGGACTTTGAAACTGCCCGCTATATAGATGTTTAGTCGCTTAGGGACGGATCATCAGATTTTTGAGGGGGGGGGGGGGGGGGGGTTTAAAAAAAAAAAAAAAATCGAGCACAGCTTTAAAGAGTGAAAACAAAAATCGTGCATAAGAAAAGTGGCTGAAAAAATTCTAAATGATGTCCAAAAAAATTCCTGCACAGCCATGAGGCGTAAAAAAGACCCTGCACAAAATAAATTGCCCCTCCCCCCTCAATCCGTCCATTAGAGAAAAAGATATATATAAAAATCCCCATAACTAAGATTGAGTTTTAGAAACTATAAGAAATATTCTAATGTTTTATCACAAAAAATGTTGAAAAACAATTAAATGTTGAATATATATGGTCATCATAGTTTTTATTTTCAGTGCTATTCTCGTACTACATTTTAGCAAAGATAACTGAAGAAAGGTCCTCGAATTTAATTATTGTTTAATTCACAGCGATGAAAGACTCCTACGATACAACGAATAGGAAAACTGCAATAAGATTACTATACAATTATTATGGTAAAATTAACTTTCGAAGTTAAAATAAAGTATTACAGTGCTGCGCGCCGAACCGTCAACACCCGAAAAAGTTTTTGATTTCTTTTTGACAAGTTTTAATTGCGCTCTCTACCGTTAACCAACTAGACATCAACGCTTCAATGTTTGGATAGCCGGAGTTCGTACATCTATGTAACGATATCGAAACGGCGATTTTAAAAACCTGTCAAAAACTTGTCAAAAACTTGTCAAAAACTTGTCAAAAACTTGTCAAAAACGTGTAGGAAACTTCGGCGAGCAACACTGTAAGCTACTACCGTTTCAACTCTGCGTTTTAACGTAGTACTGAAACGTATGTCAACGGGTCTAACTTGAGCCAGTCAGTGGTCCTAGCGAGTCCTTAGGCCCTAGTTTCAATAACAATATGATTAAATTAACTATTTCACGGGTTGATACTGAATAATTACAACTCGCAGCATTTCACTTTATATTAGAAACGACTAGTACTATAAGATATAAAGCAATTTTTCTACCACTGTGCAGAAATTATTTGCGGACAGAAATCGCACGCGCACAAGCCTTTCCTTTAAAATGGTGACGTCATAATACTAATTTATGCCGCATACCGCACACACCCTCGCACCACGTGTTTACCATTCACACGTGTAGGATGTGAACAACTCCAACGACCATATTCCATCATGGCAGTAGAACACAGACCTTCCACAAAACACGAAGCTAAACTGCAAAATCTTATCTACAGTGCAGTTAATATTGGAGAATGGGAAAGGTGTTTCAAGGCAAAAGATCATCCAACGAGTACGAAAGGCATCCAAGAGTCAAAAGAACATTGAGAACAATGCGAAGATGGCGATTATCAAGGCGCTTGAAAACGGAATGTTGATTCGAACGTCGGGATCCGGGTTGAACGGCTCTTTTCGTCTGTCGAGCGATTCGAACTCTGAACTAATCTCAATGACAAAGAAACTGTTGAAATACGAAGACTCGACCTCAAACAGCGGGAGCAGAGAACGGCGACTTTGCAAGAAAACTACAGTTGCAGACAGCATAAACCGTTACAACAACTCGATGTTTTCAAATGGTTTGACTGAAACTTTTCACATCAAGGCAATACTCAAGGCTCCAAGAAGTAATACGGCTTCGGGATACCATGTTAGGTTCAGTGCAAGATCTCCAAAGATATTCTGGATCTCTCCAAGGCCTAATAAGAGGCGCAGAAAACCTCGAAGATTCGTCGTTTAGCGGCGGTTAACGGTCGGAATGTGACGTGAAAATCATTAAAAATATTTACCAACAATACGTATTTGTGTACGAATGAGTACAGTTTTAGGGGAATATAGCAGTGTCGTACCTGATTTCCTGAGTTCTTTTCATCCATCGTTTCGCAAAAATGTCTGTAGTACAACTCAGGCAACTGCTCATGCTCGTTATGAACTACCGCTGCAATTCAAAGAGTTACTAATATGAAAGGGATAAATGGATAGAGAACGGGAGAGAAAGCATGGAAAAATGGGACAAGATATAGTGAACACTGAAATATATATAGATGGTCAACGTTTAAATTTTTATAAATAATGATAGTTCTTGTCTTTGATAGAAATATTTTATATGGAATTATTATTAGTATTGTATTAGTATTAATATATGTGTGAGTCATAATAGTCTTACCTTTTTATCCCAATCTTCTCATTTTTTAGAACGTTTTACATCACAGGTTCTATAGAAGTTTGCACCATCATGACGTAATAGCAGCCATGACAGGAGACAGGGATTATTGACAGGTATCATTGAATCTGGATCATTGAATCAAGGAATTCAGTTCAGTTCCCAGGGGGAAAAGACTCTATTGCTGTGCCTCTTGTCATGGCTCCCATCATGTGATAGTGTGCAGCCACTATTGAAACTTTCTTCTGTCAAATGCAGCAAGTCAATATACTAGAGTGCGATCTGTAAACTTGCTAAAACTAAATAGTACTAAATGTAGCTGTAATGTTATGGATAAGGTAACCATCCTGTAACAATCTTTAGTCTGAAGATCAATTATTTTTATATTGATAAGTCTTAGGTTAGGTAGCTTCAAGATTTCATGTGAGTCTTTACATCAGGCCAGAAATCATTCAGGATCTCCAGATCCAAGCAGTAGTGCATACCTATAAGACTGAGTACCTCCTTACTCCCACAGCATCACACAGTTGAGTTATCTTTAGCATGCATACAGCTCCAGGGACCGAGGAGCTGGGGGGCTAGCCCTTAATAGTTTTGTCACCAAATTTGGAATTACTTGTTTGCTATTTAAAATATACCAATAGCCAATGCAAAAAATGTTGTAAATGCCTTTGAGGCTTRCACCAAACCCCTCCAGGTGTTCCCACTTTTGGTAGTCGTTAGGCTCCCCAATCAAAATTAGGCTCTGCGGTGCCTATCTATAGCTCATTAAGTTCACCGGGCTGAAATTAGCAGCCAACTCAA